TCTTAAACTGTCCCTACAGATCTCCTCTGGTCGTGTGTTGTGTGATCTGCCTCCTCTACAGCTCTGTGCTCCCAATGGGTGGCAAAGAGATGGCAGTGCTGGGTGCTTCAGAACCCACTGCATTGGTTTGGGGAGGCAGAGGCCTCATTGTACTTAACCCTGACAAGCTTCAATCATAAATTCCTACCTTTTCTTCCTTTGAGTTTGGACTGGAAGATTAGAGGGTCAGGAGCATTCTTTCTTTCCACATCTCTTACAAAACTTAAGCCCTTCAGAAAGAAATGCTGAGTTAATCACTGCTTCAGCCTCCCCTGCCAACCCCTGGGTTTTACAACATGTCGCTGGGATTTCTCTGTCCCCAGCAGGGTCTCAGCCCCTGCTCTTGCTTCAGAAATAAAAAGCCCACTTTGCGACTGATGGAGACATGTTTTCTTGCAGCACCATCTGAGACTGGCCTCAGCCAATCTCCCTGCACAATCTTCATGAAGGCAGTGGAATTCCTGATGAGAGTCAATGCCGTCCAGGTCAGCTCAATGTGGACTGGGGGAGTGAGAAGGGAGGTTCGGTCTCCTTCCCTGGGTTATTACCAAAAAGCTGGTGGCAAACTCCAGCAAGCCCCCTTCTTGGGCTCAGAGAACAAGCTGAGGCTACCCCAGATGCCGAGTGCAAGAGGGAGCAAAACCTCCACTGCCCAGGAATGCAAAACTGTGGCCAGGCGGAGTATTCAGACCAAAATTCTGGTTGAGGACACAGTCATCTCAGGCAGGCGAGGTTCTCGGGGTGCCTCAGCTCAGCACTGCTTGCTGCAGAGGGAACAGCCAAGTCAGACATGGTGCAGATATGCTCTTCTCTGCACATTTGGAGATGGGAGCTGTTACTGTGATTCTTTCAAGACTCCAGTACTCCTTTCTTGTTTCAAACGCTTGCGTATGTCAGAGTAATTTTTGTGTCACCTGTGGAATGACCTTGTTCCCCCCCTCGTCTCTGTGAGATCTCTCTGACTGCCACATTGTGCCGGCTGCCTTAATTTTATGGTAGAAAGAGTTGCTTAAAGCAAAACAGAACTAGAAGTAATGGAGGTAAATATTCAAAGGAGGGGGGAAAAGAATCTCCTGTCTGTTTTCTGTTCACGGAAGTCAAATTGGTGAGAGTCAGTGCTCCTGCCGTGTCATTCTGGGGGTGCCCGTGGTTTGCCTGCTCTCCTAACCACAACAGTGTGCCGTTCCTCCACAGTTCGTTCACAGGGCACTTGCCCACGAGCTGCTGAGCCTTCAGGGAGGTCCCTCCTGTGCGTACTACCTGGTGCTGGCCCAGACTTCCTTGCTGAAGGAAGATCTCTCCAAATGCGAAGAATGTCTCAGCGAGGCCGTTCGGATTGACTACATGGTAATTCTGTGTGCGTTCCTGGGGCGCAGCGCGGTGTCCCGAAGCAGGACACTGCCCAAACACCGTGGCAGACCCTGCCTGTCTTGTTGCCGCGTGTGAACCTAGAGCCCATGCTTCATTTCCAGTTGAGCAATTCTAATGCTAGTCTGCAGCGATTTCTGCAGGGGAGGACAATCATAGCTGATGAACCACATCAGGCTGTGGCTGCAGCACGGCCCTCCTCATTATCCCGCTTATTACTTGCCTTCTGTCATCTCCTGCACAGACAGGCGGCATTTCTGAGCGAGGACTCCTCTCTCTGAAGCCTCTGCCTTTCTTTTCCCTTTGAAAGTGTGTATCCTGATCCTCTTTCCCTCTGTTGGTGAGTCAGGCTCTGTTTCATGAGAAACAAGGTTGCTATTCAGCAGAGAGGGAAGGCAGCTTTGGGGAGTCAGGTTGAATGGAAGGCAGAAGGAAGCTGATGCCTCCAAATGCTGTTGGCACACTGACCATACCTGGGGAGCCTTGCAGGGGCCAGGACACCGTGCAGGGAAAGGCTGGAGGCGGCTCCCGTTGCTGGTGTTATGCAGGCAGCCCACTGACTTGATTTTAATTCCACACATAAAATCTGCACCAGCCAGCTCTTCCTTTCTGCTGATTACAAGGGTGCCTGCCCCTCTCCCAGGTTTCTCGTCCTCCCATCTCCCAGCCATGTCTCACTCCTGGTTTTGTGTGCACAGAATCCAAATGTCTGGGCTCAGAAGGGGCACCTGTGCTACCTGAAGAGGGACTTTGGCGAGGCAAAGGAGTGCTATGAGCGAACCATCAGTTTTGTGGAGGATGCAGCAGATATGCACTTCGTCTATCTGCGCCTGGGCTCCATTTACCTGGAAGAGAAAGAGGTGAGGAGCAAGCAGTGGTGGTAGAAGAGAATTTGCCACAAAGCAAATAGCAGGAGATTTCAGACCCCAGGTACAAGCTACCATTCTCTGTAGCCATAGCCAAGATCTCACAACATAGCAAACCCTTCTGGAGTGCTCAACATCTTGGAGCATGGACCTGCCCTGTTCCTTTGTGGCAGCTCCAAGTCCCAGTTGCAACGTCCCAGGGTGCTGCTGAGCTATTTCTCATCATTCTAGCAATGAGGGTGACTTCTACATTACTGTATTAATACCTGCCAGCACCAAGCCACCGTGTCAGGGGCAGTGGGCAAGCTCTCGGCCCCTGCAGCAGCAGTGGGGACGTGGGGGATCTAAGCTCTACTGGAGATGGGGTGTTTGGCAAAATCCTGAGGGGGGCCTGTCTGCGGAGCGATGAGTTTGATGCAGAGAGAAACACGATTGTCTCTCTCCTGGCAGTACGGCCGGGCGAAGCAAACCTACCTGCTTGCCTGCAAGAACTCTGCGTCCTGTCTCACCTGGCTGGGGGTGGGAATTGCCTGCTACAGGGTAAGTGCAATTACCTTCAAGTCATCTGTGCTTTAATTGGCTCTGTGGCATGGGATGCAGGGCTTGCTTTTGCATGACTCCCTTTAATAAAGTAAAGTTTGGCTGCCTGTGAAACCAATGCTCCTGAAGGTCATCGTGTGCCATGTGCTGTCACAGTCCCAGCGTGGCACCCTGGGCTGCTCGTACGGGCGATATCAGAGGACAGGCACCCTCAGCAGCTGCTCCGGGAGCAGCAATCCTTCCCCACCTCGTCCCGCTGCCAGGGCCTGCCAGCACCTCCTTCCCTGGGATGTCATGGCAAGCACATAATCTGGGCCCGGGCCATGCTCTGAGTGCCTGTCGGCACATGACCTGCATGTCACCACGAAGGAATTAAGCAGAAAGTCAGCGGGGAGGAATCTCGGTGCTTTCCTTGCCCAAAGGAATCCAGCACCCTCTGAAGGGCTGCCAAGGACACCCAGCCACCAACAGCGCGCTATCTCCCAGAGGTACACCTCGCGAGGTTCCTCCAAGGAGTTTGGCTGAGGGATGCACACAGGGAAGGACCTTGAACTTGTGTCCCACTTGGTTAAGTGTACACCTCCTGGGAGGCTGCAGACTTGAGCCAGGAAGGGGAGTGGTGGCCTGGGAGCACCCCCACTTCCCGGGAGCCGCTGCGCAGCGGGAATAGGGATCAGGACCGGAGCCACATTTTCACATGGAGCTGGACTCCTCGATTCCCAGAGGTGGAGGTGAAGCTGTTTGTGCTGCTTCCCTTACAGCTGGGGGCTGATTTGTAAATACTCAGCATGCTCCCAGGGATTTTGGGAGTTAGTGGCAAGAGGCTTGCGCTCCAGACCGGAGAGCTGGACGCAGGCACTGAGGACAACTGGTTGTCTCTGCCCTAAATCCTGTCCTTACATCCCTATCAGGGAAACCCTGCTAGATGCTTTTGTTGCACTCTTTTTTTTTTTTTTTTTTGGCTGTTAGAGCAGATGCCCATTTGGTTCTGAAGCCCGTTCTGGCCACTGTTCGCTTTTTGTCCACACCTCTCCTTCTCTCTCTCAAGCTGGAAGAGATGGTGGAAGCCGAGGATGCTCTCTCTGAAGCTAATGCCCTAAATAACACCAACGCTGAAGTGTGGGGATATCTCGCCCTCATCTGCCTGCAAGTGAGTGCCCAGCCAGCCAGTTACTCCCACTGCCAGCCCGATGGAGCTGGGGGGGTTTATCAGTATCTGTTCACGAGCCTGAAGATCACACTGTAGATCTGAGTGGTAAAAATAGTTTTGGGACTGTGCTGGGATGGCAAAAGCAGTGCCCTTCCTCCCTGCCCGTCATCGCCCGATGCACTTATTCCCCTGGGGCACATCCTTCGTGCTGAGCTTTCTTACAGTAGGTTATTCCACTGCGAGCCGGCGCGTTCCCCACGGGGCGATTTCCTCACTCGCCGCTCTCGTGTCGTTTCTGCAGGGAGGACGGGAGCTGGAGGCAGAGCAGTGCTACAAATACACCGTCAAGGTTTGGGCCTCGGCGCTGCGGCGGGGCGGGCAGGACGGGCCCCGGAGCTGCCGGGGAGCGGGAAGCAAACCGGCCCGGGGTTCCCTTCCAACCTGCGAGTTTAACTTGGGGCACAAAAACCGGCATACACGAAGGTGGGGTGTGGGGGAGGCTGCCCCTCGGCTGCTCCCCTCCCGTTGGAAGAGAGGAGGAAACGGCCGGTTTTGTTTTGTTTTTGGTTTTTTTTTTTTTTTTTCCCGGGGAGTCCCGTGGGATGTGTGTGTGGGGATCGGTGGCTCGCAGCCCCCAGCCCTGCACCCGGGGGGTGGGCGCCCTTGGACGTGCCTGATCCACACCCCAACACCCCCCCCCAATCTTTTCCTGCAGCTGGGCCTGAGGAACGACGCGTTGCTGCAGGAGATCCACGCCGCCCAGGAGCGCTTCGGCTTCGGCAACCCGGGCTGCTGAGCCCCCGCCGCCCCGTCCCTCATAAACTCCCCGCACCCCCAGCGCTCCCCTCCGCCTCTGCCGCCACCGCTCCGGGACCGGGGAAAGGGAAGGGAAACGGGGGGTGGTGACCCCGTCCACCCGTGACGGCGGCCGCGGGGGGGGGGGGGGGGGGGGGGGACGACGTTCCCCGCGCGAGGGGAGGGGCGCGTGACGCGCTCCCGGCGTCCGCCGGCGGGGCGTGGCGGCGCGCGCGGATTGGCGGCGGCCGCGCGGGACGGTTGAGGCGGTGGCGCGCGCGCCATGGCGGCAGGTAGCGGCGGGAGGGGAAGGGGAACGGGGGGGGGGGGGGGGGGCTTCGGAGGTACCGGCGGTTACCGGAGGCGACACCGGGGGTGGGGGGGGGGGGGTGGGGGAAACTTGAGGTGCGGAGATAACGGGGGCGTCACCGGGGCTGGGGAGACTCGGGGTACGGAGGTACCGGGGGCATCACCGGGGCTGGAGGGGTTTGGGACATGGAGGTACCGGGGCTGTCACCGGGGCTGGGGAGACTCGGGGTACGGAGGTACCGGGGGCGTCACCGGGGCTGGGGAGACTCGGGGTACGGGGGTACCGGGGGCGTCACCGGGGCTGGGGAGACTCGGGGTACGGGGGTACCGGGGGCGTCACCGGGGCTGGGGAGACTCGGGGTACGGGGGTACCGGGGGCGTCACCGGGGCTGGGGAGACTCGGGGTACGGAGGTACCGGGGGCGTCACCGGGGCTGGGGAGATTTGGTGTACAGAGGTACTGGGGGCATCACCGGGGCCGGGGAGGCTCTGGGCATGGATGTAACAGAGCCATCACCGGGGCTGGAGGGGCTCGGGACACGGAGGTACCGGGGCTGTCACCGGGGCTGAGGAGATTTGGGGTATGGAGGTACCGGGGGCATCACCGGGCCTGGGGCACAAGGGCAACACCGGGGCTGGGGCGATTCGGGGCACAGAGATAACGGGGTGCCAACAGGGCAGGGGACCTTGGGACACGGGGGCATCGGCAGGGTCCCCGGTACAGCGGGTAACGGGGGGGCGTCCGGGCGGGGGTACTGTCCCCCCCGCCGATCCCGGTGCCGGTACCGGCAGCCTGGCAGCGCCCGTACCTGAACGTCTTCAAGCACTTCCGCGTGGAGGAGTGGAAGCGCTCTGCCAAGGAGGGGGATGTGGCCGCCCTCACGGTAACGGGGGCACCGGGGGGGGGGGGCGAGGAGGGGGGGTGACCAGGCACAGGTGGGCCACGCTGACACCCCACCCTCCTCCCCGGTCACCCTGTGCCGTGATTTTGGAAGGACGCGAGGCTGAAGGGAACCGTCTACCGGATCCGGGGCTCCGTCCCTGGCAGCAGCTACCTGCAGCTGCCCCGGTCGGGGACGCAGTCGCTGGGGCTGACCGGGCGCTACCTCTACCTGCTCTTCAGGCCCGTGCCCCACAAGCACTTCGTCGTCCACCTGGACGTCACCACCAAGGTACGGGACACCGGGTGGCCTCGTGAAACCGCCGTCGTTAGCGTCGTGGCCTGATTGGAGGACTTGGGGAGGGGGGGGTGACAGCGATGGTCTTCTGTGCTTGGAGGGTGTGGAACTTGGCTGGTGTTTGTTGCTGCTGGGGGGTTCCCCCGGGGCTGGAGATGTTTTCCGTCCTTGTGGCCTCTCCAGAGGGGACACGGAGGGGATGGGAGACACGGCCACGCGCCTTTTCGTCTGCAGCATTTCCCCACCGAAGCCACCAGGGTGACTAAAGCTCTGTGTGTGTCTTGGCTTCTCAGGAGCACCAGGTGGTTCGCATCTCTTTCTCCAACCTCTTCAAGGAGTTCAAGTCCACAGCCACCTGGCTGCAGTTCCCCTTCGTCTGCGGAGCAGCTGAGGGCTCGGAGTACGGCCGCGTGGCCGGGCCGTCCAGGCGCGGTGAGGAGCGTGCGTGGTGCCTCTGCTCGGGACCGGGCTGGCACGGCACCGCTGAAATCAATCGTTAGGAAATCAGTTGACTTCAGAAGTTGACCTCATGCCTTCATGGAGGGCGAAAGGGTGGTGGTCCTGAGCAGGAGACCCCCAGCAGCTGGAAGGCTCTAGCTCCCGGGAGGGATGTCCCCTGTCCCCGTTCTGCCAAGCAGTGGGGTGCAGGGTCAGGCCGGGCACGGGTCCACGGAGGCAGCAGGGCCGCTTGTCTGTCCTTCCTGCGCTCCTCGCTACAAGGCGAGTTTTCCCGTCTCCCACCTTGGCACAGACAAGCCAAGCCTGGTGGGAGTCTTGCCTGGTAAATACTCTTTACTTAACCGCGTTCACCTTGTGTCTCTCCCATTCTGCAAGGTCCACAGTCCAAGGTCTGTAGTGGCTTTTCCCATCTTCTCTTTTGCCACCTGCTGTTCTCCTCCCCAGATCTCGTGGGAGCAGCCCCTGCCGACGTGCGCTGGACCTGCCTGGTGCTGGACCTCCACTCCATCCTCTCCCTCTACCTCAACCGCCGTTACAGCCACCTGAAGAGCGTCAAGCTCTGCTCCAACCTGCTGGTCAAAAACCTCTGCACGAGCGACTTGGTGTTCGACCCAGGTGAGGAGCTGAGACCTCGGCGTGGCCTCTGGTTTCTGCCGTGACTTTGACCCGGCCTGGGTGGAACCCGTGGGGGTTTAAAGCTGCTTTTGCAGAGGTGATGCTGGCAGGGTCGTTGGCCCTGGCAGAGCACTTGGCTGCCGTTGCTGTAGCCGTACAATATGAAGCAGAAAGGACAAAACACTTGGTACGATGTTAAGTTTCCACAATCTGCTGACCTCTGGAGGGAAGTGTCCTCTCATTTCCCAGCTGTAAAAGTGACTGATAAGAGCAAAGTTAAATATCTTACCGAGGTTAGAATTTTTTTTCAGGGGAAAAAAATTAAAGGTGTTATAAGCCTCACATCTCCAAGGCCTGTGCTTTTATCTGCCGGAAGAGCCTGTGTTTTTTTTTTGTCTCAGAAATCTTCCAACCTACATTTTTTTTATCCACCTGCTCAGCGTGGCAGGGATACTTTGGTCAAAACCTTTGTTTCTGCCTGTCTTTTTTTGTGCTGGAAATCTGCCCAAACTGGCCCACTGGAAAGCCTCAGCGAGGAAGAAGTTATAGCTACTGCTTTCAGATTCCTGAAACTTGCTATATCTTGAAGACTTTTATGAATTTACAAACGCGTGAAGGAAAGAAGACAAGAAAATGAGAAAAGAGCCTTAACACAAATCACGTAAAACTGCTGAATCACTGAATAGAAAACTAAGTGAATCTTGGGCCTGACAGATTTATAACTCAAGACCAGGGGTTTATGCTCTGGGGTTGTCTTTGGAGGTTGAGAGTTTCAGGAATATTCCTGTGCAGAGGTGTGTTAGTTTGTTACAGGTCTCGGGGTTGTAATCTGTTTTTCAGGTGTTCTCAGAGAGGGAAGTGACCTGTGTCCGTGTTCCACGGGAAGCACGTGATTTCAGCCAGCTCCACGGGCCTTGCAGAACTTACTCTCTTTATCTTTATCTCTGTACTGCCAGGTGTGACTCTCTCCGAGGCCCGGCAAGGCGACCTGGCCTGCCGTGGGGTGGCTCCCATGCCGCGGGAAATGGCTTTCCCTGTGCCGAAGGGAGAGAAGTGGCACGACCTCTACGACTACATCAGGTACGGCCGCCCCCGGCTGCTCTTGAACCCAGTGCGGCTCTGAGACCCCCCGGTTCCCTGGGGGAAGGCAGGACGGGTAACGCCTCTTACAGAATGATGGATCCGGACAAACCTGGGGCTTGAGTGGAGACAGTTTGGTCACCTCAGCTCCAGCGTTTAGGTGTCGTTAACGCGTCTACCCCGGTCTAAGCTTAACTGCTGATCGGTGATGTTTTGGGGCAGGAAAAAGGCTGCCTGGCGTTAACACCAGTCCTCTCTCTCAGTGATCTCTGGCTGGGATGGCTCCCACGGCTAACAGCATAATGCAAGCCTTTCCTCTGTGCGTTGCTGATCCTAGGAAGCGCTTCAGCCTCTCGCTAAGTCAAAGGGTGGCCTGCCAGGGGCTGCTGAGCTGCCCTCAGCCGTAGCGCCTTGCTGAGGGGCAGATGTAAGCGTACCTTCCTCAGTTTTGGTGCTGGGCTGGTGAAGGTTTTTGCCAGAGAACCGGCGTCGCTTGTAAATTGCAGCTCATCACAGTCATGGGCTTACTGGTGTTGCCTAAAGCGCACAGTGCCAAGTTAACCCCTGGAAAGTAACAGTGTAGGTCAGACCTGGGAGGTGGTTTGATATCTATATGTTTGGGGGAGGATGAGGCGAAAGAGAGAATCTTAGAGGGGACAGTGAAGCGCCAGGTAGTGAGTTACCATGTTGGATTCCCGGGTGCCAGTGCCTGAGTACACGGCACCTTCCTCTGATTTTGCTCAGGTTCCCAACCGAGGGCTCCAAGCTGCTGTACGACTCCATCCAGAAGAGCTGCCCCAGTCCTGCGGCAGGTGGGAAGGCTGGGGACAGCAGCCCAGGCTGTGCCACCCCGGGTGGATGCCTTGGCTTCCCGAAAGAGCCCAACCCACTCCTCGTGTCACCCAGGTGGTCAAGTCTCAGAGGACCCCGTCCGCCAGCCGGTGACACTCACCAAAGCAGTCCGTGACCGACTGTCCCTCATCCACCAAATAACCAGTCCCAAAGCTGTAAGTGCACCGTGGGGGAGGCTGCAACTTCTTCCTTTCTGCCTCCCATGGAATTTTCCCCACATCTTCATCTCTGAGTTCCTTTATTTAGGATGTAGAAGCTGCTTGTTGTCAGACCCCTGACCTGGGCAAGGTCTGTTGACCGCAGCCCTGCAGTTAATGACTAGGTGGTTCAGTCAGGCATAGTGCAAAGCAGAGACAAGATAAATGCCAAGTACTTCATAATCTCCAGACATCTATCCTTGCTGTCTCAGCTGAGACAGCAAATAGTTATGTTTTCAAATTATAGATAGGAAATGAGGACTGGAGACTAAAGAACTTGCTGGGATGCCCTCGGGGAGCGGGCAGTGTGTGGAGTCCAGATTGCAGGCAGCTGCCCTCACCGCTGAGCTCCCCTTCCCTGCTGGTGGTGATGCAGGAGCCGGTGCTCAGACTGGCTTACCAGAGAGCATGGTGATGGGCTTTTGGAGAGTGACTGGGGGAAGCCATCCTCATGCTGTGGAGAGGGAGAAAACGAGGAGTGTAACCACTTTGCTGTTCTGAACTGGGATGTGCCAAGCTGGCTGGCCAGGGGCTGTTAGCCTCCTCTGCTCAGAGGACAGAGGGCAGCTCTCCTAGAGACTGTTCAGGGCTGGATCTTTTTTCGGGCTCTGGTTTGCAGTCTGGAGGAGGTGAACTGTGCACGGACAACACTGGGAGAGTCAGGAGAGTGGCTGGTTAACACACCTGGCCAAGCTAGGTACCCACAGGGATGCTCTCTCTCCAAGCTGCTTCGTCCGTGTTTGGACTCGGGACGAGGCGCGGGTGTCTCCCTGTCTCTGCCTTTGGGGTGAGTGGAAGGTGCTGGGAGGAGGGCTGATCTCTGTCTGAGGCTTTGCTCTTTCTTAGATGCCGCGCCGGTGTCCTGTAAGTGGAAAAAGCATCCCTGAGGTTCACCTGACAGCCCCAGGGCCTCCGAGAGCCGTGCCTGCTGGGGACCAGGAGCTGGAGAAGAACCGGAGACCGCACGGTGCAGGGGACACTGGGCAGTCACCGGCAGTCCGTGGTGGTGGCATCCACGTGTATGCTCACCAGAGGAGCAAGCGAACCACCCGAGCCGTTCTCACCGGCTCAGAGGAGGTGGGTGAAGCGCTGAGGAGTCCCAGCAGCCCAGGGGTGGCTCTGGGACGCTTAGGGCTGATGCTTGTGAGCCCAGCAGAAGCAGCAGAGGGAACACAAGCTTCAGGCTGGAGTTTCAGTTAATCCTATGGAATCATTTGCTGGCAGTATTTTTTCTGACTAGCAGTTCTCCTTTCTACTAGTATCGGATTTGCTTTGAAAGAGGGACCCTGTGTTCAAATGCACTGACTTTAAGCTAATAATGTATGTTTACTAATTTGCCCAGAGCATGTACAAGAAGGGCCTTGGACCAGGTGTGCTATCTGGCAGGAGAGCCTCTGCCTGCAGGGTAAGGGGACAGCCCTTCCCGCAGCATCCGCCGGCTCTCTGGGCAGCACCAGGGCGCTGGGAAGGGCTGGCTGTAACCCTCCAGCCTGGGTGGGATTGCTGCTTAACGCTGGGAAATCCCAACTCCTCCTTCCTGCCAGATTTGACTTCTGCCATCCTGGATACTTCAAAGTCATCCCTTCTAGCAGGAGAGAACACAAAGCTGCCTCTGTGCTTTGGAGAGAAACTACCAACGGGGACGGAGGGGCCCCATGGGTGGAGGACCCCAGTCTGGCTCTTAAGCGTGACAGTGCTGTCTGTTTTTCTTCCAGAGGCTCTTGCCGGATCCCATCCTGAAGCTGAGAAGGATTATTGGCTTTGGAGGCTGCAGCACCAAACGGGTCAGTAGCTCAGACAGTTTGGGGAGTTGATCTGTGATCACATGGCCAGGGTATTGATTTTTTTGGATGCAGGAAAGGCAGCTGAGTGCCACCCTTCTTGCACTTCTTGATGGGGAAAATGACCCCAGAGCAGATGGGCACGAGCTTATGTTTGTGCACAGGTCTTCTGCTGTTATGATGGTGAATTAGAAATTACGGGGGCTTCTGCGTTTTAACATGTTAAAATTAGAGCTGCTTTGTAGGAGAGGAAGGGCTGTGTTTTGTGTTGCTTCCATGGGGCACTGTGCCTTGCAGGAGCCCAGCTTGCGATCTGTTAGGGTAAAGAAAGGGTCACTCTGGTTCAGCCAGTTCAAGGCTCTGCCAAAAACATAATTTTCCTTAAATCTGCTGTTCGTGTAGTAGTCATGATTGGTACAGTAAATCAACTGAATTAAGTAGGATGTTGACTGGGCTCTTAGTTTTCCTTTATGAGTTAGAAGAGTAATGGGAGAGCATCCTCACACCTGCACACACGCACCAGACCCGTTGAAGAAATCCCTGCAGGTCCAGCCTTGGACCTGGGGCACCTCTGGAGGATCTGCAGCCCTCTCATTCCTCTCTCGGTCTGCAGGTGCTCTGGGCTCAGAACAACGCTGCCGTGGTCTACCCCTGCCACGCTGTAATAGTGACCCTGCAGATCCAGACCGGAGAGCAGAGGTTCTTCATTGGACACACGGACAAGGTGAGCGTTAACTCTCCTTAGAAAGCCTGATGTACCCCAGATGTACCCTTGCTCCCAGTTCTCCTCGAGAGCCTCTAAGCTGGTGCTTCCTGCAGGTGTCAGCGCTGGCCTTCAACGGGAACAGCACCTTGCTGGCTTCCACACAGGCCGGTCCCCTGAGCGTGGTTCGCCTCTGGGACTTCCCCACGGGCAGCTGCCTCTCGGTGTTTAAAACCCACGTCCACGCCCTCCTGTCCCTGAGGTGGGTTTCAGCCTGCGTGCGGGGATGCGTTCAGGTGGGCTGAGTGTTGCAGCACGGCAGTTTTTCTGTGCTATTAATGCACGATAAGCCAGGGGTGAATTGCAGCTCTCCTTCAGCTGCCCGTGTTTATCACCAAGACCTGCTGGCAGCTGGCCCAGAACAGCCGATACGTTGCCAGCTCCCTCTCGAGCTTATCCCTCAGGTCTTGCTGTCTCCTCGTACCCACAACTTGTCTCCTTTTATTCCCCCCTGAGATGCATTCGGGGTACAAGGAGCTGCATTTCACCAGGTGGCCTCTTCTTGCAGCTTTTCCTACAGCGGAGCCGTTCTGTGCGGCGTCGGAAAGGATGGGCATGGCAAAACGGTGAGAATTGAAACTTGGTTTTGGAGGTTTCCCTGTCGGTGAACAAGCAGCAGGAGATGGCTGTCCTCCCAAATTATGTAGTTATTTTGCAGACAAACCTCTGCTCTTGGCTTTCCTAGAAATGTTCTTTACTGTATTCAGAAGGAGATCCCTTCCTCATTAGCTGCTTAGAAAATACTTCCCTTCTACCCGATGCTTGCAAGTATTTGCATGCACGTTCCTTGGCTGCAAGCAAACAAATCCTTTTGGAAGCAGCCCATGAGACCTGTTTGGTTGAGCTTTGGGGCTGTTTTTGTCCCTGGTGTGGTCCCTGCTAGGAGCCCAGGTGGGGTGATGGAGGCAGCTGAGTGCTTCTGCTGCACCCTGCGGGGATCACCGCAGGCTCACGTGCGGCATCGCTGCCCGCCTCCGCAGCCGTTCCAGCCCACCGCGCTGCGGGTGACACGTGTTTATGTGGCATTTCGAGCTGGAAGGCTTGCAAGCACATGGTGAAGGAATGGGAATTGAAATAGGGGGTTCAGCGCTGACTGGAGCCCCCAACCCCCCTTTTTTTTTTTTATAGCACTTAGGGGAAGATGCAAGGTTTAATCTTTTATTTTTGAGCATCACAGGCATTGCTGCTAGAAGGGATGCTGGGCGCTGAAGCTGCCACCCACCGATGTAGCTAGGGGATGACGCAGATCCCACGTGTAGCAATCAAAAATAAAATTGTTTCATGGGACCAGGGGTTTTGTTTTATCAGTGGAACTGTTTTCATCCACTGATCCCTTTTCGACGACCACCAGCAGTTAGCTGTGCCATCGCTAACTGCATACTGCCTGCAGGAAAAAAACAAACAGTGCTCTGTTATTTTTTCCAGCACGTGGCAGCAGTCCATGATCCGGGTGGGAGCTGGTGAGCTGAAACTGGGGAGTGAGGATCAATAAGGCACAAGCAGGATGGGAGAAGGGGGTGCTGAGGGGCTGGCCAGGAGCATCTCTCCCAGGGTGATGCCTCAGCTCATCCCAGCTGCTGAGGTGATCCTGGGTCTGTTTTTCACACTGTTCTGAAATGCAGAGCATCAAATCACCTGCATTTCTTCACCCGTCTCCCGCTTTCCTTTGGGGAAAGGGTTTGACTCTCCTGCCCCTCGTGATGGGCACTGCAGGGGCACGCAAACCTGCGTCGGGGCAAAGTGCTGCGAGAGCCAGCGCAGCCGGACACGTGCTGCCTCCAGCTCCCACGGACTGGCTCAGCCCTGATATAGCTCTTATATCTCAGCCGGCAGAGATCCCACTCCTCCGTGGATTTTCTTTCCAAGTCTGAGCCCTGTTGCCAGGCAGCCCTGGGATTTAGAACCTGTGATTACGGATGCCAGACAAGTACATTGCTATAAAGCTTTGCAAAGCTGTTGGACTGTCCTAAACCCTCTGTGCAAGAGGTTTTTGTTTTGTTTTGTTTTGTTTTTTTTTTCCCCCCTGCTTCAACTCGGTTATTGATACTTTGTGCGCAGCTCTGGATCAGGCTCCCATATGTGCAGCTGGTCAGCTGCTGTGATGAAAAGCTCTTTTGCTGCCAAGGTTTCCACATTTGAGCAGCTCTGCCGTCACGTTTTCTTGCTTCAGATGGTGGTGGTGTGGAACACCGCTCAGGTGACCCGTGGCGGCGAGGTGGCCGTGCTGGCCAAAGCACACACCGATGTGGACATCCAGGCCTTGAAGATTGCTTTTTTTGATGATACCAGGTAGCGTGCAAAGAAAATAAATCAAAAACGTTAGCTCTGGCACGGCTGCGGGGGAAATTGTGGTGCTGCAGCTGTCTGGTTGCCACTCCTGTTCTCGGTCCTCGCTGTCGGGCGAGCCCCTTGGGGCACGGACCTTTCACCAGGAGCTTGGAGAGTCCTGCCCTGGTCCTCACGCGGTCTCTCCCGGGACAGGATGGTATCGTGCGGCCGGGACAACATCAGGCTGTGGCGAGTGCGGAGCGGAGCGCTGCGCTCGTGTCCCATCAATCTGGGCGAGTACCATTCCCTGGAGTTCACCGACCTGGCCTTCGAGGAGGGGCACGCGGCCGAGCGGGAGCCGGAGGATCGCACGCTGTAAGGGGCTGCTGGGCTCCACCGTCACCCGTCCGCGGGGCGGCCTGCCCGGAGGGAGCTCGGCTGCCTTCAGCATCCTCCTTCCCCCTCCTCTGCGGGAGCATGGCATTATTGCTTGGGTTTTCCCTGCAAAATACAGGTGCCTCCTGGAGCTGGGAGATCCTCTTCCCTCCTCGGCGTGCTTCGCGTCCCAGGAGAGATTTGGCTGCTTGCAGAGTAGCCCAAGGAATGGGTCTTTCCACTTGCCACTCTGTTGTTTTGCCATATTTAGTGAACCTCTTCCCCCACCTACGGTCTGTGGTTAGCATTCTGTTGGCAGCGGGAGGAGTGTGGTGCATATAGACAGATACACTTTTTTGGTTTTGTTTTATTTTAATCATCAAAGCCAGACCTTTGTTGCTACCCACATACTGTTTCATAAAGGCAGAGCTGTCAGCTCAGCTGGCCCGGCTGTGTCCCGTGGCAGAGAGAGGTTCCTTTCTGAAGTCTGTGCCAGCTTTCTTAGCCCCTTTTGCTAACTAACGTTTTAAAAGGATAGGAAATAAAATAGGAAGTTCTGACTTGGTTGTAGATTTGTAGGGTAGCACATGGAAGGGTGCCCTTGGACATCTCGTTGACCTCTTGGGTTACAGTGAACCAGAATTGCTTTCCATCAGGCAAACACTTTAACGGGTAAACCAAGCTAGGTTTTTACTAAACCACGCTGCCGCAGCTGCTCTTAACCCTGGGGTGCCAGAGCGGGGGTCTCTCTCCTTTGCAGCTTTGTCTGCAGCAAGAGCGGCCACGTCCTGGAGGTGGACTACAAGAACGTCAGCATGAGGAGTGCGCGGCGGCTCCTGCCCGCGCAGCCCGGCGCCAGGACAGGCAGCGGCGCCGGGAGCGGTGAGCGTGGGCGGGCAGGGAGGAGGGCGCCGGCGGGGAAGCACCTCTGCCATCCTCGGGGGCAGAAATGAACTCAAATCTCTGGTAAAAGCAACCAGCTATTTACCTGCTGCGAAGGATTATTTTGGGTTGATTAGATCATTGCTAGCTGTTTGCCTCTTAAGTACTGCAAATAATCTTCCTTAGTCCAGCAGAGTATAATTTTAAGAAAGAATTTTAGCATTTTCGATGCTGATTGCACTTTCAGAGAAACACTACTTTTAGAAACATGAAACAAGGTCTTAATTTGCTGATGGGAGTCTTAATGTAAAGATGGAAAAAGAGCTAAGCAGACCAATGAAAGCGATGAATTGGAGATTTTTTTTCATTATTCAGCCTGTGCGGAGTGTTTGGGAAATCTTTGTTGCTGTATACTAAGTAGTACGGCTTTCAGTTCTCCCATTAATTTTAACAGCGGGGAGAATTCACTTTCAAGTGTGATTGCTACAACATCTTACAACTTAGTGTATAGTTTGCTTTGGCAAATTGAGCTAATTAATCTAGAGCATGCCCGTTTGAGAGGTATGTAACTCCGGTTCTAACTTCACGGGTGAGGAAGTGTCTAAGAGAAGATGAAATTATGTCCTTGGGCGTCCTCCTGGTAACAGGGCTTTGACCAATGGACTAGATACCTGAATCAAAAAATCCCAGTTTCTGCAGATCTGTGTTCTCTCTCCCTTCTCACTACACTGTAGAGAGGATTTGAGACATGGAAATGAAAGGGTTTTGTAGCTCAGCCAGTTAATCTAGGACATTCCTTGCTACAAGATCCTGTTCAAGGCAAAGATATGGCAGGGTTTAACAAGCGGCAAGAATTTCCTGTCCCTGGTGAGAGTTGCACAGTGGTGAAGAGGAAGGCTGGAAAGAGTTGGAGCCTGACCCCGTTTTGAGTCCTGAGGAGTGTAGCCAAGACTCTTGAGCCTACACTGTCAGTCACTGTGGGATTCCTGGCTGCTTCTGAGCCATCAGCCACTGGTGCGGGGGGACCACTGGACTCAGCTCTTGGATGGGGCAGCCCTCGGTTTGAGTTTTCTTGTTTCAACTCTAGAAGTTAGTGTCATTTTTTGTACTTTCAGGCCCTGGGATCGCTATAAACAGTATTAGCATCTCTTCAACCTTCTGTGCCACGGGTTCAGAAGATGGCTACCTGCGGCTGTGGCCACTGGACTTCTCAGCTGTCGTCTTAGAGGCAGGTGAGTGGAGCTGGGAGCAGTGCTTCTGAGCTCCGCATCTCCATCAGCCTGCTCCTGTGAAGCCAGAGCTCCACTGCCATGTCTCCTAAAGCAATTCTCATGAACGAGGGCATCTTTTATGCCCGCTGTCTCTAGGAGTGACTGGCTTGGAGGTCTTCTACCTCAATGACAATTATGTTCATTCTTGTGAGTCGTAGGAGAAAGGCAGGATCTCCTGGGTGAGAGCAGGCACTCCATCTTGATTTCTGTGCCCTTGTACCCACGGCTCACCTGTCCATGGAAAATGAGGGGAGAAATTGAGCAGTTCTTCACTCTTTTTTGAAACAGTCACCATAACATTAGAGCCCAGGGACTTCTCGAAAGGGCAGAGACTAATTTGTCACTAAACTTAAACCTGCAAGCCTTCAGTCTTCAGGTCTTGGGATGCTCATTCCAGTGTGCATTACTTCCTTAAATGTGAATCTGGTTTGGTAGTGGTGTTTCAGCTGCTGCTGCTCCTTTTTCCAAGGGGATTTGCTGACTCCTGTGTCTTTCCCCAGAGCACGAGGCTCCGGTGAGTTCTGTCTGCATCAGCCCGGACAGCAGCAAAGTCTTGTGCACAACCACCACCGGGAATCTGGGCTACCTGGATATCCAGTCCCGGGACTATAACACCCTCATGCGCTCTCACGAGGATTCCATTTTGGCATTCTCAGTAGAGGGGACTTGGAAGCAGATGGCAACGGTGTCTCAGGACAATACCATCCGAGTCTGGGACCTCATCTCCATGCAGCAGGTAGGTGAGACGACAGTCAGTAGATGTCTTGCATTTATTAATAGTATGCCGTCTCTGTTCAGTCTGGTTATCAAAGCTCCACCATTCAAGAGCCCTTAAATGTCCTTGCTGAAGCATGGGGAGGTTCCATGGGCAAGAAATCATTTGGAAGTGTGGAGTTCTGAGAGTTTTAGCTTAATGTATAGTTCGGCCTTAGCTTATGAAGGTATTGTTAAAAACAATACTTTCTTTTCCTCCATCTTTTGAATATTGCTTATAGCACAAAACATAGCGCCAAAGGGCTTTATCTCAATGCCCACAGACCTGGGCCTTCACTGGGCTTTACATCCATCCAGGCAAGATCAGGTTTCTGCTGTGGGCCACGCTCACAGTGGAGGGCCTGAGGCTGTTTTGTTGTTGGGGGCAGCTTTATCCAGCCTTGTGCCTGCGGCGTGTCTCTTCCCCGCAGCTGTACGACTTCACAGCTGCAGACGAAATGCCGTGCGCAGTGGCGTTTCACCCCACCCAGCAGATCCTGGCCTGTGGCTTTGACAGCGGGATGGTGCGGACCTTCAGCCTGGCCGCCTCCGATCTCCTGGCAGAGCACAAGTAAGCGCTTGCGGTGGGAGCTGCACTGGGGAAGGTGTGGGTCTAACTGGGTGGCCCGGCAGGAGCCACGGTGATTATCATGGAGGTGGGAAACGTGCTTTTCTTGAGCTCGGCAATCCTCACGGCCCATTTGAGGGGTTTTCAGGCAGAGATAGCCTGCTGTGCCAAGGCTCTGGGTGGTAGAATTCCAACATGTGAAGGCTACCAGGGCTTTCTTCATGACTTTCCTGGGGGACAGCTGGCCAACCGTAGGAAAGAGCTCGTCCTAGAGAGCAGCTGAACAGGGAGCCCTTGTGTGAGAGTCAGCATGGGAAGCAGAGGATGCTCCAAAGGGAAAGGGAGCGTGTCCCATCCAGGGGCAGCTGGAATCCTGCGCTTGCTGCTCGGTTTTCCAAGAAGTTGGAGTGTTGATTGTTGTGGGCTGCTGCAGGCGTGATCATGGTGGGGTCTTCTGCCTGTCCCTGATTATTTTGTTCTCCTGGATTCTTCACTGTCTTGCGCTCAATATTGCTACTGTTTTCTGGGGGTTGGTTGGTTTGTTTTTTCACCTCCCCTTTTTCAAGTTTTCTGCCTTCTTTCAGGCAGCATCGCACTGTGATCACTGGACTGACCTTCTCCCCCAATGGCAATTTCATGTTCAGCTCCTGTTTGAAGGGAACTCTGGCTCTTTACAGCTGTGTGGCGCAGAAAAGCCACATCCTGAGAGTCCTGGGTATGTCTCTGGGGTGGTGGGTTGCCTTTCTTCTTTTTTTATTAGCACAGACATCCTGGCACCAAAGTCAAACCAGACTCAGCCTTCTCAGAGAGATATTTTCTGATGAACCTCCTGAGCTACGTCATTTGTGTTTAGACCATATGTGTGAGCAAACCCTAGTGACTGCCAACCCTTCCCTACCTGTCCTGGTTCAAATGTTCTCAGCTTGCTTGGTGTTACGATTTCGTGAATGGGCAGAGGACTTATTCATGCCCAAGTCCTGACTCTTTCTGTTCTATGGATGTGCAGCTTAATTTGTTTCAACTGGATCCATTTCCTTAATCCTGCCTGCAGCAGAGCTGTGCAAAGAGCCGTGCTGGTGAGCGGAGAAGGTGGAGAGCTGCAGGCAGGGGAAGCAGTGCAGGGGCAAAGCAGTTTGGAAACATTAATGTCACATTTAATGTACGCTTTTGAAATGAGCTGTAGCAGCACAAGCTCGAGCAGGGAAAGTGAGCTCTGTTATGCAATATTGTACAAGGAGGAGGATCCTGCCCCAGCAAGCGTGCGGTTGAAATAGGCGGAGAAGGAATATGGGCTCAGAGAGATGAGGGAATTTGTCCAGAATCACCCAGGTTTGGTGTCAGTGCTGCAGCTGGAGCTTCACATGTTGACTCTGCTCTGAAACCGTGTTCACTGCCTGGCCATGTTCCAGGGACAGAACAGTGGAATTTTGGTAGTGGAATAAAAAGACAGAATTGCTGTGATTTCTGTGATTTTTAGACCTCTGGGTCTACCTGCCCCACAGACTGACATCAGCATGGTGGGGTTCAGCACTGACTTCATTCTGTGCAGGGTTGGGACACCCAAGCTGCAGCTGAGATCTCACATTCATAGCTCCTTGTTACAGCTTCTTGTAATGTTAAAAACTAAACACTAAAATCAATTTTATTCCCTCGACTTTGTTCTGCCCTCCTTGAAAACACCACGCGTTCAGTCAGGCAACAAGCTGTGCATCTAGACTTTGCCTTTGAGGTAGATCACTGCTCACTTTGCGTATTGCAGATAAAATTTGTAGCATCTTATACAACAGAGGTTGCTTTTTTCTCAGGCCAGAACGTTAACCCAGGGCTGCTTCGGAGGCAGGAGAAGCTGCAGCTACCAGTCAGCAGCACCGTCCCAGTGAGCTGGCTGTGGCGTGGGCTTTGCTCCCCTCTTCACTCTCTCCCTTGCTGTGGCCCTCAGGCAACGTGGTGGCCCGGGATGCTGGGAGCGGTCCGGATGCTTTGGTGGTCAGTGGGGACAGCCGTCTCTTGGCTTTCGTGGGTCCCTCCAAGTACGTTGTGACCGTGATGGAGGCCTGCTCCCTAGATGAGGTACCCAGCAGGGTCCCCTCGTTCCTGGGGGAGGGCGGAGAGGGCAGCATGTGCCGCAGGGTGCCACGGGCTGGGGGGGATTCCCATAGGCTGCATCAGGTGAGACAGATCAAAGGCCTTGGGCACCAGCAGTGTTGGAGATGGCCCTTCCCTGCACGGCAGACGCTTGCTCAGGGTGCTTACAACGAGGTTTGCTTCCCATTCTGTGAGGCAGAAACAACAAAGTCTACGTTTCTTCTTCTCCAGCTTCATTCCTCTCTAGAAAAATAGTTTGGAGAAGTCTTGCATAGACTGGCAGCTCCAAGTCCTCTTTGTGAGCTGCTCTCCTGGGCAGTAGGGACATTGCCTGGACTCTGCAGCCCCTCATTAGGTGGGACAGGGAGGGCCTGGGGGGCTCTGTAGCCTCGTCTTAGGAGAGCCACGAGAGCAATCCTGAGGCTTCTGTAGTATTTGCTCCAGGATGCTTGTTCAGTAGCTCCTTGTTTCACAGCTGCTGAGGGTGGACATCAGCGTCCTCAATTTGAACAGCACGGCCCTGGACTCTGCACTGAAGGTCTGCTTTGCTCCTGTGCCTCGAGGCGAGCTCCTGGTATCCACTTCTTCCAATAAAATCCTTGTGCTGGACGCAAAAACGGGACGACTGGTGCGGGAGGTAGGACACTGAAATTCATGCACTGAGGTCTTGCAGTAAGGGTGTGAATTAGCTCAGTTAATGCTTCTGGTGCTGTTTCTTGTCCTCAGGTGTCTCCCGTGCACAAGCTGTCCTGTTCTTCCTTGGTGCTGAGCAAGGATGGCAGGTACCTGCTCACTGCTGGTGACAGAGTTATCAAAGTGTGGGACTACCAGATGCGCTTCGATATCAACTTCCAGGTACTGCCCACAAAGGGAGAGAAGGGGGTTGGTGTTGCGTTTCTGGGAGAGCAGCAAATGCCCTCTGTGTGACTTGGCCCAGTGTCCCCAGTCCCTGTTTGCCCAGCAGTTGAGAAATGCAGCCCTATTCCCACATTGTAATAACGCCTGGCACCGAGCGCAGGCTGGGGCTGCCTGAGCCCCGCACTTAGTGAGACCTGTGTGCTAGGGACAGAGCCACCCGGGGAGGAAAATGGCTCACCCAGGGTTCCAGAGGTATTGAGAGCTACAGTAAGACCTTGGGGCTTTTCAGCTTCTGCTTGCTTCTCCAGATCAGTGTGTTGAAGGTCAGTCTTAGGTTGATCAGCCTTAGGTCTGAGCACCGTAGGGACAGTGCTGGCCTCTTGAGAGGACCCTCCACTGAGGAGCGTAGACACTGGCTATCCAGGGCAGGGAATGCAGTAACCACCATCCTGATAGGACAGGCGTGGTGAGGAAGTCCAAGGCATGCTCTCTCCCAGGTGTACATCGGCCACTCGGAGCCGGTGCGCCAGGTTGCCTTCACCCCAGACCAACAGCACGTCATCAGCGTTGGAGATGCCATCTTCCTCTGGGATTTCCTGGCTCTGCCTGTGGAGGGGTCGCCCCCGGCCAGGTAAGTGCACTGTGCTGGGCAGTGCCTTCCCCTGCTTCCCTTCACCTCCCCTGCCCCATCCCCTCTCGGTGTAACGCCAGTCTCCTTGCTTTCCAGGGCTTGTTCCTCCGAGTCCACTCTGCTGCCAAGAGCAGGTGAGTTTTGCCTCCTGCCTGGCAGGTTGGCAGCTCTTCCACTGCTGCTCTTCAGGGCAGAGGGTAGGGGCTGAGGGTTTTTGATTCCTTCTCTGAGGCAGTGACATAGCAGGGGGCTAACCAGCTAATTAGCTGCAAAGGACAGTCTCCAATTAACTAGCACCTCTCAGTGGGAGCGTGCCAAGGAGGGGATGCTCTGAGCAAAGCCACTCGGTTTTCTGGTAGGTCTTTCAACTTTTGTCTTCTGTCTTTTCCTGCCTCCATCTCTTCTGTCTTCTTTTTCCCTGACCTCATTATTCCTCTCTCTCTCTGACCGTCCCTTTCTTGAAGGACAGAGAAATGGCTTCTCCTGTGCAGCAGGGAGCTGAAGAAATGAGCTCGGAGGTAACACCATCGACCAACCCAGGAGGATGAGAGGATCTAAGGGATGAAGGAAGTTACACAAGCCCTTTTCTTTTCACAGAAGGGAGCTCTGAGAAGCTAAAGGATGCCTCTGAGACACCTCGGCAGATAGTTCCTCTTCCATTGTCATCCTCGCCACCCTGTTTGGATGTCAGCTCTGTCCACCAAGCAGAATGTCAAAGTAAGAGGAACTGCTTGCAGGAAAGGGGAAAATTAATCTTGTTTTAGCAACAATGCCTCACCTAGTTTAGCAGCATCCTTGGAGCCGTCCCTGCCCGTGTTCCCCTTCCTGCAGACTGACAGACCAGTCTGCGCTTTCCTTCCCCTAAGCTGGACAAAGCCAGCCAGAGGTGTTGGGGTTCAGCACTGCTTTATCCTCTGCTCTCCTCCATACACTAAGCTGCTGGCACAGCTTCTCCGAGGGCTGCGGTAAATACCGTGTTGGACATACCCAGCAGGAAATGTCTGCTTTGCCCTCCACCCTAGCAGATGGGCTGTTACACTGAGCAGGAGAATGACACTGCCAGAAATCAAAGGGTCAGTCACACATGAAGCGGTCCCGAAGGACGTGGATGGCTCTGTCCTCTCACTAGTTTTTCTCTTCAGGTATTTTCTCTGAGTCGGATAAAGAGGAGGAAGCAGGTCTGCCAGGCAGCAGCAGGATGGTGGCGAATGGAGACAAAGATGCCTCGGTCCTTGAGGTGGAGTCGGTCAGAAACGAGGAGCTGCTTGTTGTGAGGCCCAAAGTGAGGCAGGGGAGCTCGAGGTCTCCTGGAGAATCAGCAAATGGTAAATCAGTCCTCTTGGACAGAGCTTGGCTCCTCAGGGGCACGATGTGTGCAGGCCTGCGTGGCAGCTTGGTCTATCCCTGAAAAATAAGGAAAGGTCATTATTAATATGGTGCAGATAGACCTGGGCGCGTGCTCTGAGTGGTGAGATGAAGGGCAGCAATGTGTTTCTCAGGGCTCTTCCCTTGGGTGTGACTTACCAAGGGAAGTCAGTATTGAGGGACACTCATGGTGGTCCCCAAGACTCTTTGTTTTTCTGGCTCTTTCCCTGCTGCTGCTTCTAGGCACACCACAAGCCCCGCTTCAGCTTGGCACCAATATCATCTCCAAGTGGCACGTTCTATTAAACTCGGCTGAAATTAAAGCTCCCACTGTCTCTATTAATAGATGCACAGCCTCAAAGCTGCAGCAGTTCGTGGCGAGTTGCCAGCCCCAGGCAGCTGCCAGCCCTCAGCCCCAGGCAGGACTTGTTGGAAAGCTTCAACATAAAACTGTGCCTCCGATGCTCTTGGTACGGACCTCTTTCTAGCTGCGGTTGATGCTTTCGCAGCGATGCCCAGGGCACGCAGCGTGGATGCCCTTAGGCTGTTTCGCAGCGCGGTGTGGCTGAGCAGGACGATGGGGGCAGATGGATGTTCCTCCTTTGCTCCCGGGCAGCTGCTGCCATTCCTAGGGCCAGTCGTGTAGGAGCGCGCGTGAGGCTGCAGTTGGATTTTTTGCCTCGTGTCTGTGTACGCACGCACACGCACAGCCTCTGGACGGGCAGCAAGCCGCAGCCTTGCTGCTGCTGCTGCTCCCCAGCCGTTTCCAGGAGCAGCGTCCCATAGCTACTGTCGTCTTCTCTGTGTGGCAGAACCCAGAAAGGAAACCAGAAGTCCCAAGCCCCGATGCTCCGTCCGCCCAGATTCCTACCGGCATTTCACTCCTCGCTTTAAGGCATCCGTGCTCCCCCAGGTGAGAGTTGTGCCCGGGTCGGTTACCCGGGCAGGTGGCAAACAGGCATTTTGGGGCTTGGGTAGGTGGATTTTCCAAATCGTTTCTATTTTGTTCTGTTTGAAAGCAATTTATGAAATATACCCCCGGGCCTTATGTTCAATTAGAAACTCCTAACGTTAGTTCCCCTTTCTCCTCTCCATGCAGCTCTTTCCAGACTAGTAAAAAGTGAGTTGTGATCAACTCTTTTTCTGTTCAGCAAATCTGCATACATTTTTATTCAAAATAAATGGAAATGGCATGTGCTATTGAAAGTGAAAGACGAGTGAGCAATGAAGTGATTCATCGTGCACCCATATTTGCAAGCAGATGCGTTGGCAGAGCAGGCTGGGGAAGGCAATCCATCGAGCGTAGTGAAGATAGACAAGGCACAGCCCTCGCTCTGTTAACAAACAGAGCAATAATAAAACAGAAACTTACTCAACCGTTTCCTAAGCTCTGCTGCTCGCGGTGCTGGGAGAAAAGCTACATTCAGCTTGCACCCTCAATTCTCTCCTCTGTCCCTCCACCTGGTAGCATTTTTTTCCCCTCACTGTCTTCCTATTGAAACATCTACATCCCTGAGTCAGCAAAACCCATTAAACTCTTTCCCAGCAGGATTAGCAGCTGCTCAGCGGCTGGGCAGTTGCTGCCAGCCTGTTTTGTGCCCCATCTGAAAGCATCTGTGACCGGTTTTGCTGGTGCGGTTTCTCTTTTGTATGTATAAGTGTGCACGTTGGTATTTGTCTGGTGATGTGTTGAACTTGGATCGTGTGAGTATTGGCACGTTGTGTGTGTGAGGACATGTGTGTGCTTGCACGCACTCTTTTTTTTTTTTTTTTTACGCGGGTGTTGAATGTACCTGACTGGGCCATCCTTCTAGAGCTTATTTTGAGCCAGTGTCTATTTTTCTTGCAGAGTTTCTTATCTCCTCCAGCTGGCAGTGAGGTCTTGAAGCTGAAAGCAGTGATCGGCTACAATGGGAACGGCAGAGGGAATATGGTGTGGAACCCAGACACAGGTACAGCAGGAAGGCTCTGGAGGGGTGGGAGGTGTGTGCTGAGCCACATTATAATCTTCTAGCTGTTGGGTTGGAATCTTTGCCTTAACACAGGGGTTCTTTGCGCTGGTAAAATCCAGTAACCCTCATTCTTTGCTATTGGCAAATGTCAGTTGACACAGGCAGACTCAGGCTTCAGTTGTTGAGTGGATAGAGCAGAAGGGAAAGCTCTCACGAAGGCCCTCCAGGCTGGAGTGATGCCCAACAGCTTTGCTTTGCTCACATTAGGGGAAGTGAGATTTAACTCCACTCTCAACCTGATGGGAAGGATGCTGAGAAGCTGCGTGGAAGAGTCATCTTTTATGTATTACTGAAAAAAAGTAATTTTCCTGAATTGCGATGTACATTGTAGTGGGTGTTGTATGCGAAGGCTTTACATGAAAAGATCCCCTCTCCTCCTCCTCTGCTAGGCTTCTTTGCCTACACCTGTGGCTGCGTCATCGTGGTTGAAGACCTGCACTCGGGATCACAGAACCACTGGCTTGGCCACGCAGAGGAGATCTCCACGCTCGCCGTCAGCCACGATGCCCAGGTAGGAGAGGCTTCTGCTGCCCCAGGCTGGGCTTCGTCTGTGTCGCTTTGGGCTAAAGGAACGTCACAGACACAAATGTCCCGCTTCTCCGTTCCTTCTTCTGCCTGCTGCATGGAGACCCGGGGTTACGGAAATCCAATAAATGGTTTTGGAGCTCAGCTATCCATTGTGCTGGCTCAGCAGGACAGTAAAGGCTGCTCCCTTCCTCTGGGTGATGCTAGCATTTGCCATTCCCCCCTGCCGTCAGCTGATGGGTGTTCTCACAGAATTTTCCATTTGCCAACTGCGTCGCTTTAATTTGAGACTAACAGTTGCTAAGACTAACTAACTAATGAAGTGTTCTCTAATTACTTACCAAGGTCTCAGTGTCAACACATTGTTCTGCTAGGTTCTTGCCTCTGCCTCAGGAAAGAGGAATGGAGACTCCCATTGTCAGATCTGCATCTGGAACGTCCAGGATGGGGTTTGCTCAGCAAGTCTCCTCCACCATGAGACGCAAGTACAAGCCATGGCATTCTCTCGGGACGACAGGTTCCTTGTTACCCTAGGTGAGTACGCCCGTAGCACCAGGTGTGGGAGTACACCCTAGAGTAGACAGCTCATGGGAGATGTGTAACACCTGCGAGATACGTGCCAGGCTCGTGGGTACGAAGCTGTTGCTTGGTAGTCTTGGGACAATGGATAATGCAGCGTGTAAAGCTGCAAGTGACCTTGGGTCTGCCTGGCAGTGAGTGCCCGCAGAGGTATTCTTTGCAGCTGAACGTGCTTCCAGGGTGCTGTCAGCAGTGGGTCTGGGGGAAGCACACACCTTGTGCATCTCGGCCGCAGGTGGGAGCACTGGGCTCCCCCCAGCTCCCCTTCAGTTCTTTCTCATTGCCCCAGCTAGCTCGTTTTTCTTGAAGTTACAGCTTCCTTCTCCTGGCTCACTAATGTTTGTTAAGCCTGTGTAAATAGTTTGCAGTTACTATATATAGTGTCCAAAGGGAAAAGCCGTCTTCTGGATTTCTTATTGCTGCTTAGGTGGAACTGCATAGAGGTAGCCAGGCTTCAAACTGTGAGCCTCCTGCCAGGCAGCGATGCCAGCACACGACGGACGCTCAAGCTGTCTGTTTTGTTCAGGCAGGGGACATTTAAAGGACAAATATGCAATTAGTAAGTTCTTGTTTTGCATGAGAGAGGACCTGTGGAGCAGGCAATACACTCTCTCTGGGCTGGTGAGTCTGCCCTTGTCAAAAATCAAGCGTTGCTGGAGAGAAAGAGAGCTTTGTGCTTTCCACAGAGCAGCGTGGGAGAGGAGTCCTCCTCCTCCAGCTCTGGTCTGGGCTGCAGTGCTGAGAGGAGCCGAAAGTCTCCACTGAGCTTGTGGAGCGTGGGAAAGGCAGCAGGAGAGCACTGTCCTCCAGAGCTGTCTGGGAGCTGGGCATGTTGGCCATCAGCAAGGGCAGTGCCTTCTGCTGCCACCCAGATACGGTGGCTTCCATTAAAGGCTGCTCCCATCTCAGCTTTGACCTCAGCAAAGGTGACATCCCTTTCTTATTTCAGGACTGTTGTTAGCCCTGAGTGCACAGCATCACTGGAGGGCTTGTGTGGGGCATACGTGGAGGTATGGAGTAGAAACAGCAGAAAACCTGATCTGCCTGCCGCAAGCCTTACCACGCTGTGGTGGGCTGACCCTGGCTGGATGCCAGGCGCTCACCAAAGCTGCTCTGTCACTCCCCTCCTCAGCTGGACAGGGGAGAGAGAATAAAACAAACGGGTCGTGGGTGGAGGTAAGGACAGGGAGAGATCATTCACCAATTACCGTCACAGGCAAAACAGACTCAACTTGGGAAAAAGTAACTTAATTTATTGCCAATCAAATCAGAGTAGGGTAATGAGAAATAAATCTTTAAACGCCTTCCCCCCCCCCCCCCTCCCTTTCTAGGCTCAGCTTTGCTCCCAGTTTCTCTCCCTCCTCCCCCCCACCAGTGCAGGGGGACGGGGAATGGGGGTTGTGGTCAGTTCATCACCCGTTGCTTCTGCCGCTCCTTCCTCCCCATGAGGAGGACTCCTCACACTCCTCCCCTGCTCCAGCGTGGGGTCCCTCCCACGGCAGACAGTCCCCCACAAACTTCTCCCACATGAGTTCTTCCTGCAGGCTGCAGCTCCTCATGAACTGTTCCAGCATGGGTCCCCCATGGGGTCACAAGTGCTGCCAGCAAACCTGCTCCAGTGTGGGCCCCTCTCTCCACGGGGCCACAGGTCCTGCCAGGAGCCTGCTCCAGCGTGGGCTTCCCACGGGGTCACAGCCTCCTTTGGGCACCCCCCTGCTCCGGCGTGGTGTCCCCCACGGGCTGCAGGTGGAATCTGCTCCCCCGTGGAGCTCCCTGGGTGCAGGGCACAGCCTGCCTCGCCACGGCCTTCACCACAGGCTGCAGGGGCATCTCTGCTTCGGTGCCTGGAGCACCTCCTCCCCCTCCTTCCTCACTGACCTTGGAGTCTGCACATTTGGATCTCTCACATATTCTCACTCCTCTTTCCTGCTGCAATTGCTCTGCCCCAGTTTTTTTTCCCCTTTCTCAAATATGTTATCCACAGAGGCATTATCACTGTCGCTGATGACCTTGGCCAGCAGTGGGTCCATCTTGGAGCTGGCTGGCATTGGCTCCATCAGGCATAGGGGAAGCTTCTAGCAGCTTCCCTCAGAAGCCACCCCTGCAGCCCCCTGGCTACCAAACCCTTGCCACGCAAGCCCAATACACATGCCAGCCATCAGCTGGTCCAAACGCTGGCTGCAGACCCCACTGCAGGGCCAGATTTTCTGCAGCCTCCAGCACGAGGTGTTGGGCCAGTTATATCTGTCCTCGATTCAGATGAGGACCCATCATGTCGTGCAGCTTTTGCTGAGCACGGAAGGAGCCGTGTCCATGCCTGGGATGGTGTTCACAGCAGCTGTCCCCAAACAACTGGACAGGGGAGTGACACAGCTGATGCGTGCGTGCTTGCGAGCATCCCGGGGCTGCAGAATTTCCTCCTACTGTCTTTCATGTTCTACCTAGGGGACTACAGCGATCAAACCATTGCTCTGTGGAATACCTACACTTACAAACTCATGTCGTCGATTTGTATCTCGGAGCCAGTCCATGACATGGCTTTTAGTCCTCTTTCTCACAGAGAACTGGCCTGCGTGGGGAAGGGAGCCATGATGTTTTGGCTGTTGGAGCAGCAGGGAGCTGATGTCAACCTCAAGGTACACCTCGGTTTTACCTTTTAAAATTTCTGTTCAGCATCTCTTGACTTCTTTTCCAAGCCCCTGGTGAATGCAGTGGAGGCTCTGCCCCCACAGGTCTGTGAGACCTGATGATTTCTCTTAGGGAAATGACGTTGGCTGGCCATGAGTGGCTTTCAGTCGTATTTGATGCATTAACTGCATGAGTTGAGGGTAGGAGAAGGGTTACTCTTCCCCTTGTAGGCGAGTACCATATTCTTTCTGATGTTTCTCTTTCATGCACTCCGGCAGGTTCATCGAGCCCCTGCCCCAGACGTGTTAGGGCCGGTGGAGCTGACCTCTCTCTGTTACGGTGCCGACACTCTTCTTTATAGTGGGACCAACTCAGGCCAAATCTGCGTGTGGGACACCGAGACTAATTGCTGCTTCATGACGTGGGAGGCTGATGAGGGCGAGATTGGTGGGTGCAAATGCCCCAGACACCTGTCAGGGCTGTAACAAATTCCATGGGAACTCATTAGGAAAGAAGAGCAACGAGCTTGCAGGCTTCTGATTTCAGCTGTGCTTAGAAAAGTCGGATATAAGATGCGTGGGGTGGCAATGGATCGGGGTTTCCCTGGGTTTCCTCGTCAGAGCTGGAGGGTCCATCTCCAGTCTGTAAAAACGCTGGGTATCGGGCTGTAAAAGACCCCCGCTGCCCTTCCCGAATGAATCAGTGGCCCAGCTGTCAGGAGCACACCTTGGGTGACGGCTGAGAGGGGTGGTGGATATTCACGGGTGCCCTTCGTTCCCCTGTGGCCTCCCAGGTGTGCTGGTGTGTCGGCGCAACAGGCTGGTGAGCGGCAGCAACACCAAACGCATCCGGCTGTGGGCAGTGGCCGCCGTGCAGGAGCTGAGGCTGAAGGGTCCCGACGCCAGGTAGGAGGTCGTGGCCCCAGCTGTGCTCGCCCCCGGCTCGCCGTGCTCTGGAGATGCTCTTCCCCTCATCTGGCAGCTCCCAGGACCTGTCTGAGAGGTGGCTTCTCACAGACAGACACTGGCTCTGCCTGCAACCACACTGCTCCTGTTGCTCCTCATCCTTAGCTTTTCCTCTCCATCCCGTCACTACTGATTCTTTCTGTCTGGATCTTTTGACTGAATTTTTGCCACAGGTAGCTGAACCCTCTTAATACTGGAAATGGGTGGAGTTTATCGTGCCTGAAGTTTGTGTTGGTGATTTGTAGGAACTCTTTTAAGAGAATTAGTGAAAATACTTTGCCTTTGTTTCTTCCCTCGCACTGTTGCATCCCTTACTGTCTTTCTTTCTTTCCTAAAATAGATGGTTGCACTGTATATGCAACAGTAATCACTGTTCAATGCACAAGAGCCCCTCATTGAACCATTTAGCTGCAAATATGTGAGCAGGCTCATTTGAAGATTGCATTTAAAGGAGGCAGAGTGGCTGTTCCAACAGCTTGAGCCAGTCCTTCTTGCATCCTCCTGTCCTCCAGGTCTAGCTCAGTCCTGCTAGAACATGAGATCACCCTCGATGGGACGATAGTCAGTGCAGCCTTTGACGACTCCCTCGAAATGGGAATTGTGGGCACCACGGCAGGAACGCTGTGGTACATCAACTGGATGGAGAGCACAAGTATCCGCCTAATCAGTGGCCACAAGAACAAGGTTAGAGGGGTGTGAAGAATGACTAGTTTGAATTTTGCTGTGGCTTTGGGGTGTCTTTATGGTACAGAAAAAAGATTTCAAATGGTAGAAGGTATGCCTACATTGCATAGTGCCCAGTCCTAGCTTTGGGATTAGGTTTACTCATTTCCATCACAAGCCTAGTTGTAAGCCTAAGATTAAGGACAAAACCAAAGCACGCCACCTTCTTTTATATCCGGGGCTTCTCATCTGGTGTCTCCCATGAGAGGGGTCCTGTGGGATGAGAGGGCAGAGGAGCTGATGTCCTCCAGCCGGTGGCATTTGTAGGGCCCCTGTTCCCCAGCTCCATTCTTGCTGCAGGTGACCGAAGTGTGCTTCAGCCCTGATGAGACACACTGTGCGACGTGCGGGGAAGACGGCAGCGTGAGGATTTGGTCTCTGGGCAGCATGGAGCTGGTGGTACAGTTCCAGGTGCTCAACCAGGTAATTGTTTGTGGTACGTCAATCTCTTCCTCTTGGTAGAGGGCTTGGGATTGCAAGGGACTGCTGTGTCTTCATGGAATAGGCTAAAGCTGGAGAAATACTTGCAGGTGGAGCTTTTAGTGCGCTTGATTGCACAATCCTGCTGACTTCGCTGTGTCATGGGGTGTCTGCCCTGGTTGCTTTGCAGAGCTGCCAGTGCCTGGCCTGGGAGCCTCATCCCATCGTCACGTGGGCAGCTGAGAGCCAGCATGTGGTGACAGGGTACAGCGATGGCACCATCCGTGTGTTCAGCATCTCCAGGACAGAGATGGAGCTGAAAATGCACCCCCATGCCGTTGCAGTGACAGCAATCACCTACTCCACCGACGGTGAGGCTGCCTGGTAGAACAGTGGGGAGACCTTGCCTCAGGGAGCACCCCGAGGTTGAGCCTGGGTTACCCTGACCTCCAGCTGCTCTACATACTGGTGACCTGCCCAAAAACCTGGAGCCAGGGAGAGCCAGAGAACTTGTCTCAATGAGCTGTGGTAGCTCTGCCAGCTGAGCATGTGTAAATGGGACACAGGAGGTATATTGGCAATGGTATAACAAAGGGGTTTGGGTACAAGAAGCGTTCCTTTGTGTCCTCCTGCTTGCAATCTGCAGTGGCATTTCTTCAGTGTGGTGTTTTAGTGGATGTCTCTGACATCTCCTTTTACCCAGCCCTTGATTCAGATGTTCCCAGCCTTTCACAGTGTTTTGGGACACCAGTATCCCACTATCTTGGACCTTCATCCTGTGGGCTTTTTCTTCTCCTACAAGAAGTGTCCCATTCTTTTCTCTCCTCTGTCCACAGGAGAAATGATCATATCGGGGGGCAAGGATGGGCTCGTGGTTGTCAGCAGCCCTCACACCGGAATGACCATCCACGTCCTCTCTGACCACAGAGGCTCCCCCATCACTGTTCTCCAGTGCACCAGGAAGGAGGTGAGACCTCAGCCTCTGCCCTGGTGCTGTGCGGGAGCAAGTCCCCCACGTGTCACTGCACAGCTGTGGGGAGCAGCAGCAGCATGGCTGGGTGGGTCAGTGAGTTTGCTTTATTGTCCCTCGCCTTTCCTCTTTGGGCCCCCATCCCCTCCAGTAGCTTCTGTTCAGTTTTTCCAGGGATGTCTTTGGTGGGGTAAAGCCACGAGCATTGCAGGTGCAACCCTGAGCAAGGCTGTACCTGAGGGCAGGGGGACCTTTGGTGACTGTTGGAGACACACAACACGCAGATGTGACATTTGCCTGCACTGCAGGCTCTCAGAGAGCAACAGCCCTTGAAAGCAGCCCGTGCTGTGAGCTTTTAGCCACAAGAAAGGGCTCAGTGTGCTTTCTCCCAAGTCGTTCCTTGGCAGCCTGGCCTGCTGTGTGTAGCTGGCTCTTTGTACAGTTTCTCTGTGGAGCTAGGAAGACTTGGTTGGGCAGCAGGGTGACAGTTTTAGCACCTCCTTTGTCCTTCTCTTCATAGAGAGTCTTTTTCCTTTGCACAGTGGAAATGAGAATAATTTTGCCTAAGTTCTCAGGCTTCAGAATCATCCATGCTGCAAGGTTGTGTTCCCTGGTAATTCTAGACTTAGGTGTTCCTTCTCAGTTTTAGGTGAAGGACATTGTTAGGTGACACATGGTATGTGCAAGCACTCCCCTAGGAGATGTGTAGATCCAGAGGGCATCCCAGGGAAGAGATCTGTGCCGTTCAGGCTAGGCACTTGCTCCTCCTCCAGCAGCCTCTTCTGCTGGGGCTCTCAGCCCAGAGCGTGCTGCCAGTTCCAATACTGTGGCTTCCTTGTCCTATTTTATTCTAAGTGACTTTAAACACTGCCCAAATGAAGGTTAATCCTGGCATCGATCCCCTACAGCATGAGGCCTGTGTTCCCACAAACTCCTTGCCCCACGCTAGCTCTAGTGGCAGCTTTCTCTAAAGCTTCTCTACTGCCAGGGTCACAGCGTTGCATTTATCTTCTGTAGTATCGCGACTTTGGGGTGGAAGGAGGCGAGCTTTGGCTGGCCACCAGCTCAGACCGGCGGGTCAGCGTCTGGGCCTCCGACTGGCCGAAGGATAAATGCGAGCTCCTCGACTGGCTCAGCTTCCCAGCTCCTGCCGGCCCCGAGGTGAGCGTGGCGCTGCCAGCCCCTGCCTGCTCCTGGCACAGGCCTCGGCACCAGCCGAGCTGCAGGGGGGCGGATGCCTCAAGGCTCTGGGTGGGACGGGGCCACAAAGAGAGTGTGTGCTTAGGAAAGTTATCTTCGTTAGTTCTGCTGCTTGTAGACTATCCTGTTAATGCACCTTCTTGTGTGTCGAAAGGCAGCGGGAATCGTTAGCAGTGCCTAACCGCCAGGAAGCACCGGCTTTGTAAGCATCGGGAGTCAAAAACTGCATCTGCAAAGAGCTGCCACCCCTCTGCTATGCAAAACAGAGCACAGGCGGCAGTGAGCACGGTGCACAGAAGGGAGACCCGATTATAAGCATGCTGCTAACTTTGACGCTCCCAAAGAGCATGAATATTCAGTGCCAGGAGCCCAGTGATGGGTTCATAGAGCCAAGTACTGTAGCCCTATGTGTCTGTGATGCTTTGCAGCACCCTTTGGCTCCATCCCAGGTGTGAGATGTGGGCAGCAGGACACCTGCTAGAAAGGGAGGAGGGTTTATATCAGGGAGGACGTGGAGATGGTCCCTGGTGCATGTCACATTGGCATGCATAAGGGAGCCGGGTCTTTTGAGTGGTGCCTCAGCCTGCCACCCCCAGGGCCAAGCACTGTCCAGACCCATACAGCACCTGGGTTCTGTCAGTATTTCTTCTGTTTGCTTCCAAAACAATGGATTTCCTCTCCATGAAGGAAACCCACTACAGGTCTCCCCACAGTGAACAGCAGCAGGATTAATCTTGCATCCACTAACAAAGATCTATCTTCTGGGCCCTATTTTCATGTATTAAACTCATCCATAGCCCAATCTCACCTTCAAGCCCGTGTAGCAACAATGGCTCAGTGGAAATGCAACCTTTTGGACCCTCATGTGTCCTGCTCTTATGAGAGTCAACAATTTGCTTCAGGTTTCCATGGCAGTGTGTGGTTGCTCCTTGCTTTGCCATGAGCACGTCTGAGATGGCAACACAAGACGGAGGAAACAGCCTCCATCGTACTAATTTCTCGCTGCTCAGACACCCGCAGCCCAAGGGCTGGTGTCCTTCTGTGCTCTCCTTTTGTCCCCCACCGTGTTGGGTCAGGCTGGAGAAGCTAGCCTCAATTTTGTCTCCTTTGGTTTCCCTCACCAGGGTCTCAGCAGCCTGCCACCCAGCCTGGCCGCGTTCTGCCCTTGGGAACCCGGTACCCTTGTCTACGTCGGCTTTGGGATGCAGAAGGAAGCCTTGTTTTACAGTTTGCACAAGAAACAGGTACTCGTGCCCTGCCAGGGCGGCGCGGGCGCTCCTCTGCCGCTGCAGAGCCGTGGCCACGTTGAATGAGGTGCAGCGGGGAGGAGGCAGTGCCGCTCTGCGTGTAAAGCCAAGTCTAAAGGTGCAGGGCAGGCTCAGGCAAGCAGCTGCTCAGGGCAACAGCTTTTCATCTCAAACTCCCGAGTCTGACCCTGCCCCTGCCTCGGGCTGCATCTGGGCAGGCTGCCAGTCCTGGCTGCCACCCTGCCGCCTTTCCACCCGACTGGAGGGGAAGGCGTTTGCTTTCAGGAGCACTAACAGTGTCTAAATCAATGAGTGGAGTCTCCTCTGGAAAATCGATGCCTTTGGCATGTTTCCGAGATGCTGTGCTTCTGTCAGCCTTCCCTTTGAGAGGAACCCCTTACCCTCCTAACAGCTGTCACAGCAGCAGCTCTGGTCTCCTGCCTTCTCATTTCTGAGGGGTTGGTGTGTTTCTCTTGCTGGAACGCAGGTAGTTGAGAAGATCTCCTTGCCGTACTTCGCCACATCGCTCAGCCTGTCTCCTGCAGCACGCTTCATGGCTGTCGGCTTCGGTGGTGAGTACCGGAGGGTGCTGTGGGCCCTGCTGCCCAGGCTGCCTTGTCCCCAGGTTGCCTTCAGTGAGGAGGGATCTCCCCTTCTTGTGAGGCGGGGGAAACCAAGCGCCCTTTTTCCTTTAAACGAGAGAGATGTGCACATACACCAGCCCATATCCTCAGACCCTGGCACTGCAGGCAGGGTGTATGTCAGGCAAGGAGAAAGCTCTGGGAGACTCCTAGGTCAGAAATGAGATGCGTGAGCTCAGTCATGTTTGTCAGCGAGCAAGATTTGTCATTCAAATGACTTCTTGGGATTACAGGCTATCTTCATCTCTGTGGCTGTGTGAGCTACAGCCTAGGAGGCAGAAGGGACCTTCCCGCAGCACGGGGACAATCAGCACCCTTGTCCTGGCAAGGACGCCTTGCTCCTGTAGCTGTTTGTATCTGCTTGGGGAGGCAGCACTTAGGTCCATCCCGTTCTGACAGCAGCTCCTGAGCACAGGGTTCGCTCCGTGCCTGCCCCAGAGCCACGGGGCACCCATTCAGCCCAGTCCCAGGCGCTTTGGGGCGGGGTGTGTGAGACAGCAGAGCTGCGCTAACGCGTGCTGCCACATCCATTGCTGCAGTGTGACAGTCTGACACGCAGCGTGGAGCTGCCCTGTCATGCTCCCTCCCCGTTACCAGCTGTTAACTGCCTGCTTGCTTCCGCAAGAAGCTGTCCCCTGTCACTCAGCACAACTCAGCCGGGGTGAGAAGGCCCAGAGGGTGGCTGGGAAGGGTGCTCCTGGCAGGAACAAGCCCCGTGGCGGTGGAGCCTCCTTCCCCTGGCACTGAGCCCCCTCCTCTCCCCACAGAACGGCTGCTGCGGCTGCTGCGCTGCCCCACCAGCAACGCGCAGGACTACGCCGGCCATGACGACGTCGTCCACCTCTGCCGCTTTGCCCCCTCCGGCTGCCGCCTCCTCACGGCCTCCCACAGCGCCGTCCTGCTCTGGGAGCTCGGGGGAGGCTGAGCCGGGGCTCCCCGGGACCGGCGGCTCTTCCCCGGCGGGCGGCGGCCCCGGCGCCCGGGCGAGGCCCCGGCTCCGGCCCCGACCAGGCCCCAGCCCCGCCTTCTGCTCCCCCGACGCGTTGCAGGGGCTGGAGGCCGCGGTGGGCCCGCAGGCCAGGCCCGGGCGGTTGCGGGATTATGTGTTTTACGGCTCCATTTGCCGGGTTTTTTTTTGGTTGGTTGTTTGTTTTTTTTTTTTTTTTGTTAATAAAACATGGAAAACTGAAGCCGGGAGGTCTGAGGGTGCTGCGCCCCGCCCCGCCCGCCAGGGGGCGCCGCTCCGGCCGCGCCGCTCTGCGCCGCCGCTCGCTGGTGCGGCCGGAAGCCGGGGGGGGGGGGGGGGGAGGTGCCGCCATGAAGCGGGACGTGAGGATCCTGCTGCTGGGGGAGGGTAAGGCGGGTGGTGGGGGTAGCGCTCGCATCCCGCATCCTCCGGATCGACCGGGGACCACCCTCGGCACCGGGAGGGTCTCGTCTGTGGGGGAGCGGCCAGGTCTGCCCGTGACCGCGGCCTCCGGGGAGGTTGGCGGGGCGGGCGACGCGTGTATGTGTGTCCGTCCACGCACACGCCGTGATGGCTCCGGTTGCGCTGCTTCCTACCCGCCACGGCAGCCCCGCGGGGCCCTTCTCGTGGGCTCCCTGCCGCGGGTGGGCCGGGCTGAAACAGGCTGCGGGCTCCACTCGTGGCTGCCGCTGCCCCCGGCCCGTGTCCTGCTCTAACATCTTCCCTTTCTTCCCTAGCCCAGGTGGGGAAGACATCTCTGATCATGGCTCTGGTGGGCGAGGAGTTCCCTGAAGAGGTGAGTGTGAGTGGGGGGAGCCCCGGCCCCCCTCGCTGGGTGCCCTGCCAGCCAGCGGTGGGACAGCTCTGTCCCGAGTGGCACCGGCCTGAGGTGGGTGGGTCTGGGAGGCGCCCACAGCTCCGTGGGGACTGGTGACAGCCACACACTCGTTCAGGTGAGCTTAAGACTGTGAGGACTGCACAGAGCTCCAGCTGAAATGGTGTTTTCCCCGGGGAGAGGTGTAGGTACTGCTGCACTGAGGGTGGCACAGAGCCCTTGGAAGGGGCAGAGCTGCGTTCCCTGACCTCCTGCATGTGTCTGCAGACGGGCCCGGCGCTCTGAGCTGGGCTGTCTGCGAGGAGCAGCACCCAGCCTGCCTGTGCACGCTGCTCAGAGCCCCCGGCTCAGTGACTCGCTGTCCAGTTGCAGTTTGGGTAGGGAGATGGGATCACTCTGTCCAGGTATGTTTGTCCCGTGCCATCAGGCAGCTTCTCCTGCTGCCCGTGAGCACATGGTGCCCTCTGCAACGTTTGCACTGGGAAGCACCAGCTCAGTGGAGAACCAGCTCCGCGCACCTTCCCGTGCTCTCGCAGCAAAGCTTGGACAATCAGCTTAGCGCTTCTCCCAGCTGCCAAGAGGTCAGGCCAGAGAGTGGGGGGAGTGCTGAGGGCTAATATCGGGAGCTGTGTCTCGAGGGAGGGCTTGGGGCTGGGCGGGGGTCAGAGGTTTCACTGCAGGGACGGTGGCTGTGTGGGCTGGAGCGGAGCGAGCCGCGGCGGTGGCTGCAGCTTGGTGGTCCGTGGCCTGGAGCTCATCCCACCCTGTCCGGGAGGGCGCTGGGCAGCAGCTGCGTTGGGATCTGAAGTCCCTCGTCACCCGTTCACCCAGCTGCGTTCAGCACGGCTGGCTGGACCAGAGTCTGCTGGCTTTGCAGGTGCCTCCTCGCGCGGAGGAGATCACGATCCCGGCTGATGTCACCCCTGAGAAGGTCCCCACACACATAGTGGACTACTCAGGTAGGGCCCTGTCCCGCCTCACTCCCTGGCTGAGGGCAGTGGGAAGGGATCCCCACTGCCGGGGCAGCTGGTGACGGCTCTCTTCCCCTTTCAGAGTCGGAGCAGACGGAGGATGAGCTGCAGGAGGAGATCGCTAAGGTGAGTGGGGCTGGGCGGGGGGTGGTGTGGGACAGGCTGCGGTGCCCGTGGCCTTTCGGCTGGCGGCTGACACGTGCCTGCTCGCTCTCCCTGTTAGATACCAGAGGTGTACAGGCGGTTGCTTATCTGTGGATTAACGCTATCAGTTTGTTTAGTGGCTTGTTTAATCTTCCTCTGTCTTGTAAGCCGTTGTGCGTGGCTTGTCCTAGCCCTCCGGGGAGGCCTCCAGAAGGAGAGCGGTGGGGAGCAGCTCGCTGCCCGCCGGGAGGTGGAGGAGGCTGCTGAGCAGATGATGTGCTCTTAGCATCGGGATCTTCCCAACGGACTCGGAAGAGGCGAGAAGCAGTTACTGCGCTTGGGCCAGGCCCCCCTGCTCCCTGCATTAGGTCCCTGTGGCTGCCTGATGAAGCTGTTGGGCTCCCGTGTCCCTCCAAGCAGACACGGAGGAATAATCCAGCTGGCTGGCTGGGGTGGGCCCAGCTGCTCTTCTCAGCCCTGGGATTAACCTCAGCTCTGCACAGAGGAAGACCTCTTGATTATGGATAATAAAACTGTCTCTCCTCTGCGTAGCTCATGTGAGCAAAGCTATTTAATCTCTTCACCTCGGTGGCTAACAGCCAAGGAGGTGGGCTAGCGAGTACACGGGTCCTGCTCCCTCCACCCAGACAGCAAGAGTATACAGGAGCTTAGAATGACTCCAGGAAATCCTTCCTAAACCCTTGTATGTCCTTGGGATTAGTGCTAAACTCTCTCCTGAAAGGGCCAGTGATCCTTCCAGTCTGCTTCAAATAGAGCATTGGTGTCGGGGAGGGGAGGAGGGCAGCCGCCACGGCCCGGCACGGGCAGAGCCGTCACGGAGGGACAGTGAGGTGTGAGAGCGGGGAACCGGGGTGTCGGGCGTGGAGGCAGGTGTGCTCGCGGCAGCTCCCGAAGCAGAGGAGCCGGTCTTAGCCCCGAGCAGCCCGAGGTAGAGCCTCGTGTTGACGGCGGGCGAGTTGTTGCTGTGGGAGGGCTGCGTGTACGGGTGCACGCTCGCGCCTGCTCAGCTGCCGGTTTCGGTGCGGGGCCGGAGCTGCCTGGCTGTGCCTCGGGCTCGGCCAGCCTCCCCACTGCCGTGAGTGTGCCGCAGGGACCCTCGCTCACCCTCCCCTCTGCCACTTCTCTCTTGCAGGCCAACGTGGTCTGCGTGGTGTACGATGTCACTAAGGAGGCCACCATCGAGAAGGTAACGGCTGCCCCACCAGAGCCCGGAGAGGCCCCGCTCTGCCAGCAGCACCGGAGGGGAGGGGGTTCCCAGAACTGGGTCCTTCCATGCTGCCCTGGCTTTTTGGTGTGGGTGGGTACTGATGCCCCCTAGCCCTACGGGGAGGATTTGGGGTTTGAGACCCCCCCTGCAAGCAGAAGCTGAGCACAACCCGAGCTTGCTCCCATGTTGGCTGTTGTCCTCATGTGCTGGGGGGCAACGGGCTTGTCACATCCTTCTGCTGGCATCCAGCATCCCTGGGTCTGCTCTGCCTGCTGGTGCGGGGGAATGCCGGGGAGCAGATGGCTGCAGGGCCCTGCTGACTGCTGCGGCGCCTGTGCTGGGAGCTGCCTCTCCCTCCCCAGCCTGCGCTGACGGGCCTTTCCCTGTGCTCGCCTTTCAGATTCGCACAAAGTGGATCCCCATGGTGAACGGTGGAGTTGAAAAGGCCTGCAGGTACCATGCGTGCCGTGGTCCGCGGACGCAGAATTGGGGGGATTTTGGGGGGCTCTGGGGCACCCACCACCCTCGCTGTCTCCCGTGGTTACTGAGATCAAACCAGCTTTGTGGCTTGTGACCAGACCACCTGTAGCAGAACACGGGGGCTTTTCTCCCTCGCAGATCTAACCGAGGCAGAGGGCCACAGGAGAGGGCTCCTTCCCCCCTTGATCTCCTCTTAGCCAGTCAGGGAGAGGAGAGGAGGCTGCCAAGGGAGTATGGGAGCACAGAAGACGCAATCTGTGTGTGGATTGCTTAGACAGAAGGCTGCTGTGCTGGATTAAAGGCTCCTGAACATATTGTTGCTGGGTGAAAGCATAAGCGGGATCAGGCAGTCTGTTTCTCCAGATGGATGCTCCCAGCCGTGGGAGGCAGGAAAGCTGCTCTGGACCTTGTGGAGGAGGGTGGGGAGGCTCCCCAGCCCGCTGCCTGCAAGCACGTGTGGCTGGGGCAGGGCCAAAACCAGGAGAGGGGTGGCCTCACTCATGCTCTCTGACACTCCATCTTTCTTCTCCAGGATCCCCATTATTTTAGTGGGAAACAAGTCCGACCTGCAGGTGGGGAGCTCCATGGATGTCATCCTGCCCATCATGAACCAGTTCTCAGAGATTGAGACCTGTGTGGAGGTGAGGGAACGAGGATTTCTGCAAAGCTCCCCCTGAGGGGTAGGAGTCAGGGAGCCTTCGTTCTTGGGGAGATCTGCTCTGCTAATACTGCTCTGCAAAATTACCCCTATCTGGGTCTTGAGGGCCTGTGCTTTAGTCTTGCTGCCCTTTGTCTTCCTCACAGGGAGTGGGCTTGTGTCTGCCCACTCCAGCTCTTTAGCTGTAACTGGTGTTGGAGCAATGTGCAGCCCCTGTTGGCTTGGGGGCTGTGGAATGGGCGCAGCAAAGCCAGAGCATGAGCAGGAGATTTCCCTTTTTTTTTTTTTTTTTTTTTTTCCCTAATGGTGGACAAACCCTGCTCTCTGCTTTGGTGCACAACTTATCTGGCTCAGGGACCTCCTATCACCCTCCTTCTGCACCTCATCACCAGCCCTTTCCCTGATCACAGGTCTGTCTCTTCCTTTGAATCCCCAGTGCTCTGCCAAGAACCTCAAGAACATCTCTGAGCTCTTCTACTACGCCCAGAAAGCTGTGCTGCACCCCACCGCCCCCCTCTACGACCCAGAGGAGAAGCAGGTAGGAAGCACTGCTCACAGAGTCTCCTTCCCATCACAGCGCTCTGCTTTGTCCCTGTGCTTTTGCCCCTGAGTGGGAGGGTGGAGAGTTTGGAAAGTTTGGGCTGACGCAGCCAGAACAAGGAAGAAGCACCCATCTCCTGTGCTCAGCACAGCCAGAGAGATCTGCAAGGGCCAGGGGCATGTTGGAGCAGAAGCCCTCATGCTCCAGCCCGTGTTAGTCATGGTGGGAAGGGTCCAGGAGAAAACCCCCCTGTGGGCTGTCCTGCTTCTGACTCCCAGCTCCAAGGTGGCTGCGGTACTGGCCTAGCTGGGACCGTGTTCCCAGCCAGTGCAGGAAGGGAGCCCCTCTGCGCATGAAGGTTTAGGGGGAAGAGCCAGGCTGAAGGTTATGCCCTGTTTTTGTCACCATGGTTGGTCCCTTGCAGCTGAAACCTGCGTGTGCACGAGCACTGACCCGGATTTTCAGCCTCTCAGACCAGGATAACAACCAGATCCTTAGTGATGATGAACTCAACTACTTCCAGGTAGGGCTGGCTGCAGAGCTGAGATATTCCACAGGCCCTTCTGGAAAGCCCCTGGGGTCCCTTTTCCTTCCAACACCAGGCAGAAAGGCTGCCCCTCTCCTAACCCAGCCATCCTGTTTGCATTCAGTACTTCTGCTGTAGCACAACCAAAGCACCATAGAGTGCATCACTGAGCACATGGGCATCCGCAGGTCTTCCATCTTCCCTAAGCGTGGGTTGAGTTTGCTCTGCAGTGGGAAGAGCAGGAGGCTCTGGAGATGTTGAGAGTCATAATTTATCGGGATGCTGAGGAACAGGGGTTTGGTCAGGGTTTAAGGCAGTAATCCCTGAGCTGGGTGGATTTCCTCTCCTAGAAACACTGCCCCCTTCCCTGGGGAGAGGGATGCTGGCGAGACAAGAGGGTTGTGCTGTCTGTGTGCTTTGCTGACAGTGACCTTCTTTCTCTTGGGAGGTAGAAATCCTGCTTTGGAAACCCACTGGCTCCCCAGGCCCTGGAGGACGTGAAGATGGTTGTGTGGAAGAACACCACAGACGGGGTGCAGGACAACGGCCTGACACTGAATGGTAACAGCACAGGGGCTCCGTGCCCCTTCCCAGCGAGGGATGGAGGGGCCCTGTCCTCGGGCTGAGCCTTGTGGCTCTCATTCCAAGCTTAATTAGTCCCTCTTGTCAAAGCAAACCTGAGCCTGCTGTGGCTCCTAGAGCTCTCTGTCCAAGAGCCTGTTTTCCCAGGGAAAACATGGTCCCGAGGAGTGAATCCCTGAGGCAGAGTGCTCGGTTGGCCCCACTCTGTCTCACCCACCTGATCTCTCCTGCAGGCTTCCTCTTCCTCAACACGCTCTTCATCCAGAGGGGCCGGCACGAGACCACCTGGACCATCCTTCGGCGCTTCGGGTACGACGATGAGCTGACGCTGACGGATGACTATCTCTACCCACAGTGAGTATCCTGCCGTGGAGTGGGGCGGGCAGGGTGTGACATCCCCGTGGTGCACAACTTGGGGCTCCCCAGCCCCTTCGCTGGCTCCTTTCTGCACCCTGGGCTCTACTGCGTTCCTCAGCCGAGGCTGAATCCGGAGCTCGTGGTCAGGTTCGTGCTCCTCACCTTCCCCTGTGGGTGGGAGCTGACGCGTGGGGTTGGCGACAAATACAATGGGGTGTGGAGCTGCTGACTGCTGCTGGCTCTGATGTAGGTGGGCATGGAGGTGGGGAATGAAAGGCCTGTCCCTGACCAGCAAAAAGGTTTTTTGAAGGCTGTTCTGTCTGCCTGAGCTGAGGCAGAATGGCTGTCAGGAGCAGTGAGCTGTCAGCATAACCCCTCCAGGCTGATTCTGCAGCTGCTGCCTCTTCTCTGCTCCCTGCCACCCCGGAGGTGGTGATCTGGCAGTAATGAAAGGGTTTGGCTTGTGAGCCGCCTCATCCTCTCCCCAGACAGCAGGCAGGGCCTGTGCTGGTGGAAGGCAGCCTGGGGCCAGTGCTGTGCCCTACAGAAGCCCTGGGCATGAGGCAGAGCGAGGGCTACATCGTCTCCCTGGCTGCTTGGGCAGCGCGGATGTGCTGAGAAGAGGCCGCTGTGCACCCTCAAGGGCTTCTCCCCAAAACAAGGCGGGGGGAGGGGGGTTTGGGGGTGTGTGTCGAGGAGCAGCCAGGCCTGGTGACAACCTCTGGCCTTGAGCAGGGAGGGAGTGGGGAGCTGTGTGCTCTGGGTGAGATCTGGCTTGGCCAAAGACCCGCTCGCCCGCTGCCCTTCATTTGGGGCTTGAGGAAGCTCACTGGGGTCTGTTCTGACAGGTTCCGCCTTCCCCCCGGCTGCTCCACGGAGCTCAACCACTTGGGCTACCAGTTCCTGCAGCGGCTGTTTGAGAAGCACGACAAGGTGGGGGGACAGCGCGCGGGGGGGAGCTGCCTGGGGAGGGGATGCTCCGCTGGGCCCGCGCGCTGGGGCATAGCTGCCCTCCTGTCCACCCGCTCCGATCCAGGGAGCAGACGTGGAGCTGGTGAAGGGCTTTGCTCTGCCACAGCGCTCCCTTCACGGCTTCCTGCCGAGGCTTTGGGAGCAGGAGGTGGTCACAGCGAGCTGTAGGTAGTCTGACGTGCCGAGGGTGTGGGGTTGTGGTCACTACCCTGGACCAAAGAAGAGCCGGGAAAGTCTGAGCCTTCAGGGGATGGGACTAAGTTAACATCAAAGTGGCGTAGCCCCTTGCAGTGCCTGGGTGCAGCGCGCGGGGTGGCAGGGGAAGCGGGCACAGCTGCTGGCCTGCAGCCACCGCCCAGGCACGAGGCTCCGCATGGCTGCCAGCCCTGTGGAAGGGGTGCCAGGCCGGAGAGAGCGAGAGAAAACGGCGGATTTGTGCCACGCTCTGGCTCTTTGGAGAGCGGGAGAGGGGGGTGCATCGCCTGGGCGTGCTTGGACTAGTTATTCAGATGGTGATGTGCACCTGGGGAGCGGCAGCTCTGGCCAGGGGGAATTGCAGCAATCACAGAGCAGAATCGGCCTGTCTCGTGCAGTGATGGGAGTCCCCGGGGCACGGGCTCTCTGCACGCAGCTCTGGCCTTGTTTGCAGTTGATTTCTGCCATTGAAAGCATCCCCATCATTCTGTAGCGGTGAGCAGGGCGGCTTGTGACCCTTCCTAGACCCTGACAACACCCGGTGTGGTGCAGAGAGCAGGCGGTGTGTGCACGGGCTGTGTCCTGCCTCAGCTGCTGACTTGCCTTTGTTTTGGCAGGACCAGGACGGAGCCCTCTCGCCCGCAGAGCTGCAGAACTTCTTCAGCGTCTTCCCCTGCGTGCCCTGGGGCCCCGAGCTCTACAACACGGTATGCACCACTGATAAAGGCCTGCTTTCCCTGCATGGATTCCTCTGCCAGTGGACGTAAGCTCAGTCCCTCTCCCCCCCCCGCCTTTGGTCACATCACCTAGCCCTTGCTGACCCCGTCGGCTTCCCGCTGCGCTCTGTCTCTCCAGGCTCGTGGCTTACCTGGATGTGCGGCACTGCCTGGAGTGCCTGGGCTACCTGGGCTACCCCATCCTCTCGGAGCAGGACTCCCAGACACAAGCCCTCACGGGTACGGCTATGCCCTCCCCTCCTGTCGCTGGTCAGGTCCCTCCTCTCGCTCATCCAGCCTCTCTCCTGCCAGTGACCCGGGAGAAGAGGATTGACCTGGAGAAAGGCCAGACCCAGAGAAACGTCTTCCTCTGCAAGGTGCTGGGAGCCAGGGGCGCAGGCAAGTCCGCCTTCCTGCAGGCCTTCCTCGGCAGGAGCCTCGCGGTGAGTGGCTGCTCCCCTCGCCGGCCGCGCCGCGGCGGAGCAGGAGGCAGAGCCGTGAGGCTGTCGAGTGACCTGCTGCCCGACAGCACCTCCCTGCCCACGGCCAGGCCCCAGCGTCCCAGCAAAGGGCTTCGCACCCCGCTCCGTGCCGGCGGTGCCCGGTTGCTGTGGCTCTTGCGTCCTTGAGTTTGCCTAAGGCAGCGGGCTCGCTCCCTCTGCTTGTCCCCGAGGATCTGGAGGGGGCTGTGCCTTCCCCGGGCCAGCCGTATCTCCCCGATCTCACCAAGGTGATGCTGATTTTTCCCTGCGTGTTACGAGCGGCCCCGCGTCTCGTGGCAGGCGCCAGCTGGCCTTCAAGTGGCTGTTAGAGCACAGGGGCTCGGGGCAGTGTGAAACGCTCTCCCTGCTCTTGCTCCCTGCTGTCTGAAACGGTGTTTTCATCGGTGGCAGGCCCAGAGGGAGAACCCAGGAGAGCCATCCCTCTACGTGATCAACACAGTGCAGGTCAACGGCCAGGAAAAGTACCTTATAGTAAGTCAGGGAGAAGAGGGAATCACCGCTGTGTCTGGCTGGCAGCAGGGCTGGGCTGTGACTGCGGTCGTGCCGGCACAGGCTGAGTGCTGGGGTGAGAAGCAGCCAGTCTCCCTGAGACGGCGCTGTGCCACGCGTTCTTTCCCCTCCTGCCCCAGCTGTATGAGGTCAGCACCGACACGAAGTTCGTGAAGCCGTCGGACGCGGCCTGCGACGTCGCCTGCTTCATCTATGACCTGAGCGACCCCAGATCCTTCAGCTACTGTGCCAGTATTTATAAGGTAGCTGGCAGGGGCCCTGCGGGACTTCAGCCCCACATCTCCCAGGGGTTTCCTCGCTGACCCCTCGCTGGGACTCCTCCCTGTCTCTGCAGCAACACTACATGGACAGCCAGATCCCCTGCGTCTTCGTGGCCTCCAAGGCAGACCTGCCAGAAGCCGGTCAGCAGCCCGGGCTCTCTCCCGCCGAGTTCTGCTACAAGCACTGCCTCCCGCCGCCCTTCCTCTTCTCCTGCCACAGCCAGGGACCGCCCAGCACCACCGTATACACCAAGCTGGCCACCGCCGCCACCTTCCCGTTAGTATCCGCGTGGAGGGGGCTGTCGGCTGGGAGCAGAGCTCGGGGGCAGGGGGGCTGTGTCCAAACCCGGCCACCGCTGCGCTGCTTTCGGTTTGGTTTCTCTCTTGGGTGTCATCTGTTCATACAAATAACTGAAACAAAAGGGCCACTTCTTCCCTTGCTCGGAGAGGGCAGAGGGGACTCGGCTCTCTTCTGCCTTACGTGTCTCTCTGGCAGATTTATTAGATAGAGCTTGCCACAGGAGTTTTTTTATTTTTGAAGCCTAAGATAAAAAATGCTGGAGTACCCAGCCTAGTTTGCCAAGGCGCGCAGAGAGGGGGTGGCAGCTATTTTCTCCTGATGAGGTGGATCAGACTGAAAAAGAGGTCAGTGAAGCGAGACCTCTGTTCACACAGCCTGCCTTGGGAAGGAACCCTACCTGAAAGGGGCTGGCCAGTGGGCAGCCGGGCCGGCCCGGGCGCTGAGGGAGGATCTGGGAAGAAAGATGTGTCTGTGCTTGGCATCGCTCTGCCCCAGGGGCTGAAAGCTGAGGGTCGGCACAGCGCCGGGGGCAGAGCCCTCCCGGGGAGAACGTGTGGGTGCGTTGGAAGACAGGATGGGATTACTAGTGAGTGGTTTTCCCTCTAGCTGCTTTTCAATCAACAACTTTATTTTTAGAGCTGACACTTTTTTTTTTTTTCCCCCCCCTCTGCAGTATTAAAATTTAAATATTCTTAATATATCTTAGGGTATGTGGTATAAATAAATAACGGCGTAATGGAGGGCCAGGGATTGGCTGTTCTCCCCTGATTTAGTGGAGGATGAATAATGGATGTGTCTTTTCTCCTCGGAGAGGAGCACGTTGATGCAGGACAGCATGTGTTTAGGAAGGGAATGTGTACGCCTGGGCAGGACTGGGCCCCTTCCCTCGGTGTCGCTGGCTGTGCCAGCGTCTCCACCTGCATCCACCTCTGGGTCTTGGTGCACTTGGAGTTGTAAAAGCAGCTTGACCTAGAAAGGCAGATACATACCTCCTTGCTCGTACTAATTATTGAGGTGTGGGTGTGCTATTTCCAGAGCAGGGGAGGGTGAAGGCACATCTGTCCCCTCGGCGGGGCAGGGAGCCGGCGCTGGGTTTGGCGGGGGCGGGTACGCTGGGCCTCTTGGTGCTCTCTGCTTTCTGCTGGGCTGCGTCACCCGTGGTCACCCTCTGTGTCCCCCCCCCTCCGGGGACACCCCAACCTCTCCCTCCTTGGGGTGGAGGCGCTGGCGGGGGAGCTTGGCCGTCTCTGTGCACCTCGCCTCACTGGCCTCCTCTCTTTTTTCTTTTCCTTGCAGCCACTTGAACGCCGTGGAGCTGGGCGCCGCGTCCTTCTGGCTCCGGGTGGCTCTGGGGGCCGCGGTGACCGCTCTGGTAGGGTTCACGCTGTACCGCGTGCTAGCCAAGAACAAATGAGAGTCACTCACACCCCCCCACCCCGTCCCCCCACCGTGACACCAGCCTCCCCGGCCCCAGTGACACCCCGCTGAGGCGCCCTGCCTCAAGCTGGTCTCTGGTGGGAAATCCTTTCCCCCAGCCTGGATTGCAGGACCAGTGAAACCAGACTTCCCACCACCAGCAGGATGGATCCCACATGGCTCCTGCCCAGTGGGGGCCAGGCAGCTCTGCTGGGACGGGGTTCCACCTCACCAGCAGCTGGAGGAGCACCCTCACATTTTATTCTGTTAATTTTTTTTTTTTAACGTTTGTTTTTAAGCTCAAACATGAGTGTTTCAAGATCTGTTGGGCTGGGCACATCCCCCTCCCCGGAGGGCTGTGCTGGTGCCCTCAATTTGAGGGGGGGGGGGGGCGCAACACTCCTGGAGCCCCTGGGGGCTCCAGCAGCAGCAGAGCTGTTGAATGAGCTCACGGCTTCAGCCCCCTGGGACCCACCCCCCATCCCTGTCCCCGTTTCCCTCGGCCAGCTCTAGGAAAGGTGGCCGTGGAGGGCCAGGCGCTTACACCCCGCAAGCCCCTGGGTTTTGGGGTCACTCTTGGCCCCTCCTGTTGGGATGCTGCGGCCGCAGCCCCCAGCCCCGCGCAGCAAGAGGGGAGGGAGCAATACCCAGGACTTGTCCCCCCCAGCTCCTCCTCTCTTGTTTCTGCACAAAAAAATACTTGGGAGTCCTGCGGCGTGCCGGCCTCTCAGCCCTTCTGCCCTCCTCCCCTTCCCTCCTGGCCCCCGGGATCCACGGCTCCCAGTATTCCCAGCCCCCAGGCTGCGAGCCCTTCCCCGGCAGTGCCCCACGCTGGCCGGTGCCCCTTGTCCTGCTGTCCCCTCGGCGGGGCCCTGCCTGCTCTCGGGCTGTCCCAGCGTGCGGGGCTCTGGGCTTCGCATCTCCTGGCGTGACTAGAAGCTCTTTCTCCCCTCTTCCCCCACCCACGTTCCAGCCGCCGTTCGCTGCTGGGCAGCTGCTGTGACTTCAGCTCAGCACAAATCTGGGGCCAGAGCCCCAAAGAGCGAGGCCAGCCTGTGCTGGCTCCCACCCACCAGCTCTTTTCCAGCACGCGCCGGGGTTAGGTTCATTTGCAGGCAGCGCCCAGGTAACAACTGGAGATGGAGCTGCTTTTTCTGTATGTTTTGTCTGTTGAAACTTTTTTTATCGTGCCCTGGAGCCAGGGGAAGGATCAAGGAGTCTGCTGGACGGCAGCCGGCATCTCTTAGGGGGCCAGTCCCAGGGTGGTGCCACCATCCTGCCAGTGGATGAGGTGTCCCTGCCTGTGCTGGAGCCACTGGGGCACCCGCTGCCATCCTGCTCGCTGCTGGCCGTGGGCCAGGGCACTGCCAGGGCCCCCTCCCTGGTATTTCCATGTCACTTCTTGCCCGAGCCCACCGCACATGGCTCTGCTAGCCAGGCCCGTGTCTGGTGGTCCGACCCTGTACCCGGCACCAGTCTGTGTCTGGCAAAGCCATACCTTTTTTAGGAGGTTTGTTCTCGACATCAAAATAAATTTTTACACACCACCTGCTCCTGCACCGTGTCCTGCGTCTCCGGGGAAGCAGGACCCCAGGGTCTCCTGTGGCTGCGGGGTGACAAGGGGACCCCGAGGGCTGCCCACCCCCTTTGGGGACAGTTACAGGGATTTAGGGCAGGAGCTGAAGCGCGGCGCCGGGGACCAAGGCAGGGGGTTGTCCCAGGGCTGCTCGGTGCTCGGTGGCACCGATGGTTCCGCGACAAGGTGGGTGCCCCTGTCGCTCTGGTGGGATTTCACGGGAAGCCGGGGGCTTGGCTGCCCTGGGAGCCGTGGCTTTGCGTGCCCGTCCCTGTGTGGGGTCAGGGGCTTCCCTGCGGCCGCCTTTCCCCCCCCGCCCTCATGCCTGCAGCCCCCCGAGGCTCTGCCACCTCCCCTGCCTGCTCCCATTTCCCCGTGGCAGCTTTTTCCCTCGGCTATTTCTGTCTCTGCAGGCTGAGCCGCGGGCACTGGGCACCGGGAACGCAGGCGCAGCTGGGGAAAAGGCTTTTCCCGGCACCTCCCTGGGGCCTCTGCACCGAGGCTGGATGGGACTGGAACGCTCCCCCGTCTGCCCGGGGGTCCCTCCGGGCTGCTAGGGGAGGGGGAGAAGACCCTTCCCACCAAACTGGGGCATCTGGTGTGCTGGGGCAAGGAGCGAGCGCGGCCGTGCGGGGCGGAGGAGGGCGATGCCAAGGTGGATGGGACTCAGGGTGCTCCCTGGTGAGTCCAAACCAGGCTGGGCCCCGTGGGAGCAGCGGCCCCGCTGCGCCGCGTGTTAATAGCGCCGGGGGTGCACGTGGGAGCTCACCCCCGGCCACGCACAGACCCCGAGGAAGGAGCCTGGGCACTTCCCCGTGGCAGCCGGCATCGCCGGCCTGCTCAGCCCCTCTGCCCCGGCGTGGGGACAGCCCCGTGTCACAGCAGGGCTCCCCTGGCACTCGCCACAGGGCTGAGCTGTGAGCCAGGGGAGCGGGGACGCGCGTGGGGGTCTGGGGGGACACCAAAGTGGGGTGGAGGGAAAGGAAGGGCTGCGGTCACCGGCACCAGTTCCACGGGTGCCCAGTGCTGCCGTGCTGGCTCCTGCACTGGGGTGCAGGTACTGTGAGTGGAACGTGAGTTCTGGTACTGGGGTGCAGGTATTGCACCGGGATGTGGGTGCCCGTACCGGGGTGCAAGTATTGCACTGGGACGTGGGTACCCGCACCGGGGTGCAGGGACCATAACCAGCTGTGGGTACCATACTGGGATGTGGACACCCACACCCACATTCAGATACCCGTACTGGGGTGCCGATACGGTACTGGGGTGCAGGTACCATCCTGGGATGTGAGTACCAGTACTGGGGTGCATGCTCCGTACTGGGGTATGAGTACCGGGATGGGGGGAGCGTACCGGGATGCGGGTACCTATACCGGGATGTGGGTGCCCATACTGGGATGCACGTAGCCGTACCGGGATGCCGGCCCCCACCCCGTGCCGTGTCTCAGGGCGGAGCGGGGCGGGTCCCGGTTCCCGGCGGCGAGGGGGGAGCGGACGGGGAGGGAAGGGGGGGGGGGGGGAGCGCTGCGCCGTGCGCTGCGGCGGGGGCGGCTCCGTTCGGCTCCGCTCCCGCCCCCGCCGCCGCCGCCGCCGCCGCCGCCGCCGCCCCGCTGCCATCGGCGGCTCCCGGCGCCGCCGCTCGCCGCTCGCTCCCGGGCCCGCCGCAACGCGGGGCTGGCGGGGAGAGCCGCCCCCCCCGCCGCCCCCGCCGCCCGCGCCGCTCCCCTGCCCGGTTCGCCGGCCCCGGGCGCGGGGGAGCGGCGGAGCCCGGCGCCCGCCGGGTGCATGGACAGGAGCTCCCTGCTCCAGCTCATCCAGGAGCAGGTGAGGGACGGGGACGCGGGGGGGGGGGCACCGGGCAGCGCTACCGGGGGGGCGGCGGGCCCCGGGCTCCGCTCGGAGGGGGCCACCGGGCACCGAGCAGCGCTACCGGGGGGGGGGGGATGCTCGCACGCACCGGGCACGGCTGCCGCGCAGCGCTGCCCGCGGGTCTGGCAGGCACCGGGGCAGCGCTGCCCGCCCCGGGGTGGGGGGTGGGTGTGGGGGGGGGGCGCTACCGCGCCCCTTGCCCCCCTCTGAGCATCCCTCCGGCGCCCCCCCATCACTGCCGCGGGGGGACCCGGGTACCCCTCGCGCCGCTGAGACCGCGCAACTCAGCTCACTTGTGGCCTCCTCCTCGCCCCAGCACTCCCCACTCCGCCTGCCCGGGCCGGATCCTGCTGGGTGCACGCTCAAGGACGGTGGTGCTGAGCCCCAGCGCTCGGTGCAGGATGGGTGCCCCGATACCCCTCAGGGCTGCCACGGGGTTTGGCCACCCCAGCGAGGCCGGGGCTCGCACACCTTCACGGGGGGTTACGTCCAGCCTCGTGACCTGATTGCAGGATGAGGCCGTGGAGCGTTACCGCTGTGCCGCGTTGGGCTCCGCTCCCCTGGCAGGATCAGGCCCACCCCCCCCCCCCCCAAGGCGTTTACACCCGCTGCACCCCGGCCCCGTCCCTGCCCTCTGCTTGGCCCCGAGCAGCTCCGCTTGCGCTCAGCCACCTCATCCCTCCATCCCCACCCACCCTGGGCCGAGCTGGCAGCTCTCCCCTGGCGATGGGGAGGGAATTTATTGGGGGTCAGGAATATTAACAATCCCCGCCCTCGCCCCTAGCTGGCTCCGTGACCTTGATTGAATTCCCCCGGCCTCCCCGGCCCGGGAGCTGCGGTGCTGTCCCCCGTGTCACCCCACTCTCAGGCGTGGGGGCTCTGTGCGCCTCCGAGCCCTTTGGGGATGAGCAACATCTTCCTTGAGAGAGAGCAGACTTGGGAGAGCCCAGCAGGGCCGAGGGGCTGGGGGAGACTGGGGATCGGGCCCCCCGCGGGGGCTATAGGGAGCCGGTGGGGTTGGGGTGGGGGGAGATGTACCCCAAAAGCAGAGAGGGGCTTCCTGGCTGCTACTGGGGCTCCCTGGGGACCGGTGAGCCCGGCGTGTGCCAGCACGTGGGGCCAGCGTGTGCCAGGTCCCGGCGTGGCGCACGCACGTGGCACCTGTGGGGCGCGGGGGACGGGTGGCACCGGGGTGCTCCCCCACCCCGATGGCCGAGGCTGCTCCCAGGGGCTGGCGGCTGCTGTGAGGATGCAAGCACTGCCTGCACCCCGCACCCCGCCCTGCACCCATGCCTGCCTCTGGCAGAGGCGCTGGGCACCCAGACCCCCGCCTTGGGGGAGGCTTTGGCTGTTCCCTGCAGAAGGATGGGGTGCACGCCGGGGTGCGGGTACAATCCCATGCCCCCAGCACTCCCTCTCCTGCCCGTCCCATGAGGATGAGTTCCCTCTCCTGGATTTCATTCCCTGCAGAAGGAAGGAGCAAACCCAACACTATTTGGGGGAGGGATTTTTGTGGGGTGCAGGGTCCTGGCCACCCTTGGCAGGGCTCGAGCCATGCGCCGGCTATCGGTGCCCTCTCCCCATCTCCATCCTCCTTGCGCCACCCCGGGCTCCTCATCTCCGTGAGTGGGACCGCACCAGTTACCCCACGGTGCTGGGTACCCCACGGTGCTGGGTACCCCACGGTGCTGGGTACCCCACGGTGCTGGGTACCCCACGGTGCTGGGTGCCCGGAGGGCTCAGGGTGCCCGGCCGGTGCTGGGAGCCCCGGGGATGGTGCAGGGTGCCCTGGGCACAGGGTGTGGTGAAGGCCAATGCCCGGCGGTGAGGGCACGCAGGAGGAGGGGGAGGAGGAGGAGGAGGAGGAGGAGGAGGAGGAGGAGGAGGCTGGTGCCAGGGCTGCGCGTGTGTTTAGCTTCGTGTCTTCCTGGCTGGCGGGCTGCTGGCGGCGAGAAATAACTGAGTGGGAGAGTGTTGGCTGCGCCGTGGGGAGACGGCGGTGGGGACGCCCGCATGGCACGGGGCACCCCCACAGCACAGGGCACCCACCGAGTGCGGGGTGCAGGGTGGGTGCGGGTCGTAGCCTCCCTCGCAGAGCCAGGGGCTGCTGTCATGGAGCAGTACGTGATACCATCAGGCTTAAGGCCAGGGTGAGGGGCACCAGATGGTCTCCAAGGCTCATCAGGGAGCTGCAACCCCGGCGTCCCGGTGACGCCCTGTGCCGTGCCCCACAGCTGGACCCCGAAAACACCGGCTTCATCGGGGTGGAGACGTTCGCCAGCCTCGTGCACAGCCATGAGCTGCCCCTGGACCCCGCCAAACTGGACATGCTGGTGGCCCTGGCGCAGGGCAACGACGAGGGGCAGGTCTGCTATCAGGAGCTGGTAGACCTGGTCAGTGCTGGGGGGCCGCGGGGACGGGGGCGAGCAGCCAGGTGCCAGCCTGGGGAGGGCACTGGGCACATCCCTGTGTCCCTGGGGAGGGGGACAGCCGCCGGTGGTCCCCAGGGCTTCCCCTGGCGTGGGGTGATGACACAGGCTCGGGGCGGCTTGTCCGGCCGGTCCCACGGGGCTGTGGCACGGGGTGGCAGCGATGGGCAGGGGGTGGCCACAAGCCCACCAGCCCGAGCTGCCCCTGCGGCCCCGGCGGGCACGGCCTCTCTCCGCAGATCAGCAGCAAACGCTCGAGCAGCTTCAAGCGCGCCATCGCCAACGGGCAGCGAGCCCTGCCCCGCGACGTGCTGCTGGACGAGACCGGCCTGGGCTTCTACAAGCGCTTCGTCCGCTACGTGGCCTACGAGATCCTGCCCTGCGAGATGGATCGGCGCTGGTACTTCTACCAGCACCGTACGTGTCCGCCCCCCGTCTTCATGGCAGCCGTCACCCTCACCCAGGTACGGGGCACGGGCGTGCGGCCAGGCTGGTCCTGGCTACAGCGTCCCGGTGTCCTCGGGGTGGGCAGGGTGGGTGACCCCGGTTGTGATGTCCTGGTGCGGGGCTGAAGGGCTGAGTGACACCCCGGTTGTGACGTGCCAGTGGCCGTGGAGGAGGGCAGAGGGGATGGGTGTCCCCAGTTGTGATGTCCCAGGACCCATGGGTGGGCTCAGACCTGGGGCGGAGGGATGGGGGTGACCCTGCCCCAGGACAGAGGGATGGGGGACAGAGAAGGGGGGGAGGATCTCGGTGGGGCCGAGGGTGACGGCTGTGGGGTTTGGTGCAGATCATCGTGTTCCTCTGCTACGGGGCCCGGCTGAACAAGTGGGTGCTGCAGACCTACCACCCCGAGTACATGAAGAGCCCCCTGGTCTATCACCCCGGGCACCGGGCACGCGCCTGGCGCTTCCTCACCTACATGTTCATGCACGTGGGGTAGGTCCCTGCCGAGAGGGGGGGGGGGGGACACACACACCGTGGGGGGGGAGCTGCGTGGCCTGAGCCGCTGCGTGTCCCCCTCCTGTGCCCGGGCAGGCTGGAGCAGCTGGGGTTCAACGCCCTCCTGCAGCTGATGATCGGGGTGCCCCTGGAGATGGTGCACGGCATCCTGCGCATCAGCTTCCTCTACCTGGCCGGCGTCCTGGCAGGTGGGTGCGTGCCTGGGGGGTGTGTGTGGGGGGGTGTGTGTGTGGGGTTGTCCCCATCGATCCCTGTCACCAGCCCTGGGGAGGCCACAGGGAGACGCACCCTGAGTTCACTGGGGATGCGGGGGTTTCGCTTCCCACCCGCTGGGTACCACCCTGCCCTGCCAGCGCGGCTTGCCCCCGCGAGCTGGGAGGGCAAAGCAGCCCGTAATTAATTAATGTGGACTGTGATTAATTGATGTTACTGGGGCAGGGCGGGGGGGCTAGGCCCGGTGCTGAGCCCTGCCTGTGCCCGCAGGCTCCCTCACGGTCTCCATCACGGACATGCGGGCCCCCCTGGTCGGGGGCTCTGGGGGGGTCTACGCGCTCTGCTCAGCGCACCTCGCCAACGTCGTCATGGTCAGCACCCCAACGTCGGGGGGGGGGGAGGAACTGGGGGGCAGGGGAGGGTGGGCAGCACGGTGTGACAGCGGGGGGGGCTGTCATGGGGTGGGGGCCTTTGAGGGGCATTGTAGGGTGGGCAGCACGGTGTGATACTGGGGGGGGGGGGATGCCGTGGGGTGACATAACGGGGTGGGCACCATCACCAGAGGGAGCACTCTGGGTGCCATCATGGGGCGGGGGGCGGGTGGGGAGGAGGGGGGGCCTGGGGGGTGAGGGGGTTTCATGGAGCCAGCCCCCTCCCCAGCGCCAGCCCTTCGTCCATCCATCCGTCCGTCTGTCCGTCCCGCAGAACTGGGCCGGGATGCGCTGCCCCTACAAGCTGCTGCGGATGGTGCTGGCGCTGGTGTGCAGTGAGTACCCGGGGGGGGGTGTCTGTGTGTGTGCTTTTTGGGGGGGGGGGGGGTTGGGGAAAGGAGGGTGCTGAGCACCTCCCGCCGCTCTTTTCCAGTGAGCTCGGAGGTGGGTCGCGCCGTCTGGCTCCGCTTCTCCCCCCCACTGCCGGCCTCGGGCCCCCAGCCCAGCTTCATGGCCCACTTGGCGGGGGCCATCGTGGGCATCAGCATGGGGCTGACCATCCTGCGCAGCTACGAGGAGAGCCTGCAGGACCAGTGCGGCTGGTGGGTCCTGCTCCTCTCCTACGGCACCTTCCTCCTCTTCGCCGTCTTCTGGAACATCTTTGCCTACGACCTGCTGGGGGCACAGATCCCCCCCCCGCCATAACCCCACCTCAACCGTCCTTTTTATTTATCCTTTTGTTTGTTTATATATTTATTTTCCTCTCGCTGGCCAAGCCCGGTGGAGGGAGGGAAGGGGGGGGGTGGGGGGGGTTTTCCCCGCGCGTGACATGGGGACAGGTCACCCCCCTGCCCGCCTGCCCCCTCGGTGCTAGCGAGCGCGCCGTGTCCCCCCCACACCCCCCGTCCCCCCCCCCCCCGCCATGGGCTGGGGCTGCATCCCCCCCCTCCCCTGTGAATGTACCCTGGCAACCCCCCCCTCCCTGCTGTGCCCCCCCCCCCCCCCCAAGGATGCTTCAGCCCTGCCCCGGCATTGCCAACCCCACCCCGGGGTGCCCACAGGGCTCAGGCTGTGCCCCCTGGGACACAGCCAAATGGGGGACCCCCCCTCCCGGGCTTGTTCCTGTACCCCCTTTCTGGGATGGGGGCCGACTCATTGCCCCCCAGGACCTGCACTTTCACACGAAGGACTGGTGCCAAAATAGGAGCGATTTATTTTTCTATGCCAAAATAAATATAAATAAAAGAAAGAGAGAGAAGTAAAAAAAAAAAAAAAAAAAAAAAAAAAAAAAGAATATGGGGAGAGCCCAGCAGGAAGGTGAATCAGCTGAGACCGGCACAACTCATTTCGGCAGTGCCCTTGGCGGCACAGCCCCCCCCTTCCCGCGCCCCGGCCCCCCCGCTTTGCTGCCAGCCGCCCTCCCCGTGGCGGGGGGGCTTGCCCCGGGATGGGGTTGCGGGGGGGGGGCCCCCCCCCCCGCTCTGACCTTCCCCTCCCCTTCCGACCTTTTTGGAGTATAAATAAATATTTTGCACACTGCTGGGGTGTGCGTCTTTGTGGGGTGGGGGGAATGGGGATTTTGGGGGTGCCCCCCCGTTCCCCCCCCCCAATCCTTGCTGGGTCGCTGCTGATTCAGTGAGGGTGCGGGGGCTGGCGGGTACCGGGGGGGTGGACAGGTGGGGATGGGATTTACTGGAGCAGAAAAGTGTGGGATGAGGTGGGGGGGGCATAAGACGTGGGGGTGCGGGGCCGGGGGTGCTGTGCAGCGCGGGCTGGGAACTAGAGACACGCACCCCAACCTTCCCCCCCCCGCCCCAAACCCTCCGACACCCCCCCCGCCATGCTCCAGCGCACCCACCTCTGGGGCTCGCATCCCAAACACCCCCTGCACCCCTTCTCTCTGGCCCTCCCCACCCCGTACAGCCCTCCCACTCCCCTTCACACCCCCCCCCCTCATCGAGCACCGCACCCCACGCCCCCATACCCCTCCTCCGGCAACCCCCCCCACCCCTCTGTACCCCCCACCCCACTGCTCCCCACACCCCTCTACTCAGTCCCGCCCAGCCTCCCCCACCGCCCTGCACCCCCCTTCCCCACCCCACCCCACCAACCACCCCTTACGCCCCACTTTTAGCGCCCCCAGCCCCCCCCCATATCCAGACCCACAAACAGCACCCGCGCCCCGCCCACCCCTCCGCGGCCCCGCCCACAGACTCCGCCCACCTCCCCCTGGTCCCGCCCCTCCCCGCCCCGGGCCCGCCCCTCCGGCCCCGCCCCGGCCCCGCCCCGGAAGCGGCGGGGGCGGGGGCGGCTGTCGCAGTGCGCGGCCGGAGCCAGAGGAGCCGCCGGCCCCAGCGGGCCGGGCCGGGCCGGGCCGGGCCGGGCGGTGCCGGGAGGCGCCATGAAGGGGAAGGAGGAGCGGGAGGGCGGCGCGGCGGGGCCCGGATCGGCGGGGCCGGGCGCGGGGGGCGCCAGCCCCGAGAAGAGCCACAGCGCGCAGGAGCACAAGGAGCAGGGAAACCGGCTGTTCGGCGGCCGCAAGTACCCCGAGGCCGCCGCCTGCTACGGCCGCGCCATCGTGAGTCCCGCCGGCACCCCCACCCCGGGACGGGACAGTCCCCCTCCCCTCCCCCGGGCAGGCCTGGCCTCCCCAACACCCCCCCCCCCCTCCTCGGGACGGGACCCCCACCCCGGGCTTGGTGGCCACCCCTGGGGCAGGACCCCCCTGGCCTAGCGCACCCCCCACCCCGGGCCTGGGCACACCCCTGCGCCTCGATCCCCTCCCTGGGCCTGACCCCTTCCCCCCTACTCAGCCTGGACTACCCCCCCCCCCCCACCCCGGGCTGGTCCCTCTCCCTGGTCTTGGACCTCCCCCCCCGCCCCAAGCCAGGGTCTCTCCCCCCACCCCGCCAGGCAGGTGGGGCAGACACCCCCCCTGCTTCCCGGGGTGCAGGGCTCCAGTGCCAGGGGTGGCCAGCCCCCCCCCAGCCTCAGGACTGGGACGCATGGGGCCCTGTCCCCCATCCATCCCCGCAACTCCCCCCCGGGGCGCAAGCCCGAGCTGGCATCCCTGGCTCTCACCTGAGTCACCTGGTTGTCACCCTGTTGTCACCGTGCCCGGTCCCTGCCAGCCCCGGGGCAGGGAGGCAGGCGGTTGGCCACAGCACGGGGGGGGGGTCTCTCGGGTCTCGTCTTGCAGAACCGCAACCCCTTGGTGGCCGTCTACTACACCAACCGAGCCCTCTGCTACCTGAAGATGCAGCAGCACGACAAGGCGCTGGCCGACTGCAAGCGAGCCCTGGAGCTGGACGGCCAGTCGGTGAAGGCTCACTTCTTCCTGGGCCAGTGCCAGATGGAGATGGAGAACTACGACGAGGCCATCGCCAACCTGCAGAGAGGTGAGCGGGCCGCTCTTCCCGCCCAGGGGTGAGAAGAAGGAAGCCCTTGCTGGGCTCTGAGATGCCCTTTCCCTCCCCCAGCCTACAACCTCGCCAAGGAGCAGCGGCTGAATTTCGGGGACGACATCCCCAGCGCGCTGCGCATCGCCAAGAAGAAACGCTGGAACAGCATCGAGGAGAAGCGGATTAACCAGGAGAACGAGCTGCACTCCTACCTGACCAAGCTGATCATGGCGGAGAAGGAGAGGTAACGTGGCACGGGGCAGTGGCACCACCCGTAAAGGCTTTTTTTAGTGCCACAAAGCTGTGGCAGCCCTGTGCGTGGTGCCTCTGCCCTCCTGGAGGTGCGGGCAGAGCCCCGCAGCTCGGGCAGCAGCGGCAGGGGGGATGGACCGCTAGCGTCCCTCCATCGCTTCTCACCTCCCCGCTCTGTCCTAGGGAGCTGGCCGAGTGCCGAAAGACTCAGCAGGAAGAAAACGCGGACGAGAGCCGGAGCCGAGTTCAGCTGGCCAGCATTGAGGCCAAACATGTGAGCTGGGGGGGGGGGGGCTGGAGCTGCTCAGAGGGGCTGGGAGATGGACCGGAGCTTCCTTATTCCATCCTCATCCCCGTGCTCTGCTGCAGCCGAGGAAGCCGCAGCTGAGAGCCAGGAGCCCGCGGGGCAGAGCGTGGCTGCTTCTCAGCCTTCATTTCGTGCCTGGAGCTGCTGTTGCAGGGCTTTCGTGTCCCCCCGTGACAGCTGCCCCTGCTCTGTCCCCTCTTGTCACAGCCTGTTTGCTGTCCCCCAGCCTGTTGTTCTGCGAGGGCTGTGCAATGCCAACGGCTCTTGGCCACATGTGGGTCTGGGTGCTGGCCCGGTGCAGAGGACTAATCCCGGGATAAAAATAGCCCCACAAAGGAAGGTTATTTTTAAGCTGGATCACTCCTGCCACGCGGTTCAGCCTGGAGCCGGGCGAATGCCAGCCGGGAGCTGTGAAGGCAGAGGGGCCACCGAGGAGCTGCCACCTCATCTCTGCCTGCCCCAGCAGCCTTGGGGTGGGAGGTTTCAGGGTTCCCTCCCTGGGGACCTCTAGCCCCCGTACACCGGGGTCCCGTCCTCCTCAAGGCCTTGTCTTTCAGGACAAATACCTGGCGGACATGGACGAGCTCTTCTCTCAAGTGGATGAGAAGAGGAAGGTGAGTGAGTGAGAGCTGCTCGCCCTAAACCTGCTTCAGCCCGTGCCGCCACCTCTGCCATCTTCCCCGCTTCCCCCTGAGCCAGCACCACCTCCCAGCCCTTTCTTTTTTTTTGATGCTGGGCTCACCCAGCCCTTCCTGACCCAACTCCGCTTCTCTCGAGCCAGAAACGGGACATCCCTGACTACCTGTGTGGGAAGATCAGTTTTGAGCTGATGAGGGAGCCCTGCATCACGCCCAGCGGGATCACCTACGACAGGAAGGACATTGAGGAACATCTCCAGGTACCGCTGGGCTGGGGGCAGAGGGGACTTCCCGGGACCTTGCCCACAGGCTTCTGCCTGTCTCCTGCTTGGGCACGAAGGCAGCTGCCTCCCCAGCTAAGGGCTCAGAACCCTCCCTGGGTTTGGTCCCAGGGACCTGCCCGGGCAGCTCCCTGCGGAGGTGCCGGAGCAGGCAGGAAAGCCGTGGGCACTGCCAGGCCCTGCCTGAAGCGGAGGTGGCTGTTGGCAGGGACTTTGTGCCTTGACCCAGCTCTCAGCCAGGCACCTTCCGAGGGGGCTTTTCCTCCCCCCCCTGCCTCCGGATGCCTGTGCGGGATGGCAGGGCGCTGGCCTGGCAGCTGCCTGCACCCCAGGGCCGAGGCCCGGCGCGTGGAGTAACCGGTTCGTGGCCGCCTCCTCCCTTGCAGCGCGTGGGTCATTTCGATCCGGTGACGCGGAGTCCCCTGACCCAGGACCAGCTGATCCCCAACCTCGCCATGAAGGAGGTGATAGACGCGTTCATCTCGGAGAACGGCTGGGTGGAGGATTACTGAGGGACCAAGGGGGCAGCGCTGGCCCACCCGGCTCCTCCCAGCCACGGCGGCACAGACGGCTCTTGCTGGGCTGGCACCATGCCTTACTCGCTCTCCAGCTGTTCCCCCTCCACTCCGGGTGCCCAGAGACCCAGCGGCAGCGCTGGGCGAGGGCACGTCGCCCATCTCCCCATCCTGAGGAGCCGCAGTGGCTGGGCGGGCACAGAGGCTCCCCGGGCTCCCCTCTCCGCCAGCTCCTCGCAGACCACAGCACTCGGAAGAAGACCTGCCTGGTGGGTTGGAGAAGACTGGCTTGTCGAGGTGGCCTGGAAGGTCACACCAGCGTCTTCGTCGTCCAGACAGCAGGTTCCCCCTTGGCTACGGCAGCTGACAATCCCAAATGATCACGGCCTGCTCCGGGGAGGTGCCGCGAGGAGCTTGCCAGGGTGAGCACCTGGTGTCGGTCGGGCCCGGTGCCCTCCCTGTGTATATAGTTGTTTCCTCCTCCTTCCACCTCCTGCCTGGCCAGGGACAAGGTCCTCCTCTTCCCTGTAACCAGCCACTTGCCGGGATGGGAGATCAACGTTCCCGCTGCGGATGCTGACTCGCTCTCTGGCTTTTCCTGGGAAACAACTGCCCCTGGGCTGGAAGGGGCTGGCTCACACCTCCCCTCGCCTGCTGGGACCGTGGTTCCCTGTGAACAACTGCTCGGGTTAAAATTCTTCCTTTTAACAAAATCCCTTAAAAAAACAACCCCCCAAAAAACAAACAAAACAAAAAACTAAACCAACCAACAAATCTGCATCCAACCGAGACTCCAGCATTTCGGTTGGCCAACAGCCTGCCTGGCTTTTGAGCGCCCTCTGAAAGTTTGCCAATGTCAATTTAAAAAAAATAAAATATAGAAAAAAAAAAATAATTCAGCAATAAATGTGGAAAAAGAGCTGGAGTGGTTCACAGCAGCCATCTCTGCACCAGGCAGGTACCACCCCCTGAGGAGCGGCTTTGCCTGACCCACCCTGCCTGCGTGGGCTGGGGCTCACCCCCAACCTGCGCTCAGGGGGGGCGCTGGGGATGTGGCAATACACCGAGCGCTACGGCAGAGCAACAACTTTAATCCAAGGGGGAGGGAGAAGAACAATAAAAACCAGAACTTCTTCAAGCACTCGGTCCCCACACCAGTAGTTGAGCGGGCGGCTGCTGGCGCTGCCCTTCCACGCCGTCACCAGGATGGTGGTGGCACGTCCTCGGCGTTCCCAGCTCTACCCCAGGAAGGTAGAGATGAAGACGCTGGTGTCCAGGTTGAGCGTGGCGTGCCACCAGCGGTCGGGGAAATACAGGACCTGCCGGGAGCGAGCAGGGAAGGCTCCTGGGGCTACACCCTGCACCCTCCCGCAGCCCCGGGGGGTGCAGGCTGGGCTGCGTGGGGGTGTCCCCTCCGCATCCCGAGGGGAGCAGAGACCGGGGGTGAGCCAGGGCCGGGCTGGACTCACCTCCCCGGGGCGGAGGGTGCACTCCAGCGGCCGCTCGGCCGGTGGCAGCGTGGGGTAGGTGTGCTGGAGCCAGGCCAGCGTCGTCTCGTTGGGGTGGAAGTGGGGTGTTTTATCCGGCGGGTAGAGAAACCAGCGCTGGAAGACACCGGAGGAGGGGGTCCCAGCCCCTCGGGCTCAGCCCCTGGGGGGCTTCCCCATGTTCGGGGGACACCCGTTGGGGGGCTTTAAGGCTCCCTCCCCAAATACCTCCCCCCTCCCAGGGCTCGAGTCTCACCTTCCTGCCAAAGATCACCTCGGAGTAACCGGGGCCGTGCCAGTGAAAGGGAACCCCAGAGCCAGAGCCTAGGGCAAGGTGGTGGTGGTGGGGGGTGTTGGTGCTGGGAAGACACGCCCCCCCCCCCATACACACACTCCCACCCCCACACCACCCCATCCCAGTGCCCACCAGCACCCACCTGCAATCCCAAAGCTGTAGGCAGGGCTGGTGCCCGGGATGCGGAAGGAGGGGGGCACGTAGTGCTGGAAGAGGGGCCCCCACTCGGTGAAGTTGTTGTCCCCAAAGAAGTAGAGGGTGTCTGGGGGGGAAGGTGGGGAGGATGAAACCGGTGGCAGGGGGGATTTGAGGGGGGGGGTGGGGGCTGTCCTGGGTGCTGCTACCCACCGCTGCCCAGCCGGGCGGGATCCTGCGGCTTCAGCAGCTGCTCCACGTACTCCTGGAAGGGCACGTCCACTGCGGGCAGGGCAGAGTTGTGTGTGTGTGTGTGTGTGTGTGTGTGCGTGGGGGGCCCCGCCGGCACCCCCCGGGCCGGCCCTGCCCTCCGCGGTCCCCGCCCTCACCTTTGCGGTAGGAGTAGGTGTTGGCCGTGCTGAGCCGCACCGGGAGGGCCCCGAAGGCCGCCAGCAGCTTCTCCCGGGTGCAGAGGGCACGGAACGCCTTGGGGGGGGGGGGGGGACACACACAGGGGCCGGGATGCCGCCGCCGCTCCCGGTGTGTTCCCCACGCACCCCCCACCCCCGGTCCCCGGCTCCCGGCACTCACCGAGTTGTCCGTGACCCCACGGAGGATGACCGGCCGGGAGAAGGCGAACCTAAGGGAGAGCACCGCAGCGGGGGTCCCGCACAGGCGGCCGCACCGGGGCCGGTCCCGTGTGTCCCCGTCCCCCCTCCAAAATCGCCCGGGGCTCGTCCCCGTCTCTGCCCCCGCCCCGGGACCCCTCCCCGGGCCAGCGGCCGCCCGTACCGCTGCAGGAAGAGGGAGTAGGTGAGCGAGGCGTCGGCCCGCTCCACGGTGCACCGCTCCTCCTCCGGCACCGTACCCGCCAGCCTGCAACAGGAAGCGGCGCTGGGCCCCGGGACCGGGACCGCCACCGGGACCGGCCCCGGGACCGCCACCGCTCCCCGCGTCCTTACCAGCCGCCGCCTGGCGGGTCGGTGCAGCCGGCGGGCCGGGCCCAGGCCAGCGGCAGCAGCAGCGAGAGCAGCCGCCGCGCCGCCGCCATCGCGGAGCGGGACCGGCGTGGCCGGCGGACTACACTTCCCGGCAGGCACCGCGGGCCGCGCTGACGCCGCGCACCGCCATTGGCTGGGCGAGCCGCCACGGGGTATAGTTTAAAGGGGCCACGCCTTAAAAGGGAAACAGTGACAGCGGGGCCCACAGCTTCCCGGGGCAGGGACCCCCGAACGGGGAGCGGGACCGGCGCCGAGCCCCCCCCTACACCCCCCCGGGGCTCCGAACCTGCTCCGGGAGTCGCTGCAGCCGGGTTAAGCAAAGACAAAAGGCACGGTGCAGTTCGGCTGCTCTGTTTGGTTTTAATCCAGTACAAAAGGGCTGGGGGGCGCACACAGGGCCCCTATTTACAGAAAAAATAAATACAGGCAGAGGAGGTGCGGAGAGGGCAGGGGAGCAGGAGGCCCTGCCCACCATCTGCCCCGGCCGGTGAGGGGCTCAGGTGTACTCGCAGAGGTGGCCGCAGCCAGCGGGGCAGTGGGAGCTGGTCTCCAGCCACTTCATGATGTGCTGGAGGTGCCCACCGTGGCTGCAGCCCTGGCACCAGACGAAGAGCCCCTTCACCACGTGGTGACAGACAGCACACATGCTGGCACACTGCCGGCACCTGCGCCGGAGAGAAGGGGGCGAGGATGTGAGACCCCAGGGGGGGAAGGGGTCCCCCCAGCCCAGCAGCCCCGCTGGGGCTCCCCGGGGCACCCGCAAGCGCAACCCCGCAGCGCTGCCCTTACCGGTCGCAGATCCAGCCCCGGTTGCTCATGGGCCGCTTGCAGTTGCTGCAGTTGACGTGCAGGGTGGTGGAGGCCTGGTTGAGGCAGTTGATGGCGCGGCACGTGCTCAGCTTGATCACCTCGTTGGAGATGTTCCACAGCTGGAAGCGCTGCAGCAGGTCGATGTAGGACGTGTACCAGTGCTCCTGGGGATGGCCGCAGACAGCTGAGCCCCCCCCCCGGCCTTGAAACTCCCGTGGGATCCCAGCCCTGCATCCTAAAGATCCCTGCAGCGGGGGAAACTGCTCTGCAGGGATGGGGAAAGAGGCGTCCTTCCCCGAATCAACAGGTCAAGGCTACTTCCCCACCCTGGGTCCCTTCCACAACTGGTGGCAGAGCAGCCAGCCAGATCCTAGAGCTGCCCACCCCAGGTCAGAGCGGGCCTGGAGGAAAAGGGAGGTGCCCAAACCCCAGCCAGGATCCCGTGGCGTTGGGATGCACCACATCTGGGTGCCACCAAGGTGTCCTACTGCATCTCGGGGGGTTGCTGCACCAGCCCTGAAGGGAAGGTCCGGTTCCTGCTCAGTCTACCTGGGTCTGCTCATCGATCTCCTTGCGGATGCGGTCTCCCAGCACGATGAGGACGGACACGGCCGTCTGCACGTCACCCTGCTCAGCGTAGAAGAGGAGGGTGTCCCGCACGATGGGGTTGAAGAAGTCGGAGGGCAGGCGGTTCTCGTAGAGCGAGTGGGAGATGGAGATGAGGGAGAAGGACTCCACGGGTGTCAGCGACACCGTCTCGGCCTCGTTGCCGCTGACGTGGGGGGAGTCAGCCTTGTCTTGCAGGTGGTCCAAGGCCGACGGGTTGTCCACGATTTCGTGGCGCAGGGGGAAGGCTTCTTGGGGAAGGCTGTATTCCTGCTCCTCAGCTGCAAGGAGAGATCAGGAATGAGTAGGGAAGGCCGGGAGAAAAATCCAGCCACATGCCCTGGACAGGCGACACCTCCCAGCACCAGGCGTGCGCTCACCGTGCGGGTTCTCGTGGTCCATCATGTACAGGTCATCCTCATCCGCTTCCACGTCTCCCAGCAGATAGTCCGCAGGGACATCGCTGCCCTCTGTCTCCTCATTGTCTGTGTGCCCAGGGAGAGAGAAATCAGCTCATCCCCCTCGGATCCACGTCCCCCGTGTCCTGCCCCAGCTAGCCAGATGGCTCAGCTCCCCACCACCGTGGCGTTCCTGGCACCCGCAGCCACCACTGTGGGGGTCACAGGGGTAAAATGTCTTTCTGCAACTCCCCTGGGTTTGGCATCCTTCACGCGGGGCTGCAGCAGGTCCAATCACCCCAATTTACAGGATAAAGCCACCCGTTTTTCCCATATCAGGGCCAGCTGAGGAGGGAAGAGCCACAGGACTGCCCCAGAAACATTACCCTCGTTGTTGATCAGGGTGGAGGAGGAATCCATGAGGATGTTTTCCGTGCGGCTTTCTCCTTTGCTGCGGTCCAGTCTCGACTCACTGCCCAGCCCAGAGGGGATGTCCTTCAGGTTAAAGCTGGGAAAGAAGCCAAATTTAATAGTCACAGAAGTCGACAGCTTCCGTTCTAGCCAGCAAACAGCCTGGAAATAGGTCTCCAGTTGCGATCCGAACAGTGAAACACAAGACATGGTGATTTCCCCGAGAGCACAGAAGTCAGCTGTCCCTGCTTTGGAACTTAAAGATAGATTGCAATTGTTAGCACAGCCCTTTCTCTGAGCCTGGTGTCTCCACGCACGCACCGCAAAGGCATCCACGAAAGTCTTCCTAAAGGATTTCAGAGCTGAGCGCCAGCTCTTGACTCCATCTCTTAATATTTATTCACCTTCGCCTCAGAGGTAGGTAAACAGGAGCTGCCTCACTACACGGTGCTTTGCTGTTTGTTATGCATCACCACTCTCAGGCTTCATCAAGATAGAAAAGGAAGGGAATGGGGTTGAAGCAGAGCCAAGCTCTTCGGCTTGCTGCCTGTGGTTTAAGTCAGCGACAGACAGCAACCTGTCTGGATGCAGAGCTTGGTCAAGGAGAGTTTTCTTTGATGTTATTTGAGACTTTGTCACTCACCCTGGGAACCAGGCCCTGTGAGATCTGACAGCTAATCTGGAGTCCTCACCCCTTGCTTTTTCTATGTCACTGAGATGAGGAAAAACAGGTTTCCCGGCTTCATCAGCCCACGATGGGGCTCTCCACGCCACGAGCTACTCACAGAGCTGGGCTGTCCTCTCCCTTTAAAAGGCAGAAGACGACCTCTCCACACCAGCAGCTCTGGCTCCAGCAGCGAGACGGGGGGTTCTCCATCCCAGCTCTTGGTCACAGTCACTAATTACCTAACTACAGAGATGGTACCAGCCCCATGCCCCACCACAGCTTCAAACTTCGTTTGAAGGAGGGAAGGGAGCAGAGTACAAGGCTGCACGGCTCAAGGCCAGGCTGGCCGCTCGCTTCTCACACCCCCACGGAAAACGGCCGCGTTCAAACGAGGCCAACCTGCAAAGGAGCACGGCCTGAGGCTGGGGGGGAGCCGTCCTGCTCCCACCCCGCGACTTCAGCCCAGCCCAGGAGCTGACTCCGCTCTCCCGCTCACGGAGCTGCCCCCGCCACCGCGTCGTTCGCCGCGGCTCCGACACCCCTTACCTGTTCATGAGCGGGAGGGCGGTGCTGCCTTTCCCCATGCTGTGGTTGAGGTTGGCAGACGACACGTTGCCGAGGCTGGAATAGATAATTCGCAGCATCGTCCACGTTTGAGCCACCTGCGTGAGAGACAGCCGCGCTCAGACCTCGTCAGGCTAAAACCCAGGCCCCTGTGCAGCCACGCGCCTGACCGCAAATTCCCATCATCCGTTGGTCTAGAGAGCTGGGCAGGGCAGCCAAGTTTCTGGGCAATGATCTGTGCTTGTTGTAGGCAACAGCAGTCTGGGTTTGGTGCCAGGCAGAGGTACGCCTGGGGACAGCCAGAGACCACAGCCGGATGGAAAGCTGCCCTCCAGCGTGGCTGAGGGCCTCATCCTGACAGCACCTTTCACCCTGGGCACCAGCGTAGGTCTGCGCTGAGGGTCTCCAGCCTGGGTCTCACCTGGTTGCGGTCCAAGCCCTTGGCCACCTTGGCGTTGTGGTCGCAGAGCTCGGCCAGGGGCCTGCCGGCCAGCGCGTACTGCTTGGCGGTGTGCACGAACCAGTCCATGCTGCCGCTCTCCACGTCCGTCTCGAAGACGCTGAGGGCGCTGGAGGAGGAGATGTACTCAAACTGCTCCGTGGGGTCCAGCTTGCGCTTGAAGAAGATGGGGTGGCGCCGGTCCCCAATGTAGGGCTTGCGGTTGGAGTCTGAGGAGATGAGGCTCTCCTTGGCGGCAAAGGCCAGGTCTCCATAAAGGCTGTAGCACAGCCCCTCGGGGTTGGCCCGGTCGATGGGCTGGCTGGCGTCCTTGAAGATGTGCTGGTAGAGGGTGCTGTCCTTAGAACCCGAAAGGAGGAAATAGGGGTCGTGGAGGTGACGCCACACGATGCCTGTGGTGACGTCCTTGTGCTCCTCAAACATGGCCGAGGGGATGAAGGGACGCCGCACGTCCCAGACGTAGATGTTGTGGTCCACCATCATGGAGCAGGTGGCGATGTGGTGCTTGCACTCCGGGCGCCACTTCACCCGGGCCACGGAGGCGATGGTCTGCACGCAGTAAATCTCCTTCGCCCGCGTGGTGTTCATGTCCCACACCTTCACCATCTTATCCCGGCCGCCCGTTGCCAGCCAGCCCCTGGGAGAAAAGGAAGGAGAAAGATGGTGAGACGCCAGCTTGGGCCAGGATCTGTGCCCGCCCACCTCTCCCTTCCCACCCCGGCACAGAAACGCTCGCAACGCAGACGTGACCGTGTCCACACCGAGGGGAGGCAGCGGGGCTGCAATCTCATCCTCCCACATGCTACCCTAACGCCTCTGCTCTCCAACAACCAGGTCAGGCAACACCCTTCATTCCCACCCCTGTTTAAGGCCCTGCGCCTTTAGAGCCACACTCATCTGAAGGGCTCCCAGTCAGACCGGTTCCTTGTACCTCTGGTTTCCACTTGCCAGGGACAAGAGAGGTAAAAGGCCAGTTTGAACATATTTTACTGCCTCCCTCGGCTTGCGAGGAGTCGCAGCTCTGCCTGGCAGGGAGCGAGAAGGGACCCACACACCACAACTGTTTCCAGACACACCTCAGCTGCCCCCGGGGACAGGCAGGAGGGAAATGTGATCAAACACAAGCTGGTCGTGTCCCAGAGCTGCCGTGCTGCGCCCTCCCCGAGCTGAGCACTGGAGCGAGAGGCTGCCCGGACACGGGGGGCGAGACAGCAGTTTGCTATACCCAACCACTAGCAATCCAGTGCCTCAGAAAGGCCCAATTTGTCAAAAAAACCAAAACCAAAACACCCCAACACACCCCCAAATCCTCAAAACAATAATTGCTCCCATCTTCCAGCAGCAGCCCAGCCCCTGACACAAGCAGCCAGGGTATCAGAGACCCTGCTTTCCCTCGCAAAAGGGTCCCAACCCTGTTTTTAGGGCCTCCCTTGTCTCTGCCGAGGCTGGTGGGGTCTGGCCCTGCACATACCTGTCCTCTGGGTGCCAGTCGCAGCAGAAGACGGGCCCGTTGTGGGCCGTGAACATCCTCTCGTAGCGGTCTGGCCGGCGGATGTCCCACAGCTGCACGTTCCCATTCTCAAAGGTGGCGGCAAAGGTGAAGTAGTCCCGGATGCTGAACTGGACATCACGCACGCTCTCCGACTGGCCTGAGCGGGGACAGAAGTCGAGATCTGGTGGGACAGAGCTCACACAAAGCTAAAAACCCAACTGAAAGAACCACAGGGGGGGTCATCAGCCCAGAGAGAAGGGGAAGCAAGGAGCGATGCGGCCACCTTCCACCTCCTGTGCAGACCCAGCCCACTGCTGAGTGGCAAAAAAAGGTACCAAAATGCCTCTCAGCTCCCTCCCTGCCTGCTCTGGACATCGCACGCTGAGCAAACCCTCCTCCCAGATACGGGGTGAGGGCAAACCTCTCACCGACCTCTGCCTGTCACCAGGGTAAGGGGGCAAGCAGCAGCCCGCGTTTGTACCAGAGAAGGTGCTGACAGAGTCCTTCTTGCGCAGGTCGAAGCACTTCATGTAGCCATCCTGGGAGCCGCTGAGGAGCATGTAGACCTCGGTGGGGTGGAAGCAGACCTTGTTGACGGTGCGCTTGTGCTCGGTGAAGAGCTGGTCCTGCTTGTTGCGGGACGGCTTGCCCAGGTTCCAGGTGACAACCACGCCGTTGGTGGCGGCGGTGGCCAGCAGGTTCTCATCCATCTGGTGCCACACCACGTCCGCGCAGCTGAAGTTCAAGGAGGGCTTGCGGCCGACGCGGAGGTTCAACTTCTCCACAAACTGGTCCTCCTCGATGGAGTAGATCTTGAAGATGTTGCGACCGGCCACCACCACCTGGGCGGCATCGCGGCAGACGCTGATGGCGTTGGCAGGGGCATCCAGGTGGCAGAACATGGTCCGTCCCGTGAGGGCGTTGCCCCCCAGGGCAGTGGTGACCCTGGCCATTTTCTCCATGGCCGTCCTTGGGGCGCACTCCCCTCTCCAGGAGCAGGCTCGGAGGCTCGCGTCCCCGCAGGCTGCATTCACGCTCGCTCGGCCACCCTGCTCCACCTCAGCCAGAGCTGGGAAGGGACAGGCTCGGCTCCCGCAGCTCCTGGCAGGCCCACGTGGCTCCGACTGCAGATTTTTGTGGCCACATCAATGGGCCATGTAGGCGAGAGGCTACAGCCTGGTTGCTACCTGTGGGGAGAGAGGTACGGTCACACGCCGGGCTTCTCCTCCTCCTGCCTTCTTCAACACCATCCCAGAGAGCTCTTACACACCTTTTCTGGGTGTCTTGTTCCCTCCTCGATTCAAACCTCGAGATGATCCGCTGATGACAGAGGCTGCTGCTGCTGCTGAGGGAGGTGGACTACAGCGACGTGGGCTGAGGCGAGCGGCGTCGCGAGCAAGAGGTCGGGTGAAACGAGGCCGCAGTCATCTCTGCGGGGCACTCCCTGCGCCCCAAACCCCTGCAAGCACCACAGGCCATGCTGTGGGGCCAGCAAGGCTGCCTGGGGATCGTGGGGTCCGTGGGGCCACCCACCCACCATGCCCCCCAGAGCCAGGCTGGCCTCCTGCCCCAGCGCTGCCCTCCACCAGCCCCTACGCCCTTCCCTCGCCAGGCCCACCAGCCCCCTCGTAACCCACGTTCCCCCTCCTCAGGGCCTGCTCCTGACCCATATTCCCCTTAGGGTCTCCCCAGGACCCCATCCTGTCCCTCAGATCCCCCTCCCGCCCTTCAGAGACCCCTCAGGGTCCCTAGAGCCCCCTCCCACGCCAGAGCCCCCCCCCCCCAGGACCCCCTTCCACACCTCAGGGCCCACTCAGCCCCCCAGAGTCAACTCCCACCCCTCAGGGCTCCCCAGCCTCCCAGAGCCCCCTCCCGCCCCTCAGGGTCCCCTCAGAGCCTCCTCAGCACCCCAGAGCCCCTTCTCGCCCCTCAGGATCCTCTCAGGGCACCCCGCCGCTACCGGCCAGCCCAGCCCAGCCCGCCCCACGGCCGCGGTGCCGGTGCCGGTGCCGTACGTGGTGCCGGTGCCGGTGCAGCCCCGCCGGCAGCTCAGGCCGAGCAGGCCCCGCTGCCGCCGCCGCCGCCACGGAAAGGGCCGCCGCGCCCCGCCCCTCCCCAGCCACGCCCCGCCCCCTTCCGCCGCCGAGACCCCGCCCGCCCCGCCCACTGCTGCCCGCCCCTCGGCAGGCCCCGCCCCCGCCCCGGGATTAAGCCCCGCCCCTCTGACGGACCCCGCCCCCGGCACGAAGCGGGGCGCGCTGGAGGGGGTGGGGGGGAAAAATGGGGGTGCCGGGGCGATATGGGGTGGGGGTGCAGTGGAGGGTGGGGATGTGCTGGGATGCAGGGGTGAGCTGTGGGGATATGAGGTGTATTGGGCAGTGGGGGTGCAGGGGGGCGGAAATGGGGGTGTCGGGGCGATATGGGATGCATTGGGGGTGGGGGTGCCGTGGAGATGTGGGGGTGCAGGGGGCGTAGAGGGGAAACGGGGCTATTGGAGGAGTTACAGCGTGAACTGGGGTGAGGATGCCGGAGGGACGTGGGGTACAGTGGGGGCGGTGCAGTGAGGTAAATGGGGGTGTCAGGGGAATATGGGGTGCACTGGGGGTGTGTGGGGGTGTCAGGGGGTTATGGATTGCAGGGAGTTGTGGGGCTTCTTGGAGGGTTTGGAGGTGCCCTGGGGTGCAGGGCTGCACTGGGGTTTAGGGGTGTTTGGCGATGCAGGGAGACACAGGGCTATACTGGGGGATGGGTGTGCATTAGGGGTGGGAGCGCAGGGGGGAGGAGGGGTGCACTGGGGGGTATGGGGGTGTCCTGGGGGGGTATGGGGGCACACTGCCATGGAGAGATGCAAAGGAGGGTATGGGGGCACCCCAGCCCTGGGGCTGCCTGTGGAACGGGGGACCGTGGGGGTGCACAGGGCTGATGGCACCCCTCAACTGCTGCTGTCACCTGCAGGGGTGGGGGGACCCTCCATGTGCTGCTGCCCTGCCTGTCCCCTCCCCAGCACCTGCGTCCTGGCACCCGTGTCCCACGGGCACTGCTGGGTTTGGGGGTGCGCCCTGGCTGCCGCCATGCTGGGGTGCTCCGTGCCCCAGCAGTGCCACCCTGTCCCACAGTCCCAGTGGCTCCCGGTGCACCCCAAACCCCCTTCCAATGCCATGTGGGTCCTTCTCCCATTTTGGGGCCAGAAAGAGGCGTTTTGGACAAAGGAGGGAGCGGAGGCGGCGGGTGGTGCAGCAGTTCCTTCCCGGCCGGTACAAAGGCAAAACAAACCGAAAGCGTGTCCGTGTCTGTGTCCGTGTCCGTGCCCATGTCCGTGCCCGTGTCCGTGTCCGTGCCCACGCTCCTCCCGGGGCCGTGTGGGCAGCTGGTGTGGCAGTGGGCGATGCCCCGGGGACGGCCACCGAGCCCCCTCCTGCGCCGGGTCCCCGTGGGCACCCCAGCCCTGTGCCCGGTTTGGCTCAGCTCGGGGGTCCCCCCAGCCCCCCGCTTGCTGCTGGCATCGGGGCGATGGCTTTCCAGCTGGAAAGAGCGGCGGCGGTGGCAGCGTGTCCTGGGTGCCACCTCCCACTTTCACTCTGGGCCACCAGTTGCCCGACGGTGGCTTAGACCTGGCCCTGGTCCCCCGGGATGTCCCACCCAAGCTGGACGGGTCACTCCCCGGCACTGGCATCCCACGGGGAGCAGCATCGCCCCACCGACCTCACGTAAATCAGGGTGCAGCGGGATCCCCAGGATGAGGTGGGATGCTTGCCGGGAGAGCCCGGCTCCTGGGGCAGGATCTGGCCAGGGCGAAGCTGTATGGAGGGGCTGAGTGAGGGCTGTCACTTGTCACCATCCCCCCCAGGTACCCCGGAGCCTGCCGTACCACAAGACTGAAGCAAGCGAGCATGCTAGGGCGGGCGGGTGGGCGGGTGGAGAAAAACATCCTATTCACCAGGAGAAAGCGCCAGGCACCCTGAGGGCAGGGCCAGGGGCTGGGGGGGGGAAGAGGGGGGACACGCAGCATGGGGGGTTGGCTCAGTGACCCACTCTGGGGGGGTGCGAGGGGACCCATCCAACCTCTGCTGCCACCCGTGGGCACCAAAAATAAGCATCCTCCTCTCGCCCATCCCTGGGAGCATCCTTTGGTCCCCAGGAACACCCTTAGCGGCAGGGCCACGTGCCATCTTGGCACCGGGGTGGGGGCAGGATGCGGTGAGGGTGGGGCAGGCCGCCGTCGCCTTCCCGCTTTGGGTTTCCATGATGTCTGTTCATCTGTCCGGAAGGAGTTGGCAGCGCACCGGGAGGAGGACAGGCAACGGCGGCGGCGTGGGGGGAATTTACAGGGTACCCCAGGAGGGCTCCGGCGAGGGATGATGCCGTCCCCCATCTCCCCCCGGAGCCCCGCGTCCCTCGGGGGTGTCGATATGGAGGGGGGGGTGGGGGGGGTGGGTGTGTGGTGTGTGTCTGGGGTCGGTTGTAATCGATGGCGTCTTTCACGTCCCCCAGCAGACGGAAAGAAGTGGGGTGGGCGATGTCAGATGGGGTGGCGGCGGGGTGGGCGCGGGAGCGGGGCGGCCGGATCCGGGGCTACTCGATCACCATGCAGCACGGGAGGTGCTGGGAGAAGTACTTGAAGAGCTCCGGGGTGGCCCCGGGACAGTTGGTGAGCTCCAGCTCCTCCAGCTCCTGCAGCTGCACCAGCCCCGACAGCCCCGTGGTGGTCAGCAAGGGGCAGCCTGCAAGTGGATAGGGTGCACTGTCACCCCAAAATACCAGCACCTCAAAAACCCAGCACCCCCAAACACCAGCATCACCCCTCCCCCCAAATCACCTCAAAGCACCAGCGCCCCAAAGCCAAGCCCCCTAAAACAACAACACCCCCCAAAACAGCACCTCAAAACCCCAGCACCCAAAAAAACCCCAGCACCCCAGGAACACAGCCCATGCACCCATCCCTGGGACCTGGGCTGGGTGCGGGTTCCCCAGGCGGCACAAGCGGAGGCGGGAGCTGTGTCACGCTGGGGAGGGGGGATGCTGGCTGTCCCCAGGGCTGTCCCCAGGGCTGTCCCTGTCCCCACACCCTGTGTCTCCCCACCCCTGCGGGGACCCAGCCACCCCATCCCGGGGGAGTGAGGGGGGGGTCTCACCAGCCAGCGAGAGGAGGCGCAGGCTGCCCATGCTCAGGAGATGCTTCAGGCCAAAATCCTGCACCTGGAAAAGAAAACAGAGTGGGAGCAGGGAGGGGGTCACCATGGCAGTGGGGGCCTATCAGCTCTGGGGCAGGGAGCCCGGGTGGGGCGCAAGGAGGCTGGAACAGGGTGCTGGGGCAGGGTGTTTGGTGCAGGGGCAGGGTGCCAGGGCTGAGTCCTCATAGGAGCACCCTAGTCTGTCCCCGTTTCCCAGCACCAAGCTGTGGGGGCTCCGGGCAGCTTGGGGTGCCCCCCCTTGAGCTCCAAGCCTGTCCCCAGGGAGGTGGCAGCCGGGATGGGCATGGCTCTGTTCCCCCACCTACCTGGCAGCACCAGCGCAGGTAGAGGCTCCGCAGGGATGACATGGTGGACAGGTAGCTGAGGCCGGTGTCGGTGATCCGCACGCACCTGCCAGGGACACGGGGGGGTCAGGGCTGGCTGGGAGCAGGGCACCCATGGGTGCCCCATGCTGCACCCACTGCCTCCAGCACGGCTTGGCCTGGCATGGCGTGACATGGCACAGCAGAGCGCAGCGTGACGCAACATGGCATGGCTCGGCACAGCACGGCATGCCCGGGCGCAACACGGCTCAGCGTGGCTCGACACGGCCCCGTACCTGTCGAGCACCAGCTCCTCCAGCTTGTGCAGGTCGCAGGCGATGTACTCCAGGGCCATGTCGGTGATGCGAGGGCACCAGGAGAGGTCGAGGCTGCGCAGCTTCCGCAGGTTCTCTGCCACCAGCTCCACGCCGTCATCTGTCACCTTGGAGCAGCCCGAGAGGCTGAGGACACTCAGGTTGGGCAGGCTGTGGACCATGTTGACCACGCCGTGGTTGGTGATCTCCCAGCAGGAGTTGAGGCGGAGGGTGTGGGTGGTGTAGCCTTGCTTGGCGGTGAAGTAGGCGAGCGCCGTGTCCGTCACGTGGTAGGCTTGCAGGTTGAGCTCGGTGAGGTTGGGCAGGAGCTGCGAGATGGCGGCGATGGCGTCGTCGGCCACGTTGATGCAGTCGCTGACGCTCAGCGCCGTGATGCGGGCGTTGAGGCTGGACCACAGCCCGGCCTCCGTGAAGTCGTTGCAGCCCGACAGCTCCAGCCGTACCACGCCCTGCATCTGCTCCAGCATCACCTGCCGAGGGGCAGGGGGTCAGCCCTGCCCTCACAGCCCCTCGCCCCCACCCCGGCTCCCTCTGAGACCCCCAGGGCTCTCCCTACTGCCCCCAGCCCTGCGTGGGTCCAGCGTTCTCCCTGGATCTGCCCCCAGCATCGGAGCAGCGCCCTGCTCTAGGACATGCCAGCATCCGCAGGGGACAGGAGGGGCCAGGCAGGGTCCCCTAGCTGCAGCCCCCGCTCTCTACCCAGTGCTGGTGGCAGGGGACACTCCAGCCTGGGCGCTGCTCGGGTAGGATGTGGCCACGGAGCAGCCACGGCGTGGGGCAGGGGACCTCGATGGGGACCTTGCCTGGCACCATGCAGGACCATGAGTTCCCCCATCTCCATCTGACCCCCAGCCCCCTGCCTGCGTGACCCCACTCGCTGAGGAGCGACCAGCCGAGCGGGGATGTCCCCATCCCCTAAGCCCACCACCGCACCCACCACCAGCGGCATGGCCACCTCACCTGGCTTTGCCTTCCTGGAAGCATCTTCAGGCACCAGGGACGAACTCCCCCCCCTCAACAACAACATCCTCATCCCCTGCCTGGGAGGGCCACGCAGGCTGCAGCCCATCCCACTGCCCAGACCACAGGCAGGGGCTCCTGACACTGTCCGCACCCGGGGGATGGCCACGCTGCCTGCCTGCACCTTGCCTGCGGCCGGTGAAAGCTCTGCCCACACGTGTGTCCCCAAGGCCACGGGGAAGGACCTGCCATTACCGCCTCAACCACCCCAGCCACCTCCCCGGGCTCACCTACCTCTAACCCCGCGTCTGTGATGGTCGACCTCTTAAGGCTCATGGACTTGACCCCCTTCTTGGAGAGGGGGTAGTTATCAATGAACTCACAAATGTCCAGGTCGGAGACGCCCACGAGGCAGAAGCCGTCGAAGCCGCGGACAGCGAAGCCCTGCAGGCTGACGAACTCCTTCTCGCCGCCAGGCAGGACGTTGTAGAGCTCTTTGGTGTGCAGGACGGGTGTCAAACCCACCCAGAACTTGGGTTGGTAGAGCACCCGCCGCCACGCCTTGCACACCTGCGCCAGCACGCACTTCTCGCACGCCGAAAAGTACCAGAACAAGCGGTTGAGGATCTTCTCGTCCACCGCCAGTTGCCTTTCCGAGGGCGAGCCGGGCAGCCTCTCCGGCGAGGGCTGCTCCGAGCCTTCGCTCGTGTTCAGTCCCACCAAGGAAGCGCCGGGAGGGGAGGAGACGCCGGCCAGAGCGGCCAAGGAGAGCGGGGAGGCCAGGCTGGGGATGGGCAGGTCGCTGCGGTGGGCTAAGGCTGGGCTGAGGATGGCAGGCACGGAGGAAGGCTGGCACAGGCGGTTTTTCACGGCGGGGGTGCCTTTGGTGATGCTGGCTGAGCCGAGGCCGTTGGGTTGCGTGGGGATCTTCACCAGTCCATTGCGGGGCAAACATGGGGGCTTGGTGTCGCCGTTTCTCGGGTTCGACATCTTCCACGGGTCTCTCTGCAACACAAGGATGCGGGCTGAGGGGCTGCTGGTCGGGCAGGGAGGGTGGGCAGGGAGAGTGGGCAGGGAGAGTGGGCAGGGACAGGGCGGGTCGTGGAGCCAGCGGGGAGGGAGATTCTGGAGGTCTCTGGGCAGGGAGCAGAGGGGCATGGGGGAGCAGGCAGTGCAGGCCTGCTGGGCACAGTCACAGCGGGCACATGCCCGGGGCACAGAGCGGGGTCCTCTGAGGGGCCACATGGCCCTCGCATCCCCCAGGATGGGGGATGGATGGGGATTTGTCCCTGGACGTTCACATCCCTCTCTGAGCCTGGGATCCAGCCACCGAGGGGAGCTGGAGCAAAGATTGTAGAATCATAGAACAGTTTGGGTCAGAAGGGTCCTTTAAAGGTCATCTAGTCCAACTCCCCTGCCAGGGGCATCTGCAACTGGATCAGGTTGCTCAGAACCCCGTCTAACCTTGAACCCTTCTAGGGATGGGGCATCTACCACTTCTCTGGACAACCTGTGCCAATGTGTCACCAACCTCATCATAAAAAATCTCTTCCTTCAATCTAGTCTGAATCTCTACTCTTTCCGTTTAAAACCAATACCCCTCATCCTATCCCCCCACCCCTGATCCCCACCTGGGAGGCCGCTCAAAGGTCTCCCCGGAGCCTTCTCTTCTCCAGGCTGAACACCCCCAACTCTCTCAGCCTGGCCTCATGGGAGAGGCTCTCCACCCTCTGATGGTTTTTTGGGGGGTGGTACAGGAGGCAGCGGTGGCAGAGCAGAGCTGCCTGCACTCACCGTGCCAGCCGGGAGTCTCACCGAGCCTTGCTGAGCCCTGCGACAGCCGGGCGGCACCCTGGCAAACCAGGCCAATAAATATTTCAGCAGCAGCGAGGCCAGCTTTCCAACGGCCCCGCCGCACCCCGCCATCCATTATTCAACACATTTCCCTCTATAAATACAGAGGTGAATAATTGATGGGGGCTCAGCCCCCTGCCTTCTGCCCCAGCCTGGCGCGGGGCCCTGTCCGTCCTGCCTGTGCCCTGTTTGCTGGTGCCATGTCAAACGCTGCCAAAGAGCTGGGTCCAAGGCTGGAGGTTGCTGGGTCCCTGGCAGCCCCCGGGGACACAGTGAGTAGCTGGAGCCTAGGAGAGTGGCTTCCAGCCCAGGGATCAGGGGACAGGGTTGTGGTCCCCAAACCCCAAGAGATGGCTGACATGTCCATCCGGTGGTGGCTGGTGGGACCTGAGGACACTCTCCATCACCAGCTCCCCCCAATCCCAAGATAAGAGCGAGACAAATATTTTAGCCACTTGGTTTGGGAGGGAGATGGCCACACCCTGGTAGAGGGGCACCGAGGGAGCAGCATCCTGGCCGGTGATGTCCCCAGCCCAAGTTTATGGGCTCTGAGGATGCTCTGTGCAGCCTGGGGGGGATGGCTGCCAAGTGGGGTGCAACCTAGATCCCCTGCTGCCCCCAGCCCATCGCTTTCACCCTCACAGCATCCCTGGGCCTCATCCAGCCCTCCTGGAACAGCCAGGGAGGGGAGCAGCCACCTGAAAGGTGCTGTGGAGGGGCTCAGGAGCGCAGGCAGCTGCCAGCGACATGGCTCGCAAACCCCATGGGATGCATGGCGTGTGGCATCTCCAGGGGACACCCTCCCCAGCACCACGGGGCCCGCGGAATGGGGCTGGTGGGAGCTGTTGAAGCCTCTCGCACAGTGTGAACGACGGTGGCGCGGAGGTGCCTGCAGACAGCCCGGCCCGGTGGCAGCGGCACCGCGAGAGCCCAGCCTCCGGGGACGAGCCCAGCCCTGTGCAGACTGTCTGGCGCCGCTCCCCACTCGGATGCAGCCTCTGCTGCCTCCGCTCACGCTGCCCGATGGAGGAGCTGGGCCTCTGATGCTTGGACATGTGTTAAACTCACTTGAAAGCAGGAGAAGAGGAGGGGAAAGAAGGAGGAAACTTAAAACCAGCGGCTCGGTGCTTGGCAGCAATTAGGGAAGCAAACAGAACATGCACCAGGGTGTCTTACACAGCCATACAGCACAAATCCAAACAGATAATTACCAGGCGGCACGGAAAGGCTGTCGCTCCAGCACGGAGCCTACAGCCAGAGCCATTCGGCACGCTGGTTGCCCCCAGGGAGAGGGCAGGTGGTGGCAGAGGGGCAGCCCGGGGCCTCAGGAGCCCAAGGGGACAGTCACGGGAGGAGACAGATGCTGACAAGCCGCCGGACTGAAATGCAGCCAGCGGGAGGTGTTGGCAATGGTTACAACCAGCCCAGACCTCGGCTGGTCCCTGAGGCCAGGCTCAGGGGGGGGGCTGAGAGGATTCAGCAGCTTTCCCAGTCCTGCCTTGGAAAGCTGAGCCAGGTCCCCCCCGCCCCAGGCGCTGAGGCTGCCTGTCTGGCTCACAGAAATCCCGAATGGTGAATGAGCTGGGAAGTCACTTCAAATAGAAAGATGGCCAGAGATTCGGGCCTTCTGGGGACAGGCAGGCTCCAGGCAGCGGCAGCGGAAGGGCAGGCAGGCAGGCTGGCTGTACACAGCCACAACGCTCTGGGGAAACGGGCAGGCAAGGATGTGGGGGTTCCTCCCACCCCGAAAGGAGCAGGATTGTGCTTGGCAGGAGGAACCCAGCCTGGAGAATTTTGTCTGGGGGGCAGAGACTTGGAAGGGGAGTGTGCCCAATAGCTACTCTCTCATCTGACTCTGGCATCTTTGGGTGGCACTGGGATCTGCCCTCCCTGCCTGCAGCCAAGCAGCCCCCCCAAGTTCCTGCACCCCGGGGCTGAGGCCACATCACTCCAGTGCATGAAATGAAAGTACTGCATCCCGCAGAGATCTGAGCTGCTGTATGCTGGGATGCTCAGCACACACCTTGCCCTTCCCTGCCCCCTGAAACCCTCCCTCTGACCCACTGAGACACCGGACGGACAGGGAAATACAAAGCCGTCTGCCTTGGAGATGTCAGTACAGATCCCCTCTGATGTTCCAGCAGCTAGCACCTCTATATGCTTTTTGGTTACCCCAGAGAAGCAGGAGAGCAGAGATTTAGCCTTTCCTCCTCTTCCCATCATCTTACAGTTTGCAGATTGCATGACTGGGCCAACCACAACATCATCAGAAGGAGAGTTCAGTACTCGGTACAACCATCGTTACTCTGGGAGCCCACAGGAAGGGCCCAGCTTCATACCCCCACACCCACCCCCCCGCCCCCCGTAACAACCTCCCCTCTGCTCTCACAGGCCACGGCTCACAGGGAAAGCGTCTGCCAGCAGTGCAGTGCCAGCTCCCAAGCCACAGTGGGAGGAAACCTGACAAAAGCAAAGGGCAAAGTCTTTTAGTCTCCCGAATTCACTCCAGGGTGCACATTTCACAGGAAACGTCATTGTCAGAGAAGTCACTCCATTCATGAGGGTTTTGTCATCCACAATGGGTGATGATGCGGTGGTGGGGGGTGGATTTGACGCAGGAAGAGAGAAGAAAGAAGGGGGTCTAGGAGTCTGTCACTACAAACATTACACAGATGATGAAGATGCTGGGAAGAATAGGACGAAAGCTGCCAGGAAGACAGAGCTTCTCCAAGCCGTTGGAGATTTTACCATCCCCGTGTGGTAGTGAAGAGGGATGAAGCCTCAAGAGACGGGCAGGATGATCCTGTTAGTGCCACCCCTGCGCGGCTGTTCACTGGGACACCCCAGGCTGTGCGGATGAAACCAGCTGGACCAGACAGTCATCCCGCTGAGGGCAGGCTGGACGGCGAGCTCTGGGACAGCCGGGTCTACCGAGGACTCTGCATCAGCCGGGCTCGGGGGCCACTGGAGACCCCGGGCTGGCCAGGCGTGGGAGCCCCCGGGCCCCCGGCCCTGATAGGCGAGCAGGCGCGTTCAGCACCGCGGACAGCGGCCGCGTTCAGCACCGCGGACAGCGGCCGCGCTCAGCACCGCGGACAGCGGCCCCCGCGGCTCCCCCCTCCCCGCCCACGGACACCCGCAAACGTGTCCCTGCTGGACCCCCCCTGCCCCGGCCGCCCCCTGCGAGGATCCACCGGTGCCCCGCCACGTCCCTGCCGTCCCCCTCCCGCCCCGCCGGCCTGCCATGCAGCCCTGCCCGCATCCAAGGCTGCTGCGAAATTATTTCTGTTAGAGCCGCTGCTCCAGGCGCAGAGCTGCTCGGCAGCGAGCAGCCATCTCTCACGGCTTCCCGCACACATACACACACACATATATATATATATATATGCACACACAGACACACATGGGCACGCACACGACCACCCTGTCAGAGCCTCGGGAGCTGGTGGATGCCCCTTACACGAGCCTCGGCGTTCAGCTGCCCATATACATTCACACATACACACACAAACAGAGATAAGCGCATGCACGCACACACACACAGAGGGTTGCATCAGCTGAATTCATTAGCCCATCTATTTTTACTAATGCAGCAAATCAAGTTGCTCTACAGGCGGAGAAAACACACCCGAGACATAGTGCTGTGGCAGAGCACACAGCCAAGGCTTTTGTCCAGCACTCCTGAGGGTAACGGCGCCCCGGGCGTCCCTCAGCTCTACGCAACATCCCCAGCCAGCAGCAATGGTCTTGTTTGGGGGGGGCTGAACCTGATGACTGAAGAACATGGTGGTAATAAAGACATTCCCCTGTGCAGATAGCCTTCACTGGCAACGCTCACTGGTGTGTGAGCTGCCTCCCGCTCTGATCCCATCAGGTCGGACCGGTGCCCGTGCCATGAGCAGTCCGAATGCCGGCCTCTGAGGCCGGGTCCCCTCAGAGGGCTTGGATTACCCCAGCAATGCAGAGGGGCCACAGAGGGCCCTGGAAGAGCCACCGGCTCCCCCGGAGATGGAGGGGCAATGGGTGTGTTTAGGTAGCGAGAAGCTGTACATGTGCGTGTGTGTGTTCACAGGCGGATCTGCGCTCGCAGGCTCGGCACTCAGTCAAGTCAGCTAGGAGAGAGGCTTGGAACACAGCTCCAAATCCAGTGCTACCTATTCCCCTGCTGCACAAGCCAGGAAATCGTGGTGGGGAAGGGCCTCGCTGCTCTGCCTGGCCCTGGAGACCTGTCATTTGTGTGATGAGAGCCAGGAAACTTCTCCCTGAGGGTACCCTGAGAGCTCCTTGGGAGATCGGAGGGCTGAGAGCAGCTTTCCTGCTTCCTTGTTGGCTCCCAACAATGCCAAAGAGCTTGTCCCACCTTGCAGTGGAACAAGAGGCTCAGGATAGGCTGGGAAAACGACTGGTTTGAGTCCCATTCCTGCCAGCTGCCACTCAGTGCCGGGCTGGCTGGTCAGTGAGCTCACGGCCAGGCAGCGAGGCTGTCATGATCGGGACTCCCCATGCTGCTCTCCTGCAGGTCCCACAGCCTTTCCGAATGGCAAAACCTGGGGCTGGGCTCAGCAGGATCAACCCCATGCCCAGGGAGCTGGGCAAATGCTGGCTGAGGTGCCAAAGCCAAGCTCTGCTCAGGTCCCCACCACTTTCTGCTTAGCTGAGAGAACAGCTCATGTCCAGGAGAACTGGGAGATGCAGCTCCTGTCCCCCCCAGCCCTCAGCATGGGGAGTTGTAGGGAGGAGGCAGAGCTCCAGCATCCCAGGCCTGACCAGACAAAACTTCCTCACAACAGTGACATCCCCTCTGGCTGCTGCAAGCCCTTCCTGCAGCAGCATTTGTCTTCTCTGCTAAGACCCAAATCTCCCAAAGACATCAGACTCTGACCTCCTTCCCTATCCCAGGCAGCCCCATGTCCCCAGGGGGGGACCCCCCCCACCCAAAGAGAGCACGAGACACACAGACCAGGACAAAGCTGGACCTCAGCATGCTGCCCTGGGCCCATCCAGCCTCCTCCAGAGGTCCTGGCCCTTACTGCCATGGGAGGATGCTCATACTTCAGCCAAGCTTCGTCTCCTGCTCCCCACCAACTAAGGCGAGGGGAAGAGGGAACAGCTCCTCTTATATCAGCTCCTGCTCAGTCTGGCTTCCCCTTGCTGCAAGCCCAGTCAGAGCCCAACTGACAGCACCCAGCATGTTACAGCCCTTCTCTTTGCCCCTCTTGGGCCCAGGAAGAGGCCATCGAAAACCTCCTGAGGAGAGAGGAGCTGGGAGATCACAGCCCACAGCTGCCCCTGAGCCCCCTGTCCTCAGGTACCGCTGGGTCTTGAGCCTTTTCTTCAAGCCCCTTCATCCCTCCAGACATGGCAATGGCCACACAAGCGGCGATGTCCCTTTGCCCCTGGGCTTGGGGGTCCGGCCAAGAGCCAGGGTTGGGGTGAGGCAGGGGAACGCCTGACCAGCATAAGGGTCATTGGTGCCAGGCTTGGGGGACACTGGGGCAGGCAGGCAGTGTTCAGCCATGGGACTCCTTGCTGCAAGGGATTGGGGGGTGCTAAATGCCAGTAAAGGCTCCAAGAATCCATTCGATGCAGCCTGGAAGCAAAGGCACTGGCCTGATCCTGCTCCCAGGGCAGCCCCCCAGCTGCCCACTTCCCCTGGCCAGGATCTGGGCATTGGTCACACCTCCAGCAGGGAAAAATCCCAGAGAAACAGCTTCTGCTGATCTGCCTCCTCCCCTGACACTCTCCCCTTCAGCCCCAGACCCCTTCTCTGCACCACCAGCCCTGAAGCACCCAGCAAACGTGGCTGGTCCCCATGGTGGGTGGGCAGAAGTAGGGCGGGGGTGGGATGCTGCCAAAGGAGCCTTGCTCGCCCGCGCACCCCATTCTGCTCCCTCCCACGCCATCGGCACCCACTCGCTTCCCAAATCCCCTTTCCACTCTCCATGTGCTGCTCCATCCGCACAGGCACTGGTGGGGAGCAATGGGCCACGGCTTGGAGATGGGGAAACTGAGGTACGGCCAGGGCAACCCAGCTTTGCCATGGAGCTGCCAGAATCTGAGCCAGGCACAGCTTAAATCAGCAGAGCATGGAGGCAGGATCCAGCCCCCAAACTCAAAGTCCTCCCGCTCCAGCTGCCCTTCTCCTGGCTGGAGTGTGGCCACGTCCCCACGGGATGGTCAACATGGAGGTGACCCGGATGAAGGGGACAAGGGGATCCTTTCCCCACTTCCACCTTCCTAAATGTGCTGCCTCGGCCTGAACAAGGGTCCCTCCGTCCCCAGGAGCAGGATTTGGGGAGGTGGGAGGTTCCTGACAGCGGGGATGCTGGCCCCACTGCTCCCCACCACCGTGGAGCTGCTGGCACGGGGAGGAGAGCGGGCCTGGTGGATGGTAAAGGGATCGATGTGGGGGAAGCCAGCTCGGGGAAAAATAGATATCTAGCTCATTAAAAATGGATGCTTGAGCGAGTCCTCCCCACTCCAAAGCCACCTCCCTCCCTCTTCCTGGTAGCCAGAGTGAAATCAGCACCCAGCAGCTTTCAGAGGAGGGGAGATGCCAGCACAGCACGGTGCCCGCTCTGCGCCCACTGCTCCCACCCCGCTGCGTGCCAAGATGCCCTGGGTGCTGCGGAGGGGGCCCGTGATCCCCAGAACCCTGGGTAGAGGGTGATCATGGAGCAGGACCTCTGCCAGGAGCATCCCCACCGCAGGGACTGCCACGTTCTGGCCTTCGCTGCCTGGGCACCACCATGTCCCACCAGCACCAGTGGGTGCCCAAGAGCCAGAACCACCTTGTTCTGGTGCCCCATGGCACCCCTGGACCCCCATCCAGCCAACTCTGCCTGGTTGCTGCCACAACCTCGTGCCTCAGTTTCCCCCATCCATGCCCGGTCCAGCCTGCCCCAGCCCTTCCGTGGGGCTCAGCCTGCCCACCGAGCCCCAGCCAGCCTTGCTCACGGACCCCTCCACTCACCCCCATGAAACAACCCACCCGCAGCCCTTTACCCGCCTCCCAGGCTGCTGGGGGGCCCCTGGCCCCACACTGGGCTCTGTGGGACCCCACTGTGGGGCTCAGCCCCATCTCAGCCAGGGCCTTCCCCTTCCCCTGGGCCCTGGGATGAGGGGGTGGCTGCCCCCGTCCCCCCCCCAGTCTGTGTCACCCTGCACCCAAGGAAAGCCCCACCGAAGTGCTGGGGTGCTGAAGTGTTGGGGTGCAGCGCTGGGGGGTGTCAGTGGTGCCATGGTGACACCACAGAGGACAAGGGGGCAGTTTGGGGGCTGGCAGCAGACGGGGGAGGGGGCAAGCAACAGCCCTACATCCCAGTGACCCTGACCCCACAGTGATGTCCCCCTAAACCGCCATCCCAAAGCATGCCCACATCCCCCAGTACCCAACCGACCCCCCCCTCCTCCCTGTTGTTACCCAACCGGTGATGCCCGGCCATGCTGTGGGGTGGGGGGGTGGGGGCACCACCTTACCCCCCCCCCCCCCCCCCAGCATCCCCCAGGTCCCCAAACCTGGGTGAGGGGAGCAGCATCACTGGGGGATTCACACCGACCACCATCCTCGGTTGAGCTACCGGGAGGCGGGCGGGGGGGGCGGGGGCGCCACCGGACCGGGAGCCCCGGGGCCGGGCCGGCTCCGCCGCCGTTATATAACGCGGCTCCATGATGCGGGATGCGGCGGGGGGGTGGTTGCGGTGTCGGTGTCGGTGTCGGTGTCGGTGTCGGTGTCGGTGTCGGTGTCGGTGTCGGTGTCGGTGTCGGTGTCGGTGGCACCGGCACCGGCACCGGCACCGGCACCGGCACCGGCACCGGCACCGGCTTTGTGTTGTAAAGGGTTTTCCCGAGCGGCTCTTACCTCCAGCACCGTCTCCCGAAGCTCATGCCATGCCTTGTGCCCGGCCTCTCTTGGATGCAGGAAAAATAACACCGGGAAGAAAATCGGGGGAAAAAAACCCAAAAAATCCCCGTTGGAAAAGGGGCCGGATCCTGCCCGGCCCCCGCCCCAACCCCGCTAAACAACAGGAAAAATAAGCGGGGAGTGGAGGGGGGGGAAATGGGCCGGATCCGGATCCGGGGAGGGGGGATGGAGAAGGGGGGTCCCTCCTGCCAGCCAGCCCGAGGAGCTGAGAGCTGCTCGCACACGCACACGCGCGTTTGCACACACGCACACGCGTGTCAGCAGCGGAGGCTGTTAAAGAGACACGGTCGCCGGTAGCGAGAATGGATCGTGGTGGGATGGCACCGGTACCGGGAGCGGCGAGGTGAGGGTGCGGGACACGGCCACGGCCACGGAGGGAGAGATGCGGGGTGGGGGGGAGGGGGTGGGGGGTGCAGGCAGGGCTGGGCTGGCAGCTGGGTGTGCAGGCAGGGGGAGAGAGGGGTGGGTGGGTGGGTGAATGCAGGGGTGGAAGGACGGGAAGATGGAGGGGAGGGATGGAGGGAGAAATGGAGGGATGGAGAGGTGGAGGGAAAAATGGAGGGATGGAAGGAGAGATGGAGGGATGAAGGGAGGGAGGGATGGAGGGGTGGATGGAGAAATGGAGAGATGGATGGATGGATGGATGGATGGATGGATGGATGGATGGATGGATGGATGGATGGATGGATGCACAGACGGATGCTTGCTCTGGCTCTCTCCCCACCAGGCTGGAGATCCGGGCGCAGACCCCTCTCGCCGGCTCAGGCCCTGCTGACAGCCCCCGGGGCGCCGTGGGGACGGTCGCTGCAGCTCCAGCACCCCGGGGTGCTGCGGGCACCCAGGGAAGGGTGCTGCACCCAGGAGCCGGGGTGGGGGTCACCCCCCCAGGCCACGGCTAGCAGTGGGACCTGCAGCTGGGGGCTGCCCCATTGCTGCCCCCCCATTTCCCATCACCCCCAGCTCAGCACCCCTCCAGCACCCCCCAGTCCAGGGCCCAGCTTCACCACTGCTCCCCAAACTGGAGGGAACTGGTTAGGTGGCACTTTTAAGCCTGTCCCCTCCAGCTGCCCCTCGCACAGCCCCGGGTGAGCAGCGGGACCAGCTCGGCTGGGCCCTGGGGAGGCTGATGGAGCTGCCTGGATCCGGCCGCCTGGCTCCTGCCTCCATTATTTATAAGGCAGGTCAGGTTTCGCACTGGCAGCCGGGAGGGGGGGCTGGGGGGGAGGAGACTGTGCAGACACACACACACACACACACACACACTCACACCTTCATCCCACCCTGCCCAGCCGGTGACAACCACAGAAAAAGGGGCCGGAGAGGCTGGTGACCGTAGGGATGTGCGGGTCAGTGGCCTCACCCAGGTGCCACGTGTTTTCCCCATTGCCTGAGGAACTGGGGGTCCTTTCCCTGGTGATCCCTTGTCCCCCCATCATGCCCTGTCCCCATAGGGGTGTCTCAGGGGAATTGCCACCCAGAAGCAGCGGGTGGTGGTCCCAACTTTGGGGGACATGCTCCGCTTGCCGTCACCGCAGACCTGGACACCCACGAGGCAGTGACAAGGGGTGAGCCCCAGTCCCAACATGGCAGTTGGGCTCCACGTGGTCCCTGTTGTCCCCTTGGTCCTGCCACAGCCCCATTGTCACTAACCCCTGCCAGCTCTGGGTCCCAAAGGGGACACGTTGAGGTGGCCACATGTCCTGGGGACATTTTCATGCCAAGAAGGGTCACAACTGCCGGAGGAGTCCCTGGGGAGGGGGAGTCTCTGTGCACATGTCTCCCATGGAGGGGACACAGCTGGGGTGGACCCCCCGTGATGCCAGCCCGGGGGGGTACCCACACCCTGGGGTGCCCGATGTGGGGTGCCCGGCCGCCCTAGCTCACCCTGCAGCTACGGGCAACCCCAACTCACCAGCCTGTGCTGTGGCAATCCAGGCCCCCTGAGCCTCCCTGGGCCACGGGGACCATCTCTCCCAGGTGCCAGGTTGGTGGCCGGTGTCCCCAGGCTCGGGACCAGCACAACAGCAAAGAGGCAAACAAACACCTCTGGTCCACAACTCATCTTTATGCAAACTGCCAGAACGCCATTGGCCTCTGCTGCTCTCCCCTCCCCACCGCCATGGGGATGCCGAAGCGTCTCGCCCCACACACCCAGCGTGTCCCCACGGCGATGGGACCCTGGGCCGAGCAGCACCCATCCAGCCGGACCACCGGTGCCAAAGCTGGACCGCAGTGCGCCGGGTGCTGTCACCGCGGCAACCGCCGTCGCCTAGCGCCGGCTGTCTCCCGGTAACCCGTCGCCTAGCAATGGGGGATTTTTCACAGCTCGGGATGAAGAGTTGAAAGTTATTTTTAGCCCGGGCTGCGAATCAATAGGCAGCTCCATTCGCCGCCCCGCAGGATGCACGCGCGGGGCCGTGGTGCGGCGGCTGCCGGGGCAGGGCGGGAGACACACACCAGTGAGGGGAGCTGCGGGGTCCCCACCCCAGCACAGCCCCCAGGGACCCCCAGGGCTCAGCCCCTCTGGGCCCCCCCATAGGGATCAGATCTCCAAGGCCTCTGCCAGGCTCAGAGACACACACACCCCCCCAGGGCTCCCCCCACTCCAGGCCACATGGAGGTGAGGGTGGCCGGGGACAGGGCCCACCCGTTGGGGGTCTCGGGCTTCTTTGGGGACCCCCACATGGCTGTGGGGGTGATCACACCACTGTGGGGACCACTAGCTTGCTGTGGGGACCCCCAACTTACTCTGAGGGCTCTCACCCAGCTGCTGGGAGCCTCATCCTGCTGTGGGGACCATCTCCCACTAGTGGGGACCCCCACCTTGCCATGGGGGCCCCTGCCTTGCCATAAGGACACTCACTCTGTCATGGGACCCCCACCTTGCCATGGGGACCCCCACCTTACCATGGGACCCCCAACTTTGTACCCCATGGTTCCCCCCTGACAGCCTCCCTGAGCTCCTCCAGCCTCTCCAGGGCTTGTGCCCACCCTCAGGAGCACCAGCCCGGGGGTCCAGATGCTCGGGGGCACCAGAAGGTTTGGGGGCACCAGCCTGTTTGGCACTGGGGTTCCGTGGGGAAGGGCTGGAGGTATCCCCCTCCCAGACCCGGGGGTGGGCCAGGAGTTGAGGCGAGGCTCCTCAGCTATTTTTTAAAGATGAGGTGGGTGCCTACCACAGCCGCATCCCCTGCGGGTGCTCGGCTGGGCAGGAGAGCTCCCCATGCACCCACAGCGTGCCAGGCAGCGGGGTGGAGTGAGGCTGGGGACCCCCAGCCTACGAGAGGCCCTCTGAGGTCCGAGCCCCAACTTGAGTCCCCCTGTTGCCTTCCCAGGAGGGTTTCTGCCTCTGGGCACGGCCCAGCCTGGAGCAGCCCTGCCCTTGCCACCACCCACCCACAGCGCAGGGTGGAGGGTGCCCCGAGCCACCCCACAGGGACCCTTTCTGGGCAGCACAGATGCCCCAGGGACCCTTTGGGGACTCGGGAGGGGAGCCCTGCCCAGAAAGCGAGAAACCTTGGGGTGACCTGGCAGAGAGAGAGAGGATCATCAAAGAGCACAAAGGAAACAGTCAAGGTCCCTCCTGCCATAGAGCCTTCAGGTGCCCCGGGGGTGGCAGAGGGGACACCCAGGGACCCTTGGTCCCCCTGGAGCACGTGCCCAGCTCGGGGGTCCCAGCACAAGGCAGACCTGGACCTGTCAGAGCGGGTCCGGAGGGGCCCAGGGCAATGGTCGGGGGCTGGAAGAACCTCTCCAGTGCAGAAAGGCTGGGAGCACTGGGGTGGTCCAGCCTGGAGAAGACATTCTTGTAGCCTGTCAGTATAGGAGGGGGAGGAAGGAGGAGCCGTGCTGCAGTGAGGTGGGAGTGGGGACCCCCGAGGAGCTGTGGGTGCCCCAGAGGAGCTGTGGGTGCCCCAGAGGAGATGTGGGTGACCGGAGGAACTGTGGGTGCCCCAGAGGAGCTGTGGGTGCCCCGAGAAGCTGTGAGCGCCCCGAGGAGCTGTGGGTGCCCAGAGGATCTGTGGGTGCCCAGCAGAGCTGTAGGTGCCCTGAGGAGCTGTGGGTGCCCCCGAGGATCTGTGGGTGCTCAGCAGAGCTGTGGGTGCCCTGGAGGAGCTGTGGGTGCCCGGAGGAGCTGTGGGTGCCCCAGAGGATCTGTGGGTGCCCCCGAGGATCTGTGGGTGCCCAGCAGAGCTGTAGGTGCCCTGAGGAGCTGTGGGTGCCCCCAAGGATCTGTGGGTGCTCCAAAGGAGCTGTGGGTGCTCCGAGGATCTGTGGGTGCCCCGGAGGAGCTGTGGGTGCTCAGCAGATCTGTGGGTGCCCCGGAGTGCCCCAGGCCCAGCCGGACAGGGGCTGGAGCCCCCTGACCCAGCGGGAGATGTCCCTGCCCGGCTCAGGCTGTTCTCTGCAGGTCCCATTCGACGCCTCGATGTTCTGCTCCGCTGCGGGACGTGGCCTCCCCCTCCCCGGAGACCCCTGGGGTCCCCCCAGGCCCCGGGGGGAGGGGGGGCTGCCGGAGGAGCAGCCGCCTTGCCCGCGGTCACAAGAGGGCACTGCGAGCCCAAGCATCCCGGGGGCTGCGGGGCGGGGGGGGGGCCCGCTGCAGGCTCCGGAGGCTTCCCCTGCTCCCCGCTGCTCCTTGCGGGGTGGGGGGGGGCTGACGACTCCCAGCCCCCCAGCCCTATGGGTGCCACCCTCTCTGAAGCAGCCGGGGCCAAGGGGCATGGTGGGGACGCTGGGCACAGCCACGGTCACCCCACCACCACCCCCTCACACCTTGGGGTTGCAGCATTTTGTCCGGTGGCTGCTCCATTAAAGCCCAGAGATGCTCTGCCCCATCGGCTGGCCCAGAGGGCTGAGCAAATTGGTGGGTGCTGGGGTGGGGGGGTGGGGGTGGGGGGTTGCCAGGTCCCAGGTCAGCCCCAGCTGTGGTGGCTGCTCCGAAAGGGCTCCTGGCCACGCTGATGGCCGTGCCCCCAGGGCAGGGGTGCCCAGTGGCCGTGTGGGGGGAAGCCAGGGCTGGCCACGGTGGTTTTGTCCGGCTGGTGCCGAGGTTTGTCCCGTAACACCCAGTTAAGGTGCTCAGACCCCACCAGGGCTGGGGGGGGGGGGGGGGCTCAGGGGTGCAGACTCACCCCAGGGTGCTGGGGTGGGGTTAGGACCAGCTCAGTGCCATGTGCCTACGGGGGCGGTGACACCGGCCTGCAAACAGCCACGTCCCACCTCCCCCGCACCCCTGGGTGTCCCAAGGGAATGTCCCCCCAGGGTGCTGAGCAACCCACCGGGCAGCGAATCAGTCTTGGTGGGGGGGAGGTCCCCCCCTGGGGACCCCGGTGCCACCCCAACCTCAGGTGACACGTCCCACCTTGTCCTCCGGTGCCACCTTGCTTCTGGGGACGGGCTGGGGGCTGTTTGTGGGCTCCCCGGCTGGCCCCCCACGCCAAGCTCTGAGCCCAGCTGGCCCCGCTTGCCCACGGTGGCACAGGATCCGGCTCCGGGCCCACGTCACCCCACGCAGGGAGTCACCTGCGAGCCAGGCCCTCCGGCCGAGCAACCCCGCGCAGCAGCCAGCAGCCACGGCGCGAGGGCCAGGACACACAGACACCCCCCACCCCCCCTCTCGGCCCCCCCACCCCGACCCCCCCACCCCGACCGGCTCCCCCTTAACCCGCAGCCCCCCTCCGGCCCCTCATTTTCCACGGATTCCAGCAGCTTGACTTCTTTCAGCATCATTTCATGGCCGGAGGGCTTCGAATCCCGCTCTCCCGCCTGCACGCCCCCCCCCCCCCCCCCCGGCCCCCTCCCCTTCCCCTCTTTCTTTCCACCATCCAAATTTACAATCCCTCATTTCCATTCCGCTCCACCCTCTCTCCGGGGACTTTGTTCCCGGCCTGTATCATCCCATCCCAATTGTTCGGTGTTTATTTCAAACATTTTGGCGGGCTGTCACTGGATGGAAACTTAATTAATTGCGGGGGTTTGTGGTGCTGGTACAATAGCGGCTGAAGGGGGGGGGGGGGGGGATAAAATCCTGAAGGGTGGGTTTCGGGGTGGGGGGAAATGGGGGTTCGGGTGTGCGTGACCCCAATGTCAGGCCCACCGCCACGTGCCTCTGCTCCCCCTGGTTGAGAAAACGCCCCTGGGGTGCTGCTGGGGGGGGGTTGGAGTTTATATGAAGGTTGGGGTGTGTGTAACTCTTGGGGGTCGCATTTTGGGGGGGGGGTGTATGTAAACTGGGGGGTGGTAGGCTGGGTTGTGCACAGGCTGGGGTGTGTGCAGCCTGGGGTGGGTAAAGCTTGGGGTGTGGGTAGCCTGGGGTGTGCACAGGTTGGGGTGCTGGTAGCCTGGGGTGTGCAGGACTTGGGGTGTGCAGAGCCCAGGGTGTGCGTAACTTGGGGTGTGCATAACTTGGGGTGTGCATAACTTGGGGTGTGCATAACCCAGGCTGTGCATGACTTGGGGTGTGCATGACTTGGGGTGTGCGTAACTTGGGGTGTGCATAACCCAGGCTGTGCATGACTTGGGGTGTGCATAACTCGGGGTGTGTATGACTTGGGGTGTGCATAACTTGGGGTGTGCATGACTTGGGGTGTGCGTAACTTGGGGTGTGCATAACCCAGGCTGTGCATGACTTGGGGTGTGCATAACTCGGGGTGTGTATGACTTGGGGTGTGCATAACTCGGGGTGTGCATAACTTGGGGTGTGCATAACTCGGGGTGTGCATAGTTGGGCTGTACCCGGTCTGGGCTGCCTGTAGCCCCGGGTGTGCACAGCCCTGGGTGTACGGAACTCGGGGCACAACACAACCAGGGGTGTCTGTAGCCCGGGTCCCACCCCTCCCCCCCCCTCACCGGCAGCCAGCCGGGATGGGGGGTGTGTGTGTGCGTGTGTGTGTGTGTGTGCGTGTGTCCGGGCACTGCAGCCCCCCCGGGCTGGGGTGGGGGGTCGGGGATGCCCGGGGGGGGGGGGGGGGGGCGGGGAGAGGAGGAGGATGGGCGAAGGAGGGGGGGGGGGCGGCCCCGCCCCGCCGCCGCCATTGGCGGAAAGTTTGGGGCGCGGCGCGGGGTGGTGGCCCCGCTCCCCACTCCCCCCCCCCCCCACCCCCGGTGTCGTGTCCCCCCCCCCCCCGCCCCGGCCCGGCCCCGGTGCGGGCAGCGGTGCGGGCAGGGCCGGGCCCCCGGGGCCGCCGCGGCCGCGGCCATGTGGGCGCTGCGGGCGCTTTGCCTGGCCGGGCTGGGCGCGGCGCTCGGCGGGGCCTGGGCGGATCAGTGCAGCTGGAGGGGCAGGTAGGCACCGGCACCGGCACCGGCACCGGCACCGGGAGGGGGGGGGGGGGGCAGCCCCGGGAACGGAGCGGGGGGCACCCGCGCGGCCGCGGCTCAGCACAACCCCCCCCCTCGGGGAGCTCCCGCCGCCCGCAAAATCGGATGGGGACGCGGGGAGGTGTGGGGGGGTGTGGGGTGTGTGGGTGTCTGTGCTCCCTCCCCGCTGCCACCCCGCCACCACCGTGGGGCAAGGGTCACGGGTGGGATGCTGGGAATCTGCGCCTGCCTCAGTTTCCCCACTCCTGGGTGCGGCTGCCCCCCCTCCCTCCCCACTCCCCGCAATGAGGGATGCTGGTCTCTAGGGTGCTGGGGCTGTCTGGGAGTCCCATCCCCGAGACTCCCCACCCGTGAAAAGGCTCCGCGCCAGGGCTCGGCACGCCGCTGGCCGCCGTGGGGAAGGCGCCGAGCTCCGGAACAAAGAGCCGGGGCCCGCCAGGAGGGGCTGCCGCAAGCCCCACGCGGGGGGCGTGGGGGGCCACGAGCAGCGTGGCCGCGACAAAGCAACCCCACGGCTGCCTCCACTCCCCCCAGCCTGGCTTTCCCGCGCGCGTGTGTGTCTGTCCCGCTAAATCGTAGTGGGCAAGACTTTGCTCTGGGCACCGTTTACACAAGAGCCCGAATCCCGCGAGAGTGGGGGGACGGGGTGGGGGGGGCACGTAACCCACCCCACCCCCCCCCCCGAACCCACTGGGGATTCCCCAAAGTGGGGGGATGCAAGGGAACAAGCGACCCCAAGACCATAGGCACTTTGACTGGGGTGGTTTGGGAGCCCATGCTGGGTGTGTGAGGGGGGGCTGTGCTGCTGTGGCCCCCCCCCCCCCCGGGAAGGTGCTGAGAAACACGAGCACCCCCGAAATGATGCGCTTGCACCCCAAGTCCGAGGCGTTGAGGGTTTGGTGCTACTCCTCCCCGCGTTTCACCCTGCACGCCTCCACGCAGGAGTGCCGGGGGGACATGGGATGGGAGAGGGGGGGTCCCCGTCACTCCGTTTTGGGGGGGGGGGGGTGTCCCATCTGACGGGGGTGCTGTGCCTCGCAGCGGGCTGTCGCAGGAGGCGGGCAGCGTGGAGCAGCTCTCCCTGCACTGCGCCGAGGGCTCGCTGGAATGGCTGTACCCCACGGGGGCCCTTCGCCTCCGCCTGGCCCCCCGCCTGCCCCCCGCCGCTGCCGCCGCCGCCGCCGTCCAGGGCAGGAACCCCCAGCACGTCACCGCCTGCGTCAAACCCGCCAGCACTTTCCGGGGGGCTCAGCTCTACCTGGAGAGGGAGGGGGTGCTGGAGCTGCTGCTGCCAGAGGCCCCCCGGCCCCGTGTCCGCTGCTTCAGCTGGCTGCCCCGGGAGAAGGTGGCTCTCTTCCTTCAGGCCACCCCGCACCGCGACATCAGCCGCCGCATCGCCGCCTTCCGTTACGAGCTGCGGGGGGACTGGCTGGCCCGCCCGGCTCTGCCCGCCGCCAGCCTCACCGGAGAAGGTGAGCGCCGAGCCGCTCGGCCTGCCTCAGTTTCCCCCGGGGCCGCCGCCTCCCCCGTGAGGGGTGTCCCCGGTGTGAGCGGAGGCGAGGGGATGGAGGGGTTGGAGCCGGGGTGGTCACCCTGCGAGGCCGGTCACCGGGAGCCACCGTGGTGACGGGCCATGCTTGGCCGTTGTAGGGGCGTGCCGGCCGTGCAACGACACCGAGATCCTGATGGCCATTTGCACTAGTGACTTTGGTGAGTGCGGCCCCTCCTTGGATGCTGGGGGGGGGGGGGGGGTGTCCTGGGGTTGGGAAAGAAACTTGAACTGGGAGGGAAATGGCTCCCAGGCAGCCCTGGTCTCCCCTTCCCGGGCTGGCCTGGCTTGGGTGGCAGCCAGCAGTGTCATAGAGGCTGCTGTGGGCTGGGGGTGGAGATGGGGATGGGGACAAGGATGGGGACAGGGATATGGGGATGGAGACAGGGATGGGGACAGGGATATGGGGATGGGGACAGGGATGGGGACAGGGATATGGGGATGGGGACAGGGATATGGGGATGGGGACAGGGATGGGGACAGGGATATGGGGATGGGGACAGGGATATGGGGATGGGGACAGGGATGGGGACAGGGATATGGGGATGGAGACAGGGAAGGCTACAGGGATGGGGACGGGGACAGCAATGGAGACAGGAATATGGGGACGGGGATGGAGACAGGGATGGGGACAGGGATATGGGGATGGAGACAGGGATGGGGATGGAGACAGGGATGGGGACAGGGATATGGGGATGGAGACAGGGAGGGAGACAGGGATATAGGGATGGAGACAGGGATATGGGGATGGAGACAGGGATGGGGACAGGGATATGGGGATGGAGACAGGGAGGGAGACAGGGATATGGGGATGGAGACAGGGATATGGGGATGGAGACAGGGATATGGGGATGGAGACAGGGATATAGGGATGGAGACAGGGATATGGGGATGGAGACAGGGAGGGGGACAGGGATATGGGGATGGGGACAGGGGACAGGGATATGGGGATGGGGTTGGAGACAGGGAAGGCTACAGGGATGGGGATGGCGACAGCAATGGAGACAGGAATGGGCATGGGGATGGGCACAGGGACATTCTGACACCCCTCCCTGCTTTCCCCCCGCAGTGATCCGCGGCAGCATCCGGAGCGTCTCCAACGACGTGGAGCTGCAGGAATCCGTGATCGGGGTGAGCGCCGCCCGCATCCACCGCCAAAAGTTCCCCCTCTTCCAGGCAGGGGGGTGGCCGGGGAGGCCGGCCGGCAGCATCCGCACCCCGCTGCGCTGCGGCGTCAAGCCGGGCCCCGGCACCTTCCTCTTCACGGGGTGGCTGCATTTCGGCGAAGCCTGGCTGAGCTGCGCGCCCCGCTATAGGGACTTCCAGCGCATCTACGAGGGGGCACGGCGCACCCGCCAGAACCCCTGCGAGTTCCCCGTGGACTGAGTGGCTCGGGGAGGGCAGCCCGGCCCCGCGGGTGCTGTTGGGGGGGGCTGGGGTCCCGGGGGTGCAGCGATGGTGCCCGGCGGGAGCGCGGCGCTTCGGTCCTCGCTGTGTAGCTGGGCTCCAGCAGCCCCTGCCACCTGGCTGGGGGTGGGGGGGGGTGTCCCGCGAAAATCCTGCCAGGAGGGAAAGGGATTTTCTCAGGGCACGCTTGCCTGTGATCCTCGGGGACCTGCCCAGGGGTGCAGCACTGGGGGGGCAGAGGGTTGGAAGCTCCCTGGGGACCGGGTTGCTGTGGGCTGGGGGTGCTGCATGCTCAGGGGACGCTGCGGGGCACGGGGGGGGATGCAGCGCGATGGGGCAGCCGTCCCTCACCCTCCCCGCCCCGGGAGGGCTCGGTGGCACGTGGCCGTGGTGGCAGGGCCGGGGACACGGCGGGTGGCAGGCACGGTGGGGTGCGGAAGGGCCAGGAGGTGGATTTGTAATGTCGGGGGTGGAAAGGGGGAGCGGGGCAGCGGCAAGCCTTGCCCTGGCCCTGCCCGCAACGTGGGGCGCGGGCAGGAGCCGCGGGGTGGGTGCCGAGGAAGAGGAGCGAGGCGGAAGGCGGCGAGCGGGGATGGCGAGGAGGGAGGAAGGCTGGCGCGGGGAGCAGGACCAAAGCGCCAACGCAGGAAGGTGCCGCGGGAGCGGGGAGAGGTCAGGCTGTGCCACCCGGCACCACCGGCCCGGGGCCGGGTTACGCCGGCTCACCGGCGGTGGGGCACACCCTGCCAGCCAGGGCGGGGGGATTTTTGACTGTGGGGGTGGGGGGGGCCATCGTATGTGCACTAAAGTTATAACGATACCAAATTTGTGACTTTTTGTTGTTGTTGTTGTTGTTTTTGTTTTTTTTGTTTTCCTTTTTAATAAACTAAGCTGTATTTGTAGCGTGCGTGTGTGCATCTCTTTTTAAAAAGCTGGGCGGGATGTTCACCAACAGTGTGTGCCACGGCGCGAAACCCTGTGCCAGCTCCGACCACTGACCTTGCCTCCTGGGGGCTGGGAACAGCCCTACTATTTATATATCTATATATAGAGAAAGATATATTGCAGTTTCTAAACTCTGCATGCTTGGTGTCACCGGGGTTTGGGGTTCCTCTCCCCGGGTATGAGCGAGTGGGCAGGGCGGGGGGTGGGTGGCCGTGGGTCGGGTGGCCCCGTGCCGGGCGGGTGACCCCGCCGGCGGAGCCGCTGTCAGGGCCGATTCTCGTCAGAGCCACCGGCCACAAGGCCCCATTGTGCTGGGCTGTGCGGGGGTGGCTTCCCAGCCCTGCCCGCTCCTGCCCCGCCGCTGCCCCCCTCCACGGGGGCTCCAGCCCCCGGCCTCTGGCTCCCGCTCCTCCGGGCTCTGAGGTGGTGGCAAGGGGGGGGGGGGGACTGGGATGGGACAGGGGACCCCCAGCCAGGGACCTTTCCTTGCCATCGGGGATGCCCACAGGGGCTCAGCGCTGGAAAAGCTCAGCCCCTGAGCACCCCCAGCCCCCCCAACCACCCGGGTTGGGGTCATGGCACACGTCAGTTTGTGCTTTAATACCTTTTCAGTGTTGTTTCAATAACACCTTTTCAAATACCGCTGGCCAGGCTGAACTGCCAAGGATTTGGTGCCCCTGCTGACCATTACCCGCTTTTCCTTGTCAAGAAACCATTTCCAAAGCACTGTGGGCTTTGGTGTTTAATTAAATATAAATATATATATATATGTGTGTGTGTGTGTGTGTGTGTAGAAAAAGATCGGGTTATGGCACGATCCTGCCTGTGAGCTTGTGGCTGTGAGCCTGCCCGGTGGGTTTGATAGGCAACACATGTTTTTCCTTGAGAAGAGTTAGATGCTTATTTTATGCTTTACTGCCAAAGTGCTGGTGCTGGTTTTGGGGTCGAGGGCAGGATTCGACCCTGGGGAGACCAATGCTCCACACCAGGCTCTCGAGGGTGCCAGCATCGCCCCAGGTTTTGGCAGCAGGCGGGAGCCAAGCAAGGCAAGGGGAAGTGGGAGGGAGCGGGAAACCCAGCGGAGGAGGTAAAATGAGGCTGGAAAAGCAATAAACAAGGTGCTAAGGGAATCAGGCTGCCCACAGCATCTTCCGTACGCCTCAGGGATAGAGCATGGCTGCTCCGACCCCACCATAATCCAGCGCATTCCTCTCGGCTAAATTACGGCATTTAATGCGCCGAACATCCGGTGGCTTTCAGTCCAGCAGCAGAATTTCTTGTTTTTTTTCAAAACTGTTTATTTGGCCAAACCAGCTCATTCTGCTGCGGCGGAAAGGGCTGTTATCCTGCTCATTCTCTGCTGCAGAGGTTTTCGTGCTGTTTTCGGTGCCCTCTGCCCTGCTGTCAGGTTGGGTCGGCCGCCCTCGCTTCCCGCGGCTGCCGGCTCCCGTGGCGGCTGTGCCCTGGCCAGGGCATAAATGTTTCCTACGGGACCGTCCCACGGAGGGGACCAGGCAGCCAGTGCCTCAGTTTCCCCACAGTAGAATGGGGAAAACAGCCCTTCCCTGCTGTTCAGGGCTGCCACGGCACCAGGCAGTATCCCGCAGCCTCGGCATCCCCATCTCCCTGGGGCCGGTCATCCGAGCATTTCCCCGAAAGCAGAGTCTGGCTCCCGCCAAACCAAATTCCTGCCCGGCCTTTTGGCATGGAGTGAGGCCATGGAGGGTAAAAACACAATGAGACAAACTCCATCCCGGTTAATGTTTCCATTACAGGATGGAAAATGTGGTGGGAGGCAGCAGGGCGGGAGGGAGAGCGGACTGGGGGGCCACAGCGTGCTGGGGGAGGCTTTGGGCAGAGCAGCTGGGAGATGGGGGTCTCTGGAGGGGCGGCTGGAGCCTGGCCGGGCTCGGAGAGACGGGTGGCAATGGCCAAGGGCTGTGGCAGCACCCTGTGAGCCCGGAGAAGGGACTCCTGTGAGCACCGTGACGCCCACCCGGCATCCAGCCAGACCCACTCCAAAATCCCCCGCCCCCCAATCCACCCGTCCCCCCGCACGGGTGGGTTTGGGGCTGCCACGGAGAGCAGCACCCCAAAACCAGCTCCCCTTGGTGGAAATGTGCCCAGGGCTCCTCATCCCCCATGGGATCAGCCCCATCGTGGACCCAGGCGGCTGGGCACGGGGGGGGACACACACGACACGTCCCAGCCCAGGGGACCCGCCGGGGACCAGTGGAGCCTTCGCTCCCGCTGCCGATGGGGGTCCACACTGGGAGCGGTGGCACTGGCAGGGTGTCCCCCCGGTCGGTTCCTGTCCCCATCCCCGTCGCACAAAGGGAGCCGCCGTTTCCCGCCATTTCCCCTCCCCTGCCCCAGCCCTTCTCCCCCCCTCTCCTGCCCCTTTCACCCTCCTCCTTCCCGGCTGCTGGATAAAAGCCTGCACATGTGAATCACGGGGCACAAAGGGGAGGCACAAAGGCAGCCGGCCCCCCTCAGCCCTCCCTGCGGCCCCCGGCCCCGGGGATCTCCGGGCAGCCTGCCTGCCCCGGATCGGCCGTGGGGCAGGGGGGATGCCCCTGGGACAAGGGAGTCCCCCGTAGTGTGAGGATGATGCTCCCGGGTTTAGGGGATGCTCTATAGGGTCAGGATGATGTCCTTGGGTTTAGGGAGCACCCCGCAGGAGCAAGATGATGCCCCTTGGACCAGGGGGTCCCCACTCAGGTCAGGATATTACCCCTGGCGGCAGGGGATGCTCTGTAGGGTCAGGATATTACCCCCCAGCACCAGGGGATATCCCGTAAGGTCAGGGTGAGGCTCTTGGGGTTCGGGGATGCCCCATAGGGTCAGGATGATGCCCCGGGGCCAGGAGCAGGTGGGATGGGGCAGTTTGGGCAGCACGGGGCAGCAGTGAAGGAACAGGGGGGGCGCAGCCCAAGCCCCGGGCAGGACGGAGTGAGCTCTACCCCACCGCTCTCAGCGAGAGGCGAAGCGAGAGCCTGGTGACCCTGAGGACACCGACAGCCCCCCCACCCCCCCCAAACTTGCACACCCCTTGGGGAGCTGTGCCCCAAAGCCTGGCACGAGGGTCTGCTTCGAGCCCCCCCGCTTTGACCAGGCTAAAGCCAAGCCAGCACCATCCCTGTGCTGGGGAGGGCTGCTCGAGGCTGGAGCAGGACCCTGGGGTGCAGCGGGGGCCCCTGCAGCCCCTCACCCCGGTTCTCCCCTATTCTGGGCGGCTGGGGCTGCCGACAGCTGGTGGGAAGGAGCTTTCCCAGCGCATAGCGAGAAATTCCTGGCGGTCAGGGCTGCTTTGCAGCCGCCACAGCCCCGGCGGGGGGAAGCTGCTCTGGAAAGAGGTGGATTAAAAGCTTGTTGGCTTCGGTGGCGCATCCCAACTGGTCCCCTTGCCCGGCCACCTGCTCGGCTCGGCGCCCCGAGATGCTGCCGGACACCCCGGGGCTGGGGCAGAAAGGGATGCTGCCACCCCCCGCCAATTCTTGGGGGCCCAGCAAGGAAGGCTCAGCCCTGCCTGGGAATTGCTTCATTAATTAATTTGCTCTGCAGCATCACGGCAGGCCTTGGGCTGCCCCAGGGACCAGCTCGTCCCCACAGACCATCCTCCTCCTCTGCAGCAGCAGCCCCCCCAGCCCCCCTCTTCCCTCAGCTCCTATTTCTCCCGATTTTCTGCTCCCTCACAGCCTTAACTGGCTCCACCTGCCAGCGAGCACCAGAAAATCAGAGCAATCCCCGTGACCCCGGGGAGTGGAAACAGCCCTGGGCAGGATTTCTGGGCTACCCGCAGGGTGTAGGGACAGCTTTTCCTCCTCGCTGGAGCCCCGTCGCTGCTCTGGGGCGTGCGGTTTACTGGGGTCTGGTTGTCACTAAGCGCCCCGAGCTGCACACCTTGGTTTGAGGGTAGAGCACACGTGTGTGTACGTGTGTGGGTGCGTGTGCATCCTCATTCCAAGGGCAGAATATTTGGTTCCCACAAGTAAGCGTGAGGTGAAGGCGAGCTCCTCCCTTGGCTGCTGCCAAGGGGGTCTGCAGGTGCCTGGGGGGGGCCACTGGTTGGAATCCCGCTCCCCAATCCCGCTCCCTTGCACCCCAAAACCCTTCCCAGGCTGCAGCTGCCCACAGGGTTTTCTCCTCCACCCACAATCACGCGTGGGCCGTCAGCGCTCCCCTGGGACATCAAGGCACGTGAGGAGGCTGGTTGCCCTGTGGCAAGGGCACGGGGTGCCGCTGGCCATTGCACGGCCCCCCAGGGCCACCCCCGAGCTTTGGGGGGGGACACCCCAGAGCTGGAGGAGGAGCCCCACGGGTGACCCACAGGCCAAGGGGGGAGCGGCGGGGGGGGGAGGCGATGGCCCTGAAATCCCGAGCCGGATGATGAGGTGGCAGCAAGCGCCCGTGCGGGCAGGGAAGCTGCCTGCCCTTTGTGCTGTCCTAATTGAGCCGTTATTGTTCCCGGGTTTGGTTTGTGTTTTGTTTTTTTTTTGGTTTTTTTTTTTTTTTTATCAATTGCGGGTGGGCAGGGGCTGCGGGGGCCTGGCTGCCCCCGCCTTCCCCTAGCATCCCCCCGCCCCCCCCCTCCCCCGTTCCCACAGACTGGAATTTTCCCACAGTCTCGGCCCCCTCGCAGCAGGAAACCCACCCCCCCGCGCGTCGGCGGCACGCACAGCCGCCAACAGCGGCGCACGGCCGCGCACAAACGTGAACGAGCGGGCACAGCCCCGCACAACTGCACGCAGCGCAGCGGTACACAGCCACGCACAGGCGGGCACAACTGTTCACAACTGCCCACAGCCGTGCCCAACTTCCCACGACCCTGCACAGCTGTGCGTTGCTGTGCACAAGCGTGTGCAACTGCACACGCGTGTGCACAACCACACCCAGCCGTGCACAGTCGTGTATGACTGCACAGGACCATGCACAGCCGTGGACAGCTGCGCACAACTGCACACAGCCATTCAGAGCTTCCCACAACCCTGCTCACCTGTGCGCAGCCACGCACAACCGTGCACAGGCAGATACGGCCCGGTGCAACCCTGCACAGCTGCATACAGCCCTGCACAACTGCACGGGACCATGCGCAGCCACGTGCAACCGTGCAGAACTGCCCACGACCATGCACAGCCACGCACAACTGCCCACGACCATGCACAACCGCGCACAACTGCCCACGACCATGCACAGCCGCGCACAACCGCGCACGGCTGCGTACAACCGCACACAGCCCTGCACAACTGCACAGGACCCTGCACAGCCACACACAACCGTGCACAACCGCACACGGCCACGCACAGCCGTACACAGCCACGCACGACCGTGCACCCCCACGCACGGCCGTGCACAGCCACGCGCAACACCGCACGGCCACGCACGGTCGTGCACGCCTGTGCCCCCCCCCCCCCCCGCAGCAGGCGCTGCCGCTCCCTCCAGCCCCGCACAGAGACCCACTGGAGATGGGGGGGAGCAGCCCCGGTCCCCCCCGGTGCGGGCAGCCCCCGTTCCCCGAGTCCCCCCCCCCCCCGGTGCGGGCACCCCCCGTTCCCCGAGCCCCGCAGCCCCCGTTCCCCTAGCCCCCCCCCCTCGGTGCGGGCACCCCCCGTTCCCCGAGCCCCCCCCCCCCCCGGTGCGGGCACCCCCCGTTCCCCGAGCCCCCCCCCCCTCGGTGCGGGCACCCCCCGTTCCCCGAGCCCCCCCCCCCCCGGTGCGGGCACCCCCCGTTCCCAGAGCCCCCCCGGTGCAGGCAGCCCCCGTTCCCCGAGCCCCCCCCCCCGGTGCGGGCACCCCCCGTTCCCCGAGCCCCGCAGCCCCCGTTCCCCTAGCCCCCCCCCCCCCGGTGCGGGCACCCCCCGTTCCCCGAGTCCCCCCCCCCGGTGCGGACACCCCCCGTTCCCCGAGCCCCCCCCCCCGGTACGGACAGCCCCCGGGGCCGGCCCGGCGGGGCGGGGAGCGGCGGCGGAAGGCGGGCGGCGGGGCCACCCCTTCCGTCAGCCATGGAGCCGGAGGAGCCGGAGGAGCCGGAGGAACCGGGGTGGGGGCGAACCGGGGGGGCTCTGGGCGGGCGGGGGCTGCTGGAGCTGGCGGTGGCCAGCGGAGCGGCCGCCTGGGCTACCTGGGCCGTCCTGCTGATGCCCGGTTTCCGACGGGTCCCCCTGCGGCTCCAGGTACAGCCGCTCCCCCCCAGCCCCCCCCCCCCCCCCCCAGCCCCCCCCGGCCCTGACCGCCCCCCCCGCCTCTCCCCAGGTGCCCTACCAGCCCGCCGGCCCCCGGCAAGTGGCGAACGCCCTGGCGCTGCTGCGGGGCCGCTCGGGGAAAACGGTGGATCTGGGATCGGGAGACGGACGGCTTGTAAGGGCGGGCAGGGGGCTCTGGGGGGGGGGTGGGGGGGGGTACGGGCCCTGGGGCAGCCCCGGGATGGGCAATGGGCGGGGAGGGGGGCTGCGCTCACCAGGGGGGCGGATGGGAGCCCCACACCCGGCTGCTGCCCAGCGCCTGGTTGTGGTTCTGGACGGCCCTCTTAGCTACGGTCTTGGACCACCCTATACGGCCCTAGGTGGCCCTAGATGGTCCTAAATGGCCCTAGGTAGTCCTAGGTGGCTCTAGACAGTCCTGGACCACCCTAGATGGTTCTAGACAGTCCTAGGAGGTGGCCCTATATGGTCTTAGGTGGCCCTAGACAGTCCTGGACCATCCTAGGTGGCCCTAGATGGTCCTAGGTGGCCCTAGACAGTCCTGGACCACCCTAGATGGTCCTAGGTGGCCCTAGACAGTCCTGGACTGCCCTAGATGGTCCTAGAGAGTCCTAGGTGGCCCTAGATGGTCCTAGGTGGTCCTAAACGGCCCTAGGTAGTCCTAGGTGGCCCTAGAAAGTCCTGGACCACCCTAGATGGTCCCAGACAGTCCTAGGTGGCCCTAGATCGGCCCTAGAAGACATCCCGTGCAGTGAGCAGGGTGGGAACGGCCGATCTAGGAGGAAAGAGCCTTTGCACCTGGAAGGTGCCGAGGACGGAGGTCACCCTGGCCACCAGGCAGGAGGAGGGAGCGGGTGGAACCAGGCAGCAGCCCCTGCTCCCCACATTTTCCCCCAAACTCGCCACCGAGGTTCATTTGAGTTGCAACTCTCTCTCTCTTCAGGTGGTAGAGGCTTATAAGCAAGGTCTCAGACCAGCCGTTGGCTATGAGCTCAACCCCTGGCTGCTGTGTCTCTCCAGCTACCGGGCCTGGAAGGCTGGGTACCACGGGAAGGTTTCCTTCCTGAAGAAAGATCTGTGGAAGGTAACAGTGTCCCGAGGGTCTGGCTGTGCTCAGTGCTGGCCGTAGCTAGGGCAGGGCCAGGGCTTGGTCTGCATCTCCAGAACGGGCTTTGCTGATGGTTGCTCGCTCCTTCTCCAACCCACGCTGCTCCCAGGAGGCGGCAAATCCATCCTGCTTCCCAGGGCAGCGCCAGCCTGGGCAGCCCGTGGCAGGCTGCTGGTTTTGCAGGCAGCAGCGCTCCTTCTCGCAGCAGCTTTGAGAAGAGCTCTGAGGTGCTGCTGGCGCACGGTGGCCTTCAGACACGTGCTGCTAAAGTTGGAATTGGGTACCCGCAGCCCGAGCGGAGAAAACCCAGCAGGTAACGTGGTTCTGGGACGATGCTGGAGGCAGGTGTTTTGCAAAAGGCGCTGCTTTCCTGCCCAGCTCCCTGTCACACCAACACATCCCCGTCCCACACATGGGGCATTTTTGCTTCCTCTGAGGCTCAGAAGATGACCCACAAGGCATTCAGCCACTCAGATGGTTCCCCCCCTGCTCCCCCTCTGCCTGTTGCTTCTTCCCCTTTTCCTTCTCTTTTAAGGTGAATCTGTCTGATTGCTACAATGTCATCGTGTTCCTGGCCCCCAGTGTGGTAAGTCAGTCCCTTGCACCCCGACTTGTTCTGAGGAAGCTTGAGGGAGGGTTTTCTTAGGAAAGAGAGAGAATCTGGGACAGTGGCAAAGACTCTTTTAACAAGGAAGACCAAGTGGGCATTGCTGGGAGCAAGTGGTTTGGTGGTCAGCACTACCTGAGTTCATAAACTCATAGAATTGTTTAGGTTGAAAAAGACCCTTAAGACCGAATTCAGCCGTAAACCTAACACTGCCAGGAAATTTTTCCCAATATCCAATCCAAACCTCCCTTGGTGCAGCTTGAGGCTGTTTCCTCTCGTCTCATCGCTTGTTACTTGGTCCTAGTCCCAACCACCCACAGGGCTAGCACCAGCCCTCTGTGTCGGAAGAGTCTTTGGTTGATGCTGCCTGCGTGGGACCCACCAGCCATGCCGAGAAGCTGCGCTGTGGTCCCCGGTGGCACTGCCACTACGTGATTTTTTTCCTAAGGCCGCCTGGCCCTGGCTGTCTCTTTCTCCCCAGAAACCTCCCCTGGCCACCAAGCTCCTTGCCGAACTCCCCGATGAAGCCCGGGTGGTGGCTGGACGCTTTCCCTTCCCCTCCTGGACCCCCACCAGCACCCTTGGGCAGGGGCTGGAGCAAGTCTGGGCCTATGACATGAAGGAGGTGCGGCGAGCGGCACAGAGCAGCGCAGAAAGCCCGGTCTAACTGCAGCCTCGTTAAGCCTGGCGTTGAGGGTCAGCAGCAGCAGGGATCAGAGCCTCTCCAGCCCTTGGGCTCAGCTCAGGACAGCAGCGAGAGGGCTGCTTGGCCAGACTTTTTCCTGGGCACTTGCAGGGTGGCGGTCCCTCTGTTTTCCAAAGAGTGGGCGTTTGAGGGGAAAGCAAAGGAGGAGAAAATCAGACCTAGAAATCCTGGAATTACTGCAGGATTTAAGGGCTAAATCTCCAGTGCCTCTTTCTGTACGTTTGCTAGTTTATTTCTAGTTAATTTTTCAAAATAAACATTTGGTTGGTTCTTCCCTTGAGACTTTTGCTTTGCCTTTGAGCAGCAGGGTGCTCCTGAAGCCAGAGCAGCCGCTGCTCCCGGCCACAGGCTTTGCTCCGCGTCCCTCTGAAGGCAGCTCCGGGGGGAGTTAGTCCAGCTCACCTCCCGCTGAAGGATCAGTTTGGTCCCTCTCACCTTATATAACATCCCTTTTACCACAGCAAAAAAAGGTTCACAGCTTAGACCAAAGCCTAGCTTGAACCAGCCCTGGTCTTACCTCTTAGAAGCTGAGAAGGGAGCAAAGGCAGGAGCAGAGTTAGCCCTCGGACTCTGGTCTAGGTCTGACCCAGGAGAAATGTTACGGCAGGAACGGGAAGCTGTCCCTGCAGCCCCACAGCAAAAAGCTGCCTGGGAACCTGACCCCGTGTCCCGAGGCACGATGTGCTTGGGGAACAGCAGCATTCCTACAGCTGAGGGGTCAGACGATAGACGAGACGCAGTTGTCTTGTCTCACTTTAGTACTGTGAATTTGAGACCAGGAACACCCACGTGGTTTCCCTCGCTGTGCCTCCCAGCTCTCAGCCGGGGAACAATACTTGCCCCAGCCAGTCCACGCGACAGTCGCTCTTTCATACGACTGTGCTGCTCCTCAGAGCTGTGGTGGAGAGCTACGGTTCGTGGCTGACCATCCTTCCAGCTCTGGGCAGTGAGTGAGTATCGGCCGCCCCAGCACTGAGCGCGCGTGGCACCTCGCTACCGGCGAGCTTCCTCAGCCGGAGGATCTCCTGCTTGTACCTGCAACGGGGGGAGCAGCGCCATCACTGCACGTGCAGTCACAGGCCTGAGCAATCCACTGAAACCTACGCTGTGCCTTGTGTTTGCCGTGCGCTGAGGACGCGCAGTCCCGGTTAACGCAGAGCATCCAGCCCAGGCACCGAGCCAGGCCGGGAACTGAGCCCTGGCAGATACAAAACCACAACCTTTTCCTGGGGTAGAGCTGTTTGTCGTCTCTGACAGGTAATGGTACCAGCAACAAGCCTGCGAGCCTGACCTGCGTTCACAGTCGAGCAGGCTGGGGAGTTACAGCTGCACCAGTGCTCGACAGACGTGCCCTGCTTGTTCTCACCCTTCCGTGCCTGAGCAGCTCTCCTCTCTGCTTCGGGGTGTGAGGAACCAGGGGGTTCCTGTAGAGCAGGGGCTGCTGGAAGGCTTTAGGTTTTAGGCAACCCCTCTCTTGGCTTCCTCCAAAGGATGGGTGAGCGCAGAGGGAAGGAGCCGGCCCCCCCCCAGCCCTGAGGAGCGAGGGATGGTGGCAGCTGCCCGCCCAGCTGGACGTGCTGCGGGACATCAGCCACGGCGGCAGCGCCGTGGGAAGGCAGCGGCAAGGTCGGGTGCTGACAGCGTGGCAGGCACGGCGATGGCGCCGGCGATTGGCCTGGGAGATAAACTTGGAGCACAGAGCAGAGGACACGTGAAGGGGGATCCTACCGTCTCACCTTGCAAGATGCTTATCTATGTATTCCTGCAGCTCCGACACCTGCTCTTCTGCCACGATCGCCCGAGTCAGCAGCTGGCTTCTCTCCTGCTCCAAATCTTCCTGGAGGGGCAAAAAACCACGGAGAAAACGGGGAGCTCTGTGAGATGGGATTGAAGTTGCCCGGTCCATCGCTTCCCCATTGCTCAGCTCCGGCACCGCTTGGCGTTAGGCTACAGAAGCAACTGAAAACTGATGCAGTCAGGGAAAGGAGCCTGGTGATGGTAGCACAGCTTTGTGCAGGCACCGCCGCAGCAGGGCATCGGCCGGGCAGATCAGGCAGCTTTCCCCAACCAGAGCACAGGCACGGGGGCCAGGGCCACCCCGGGACAGGCAGGAACCCCGGCTTGACAAACCACGATTTACACCCCCAAGAGCTTCACAGACAACTGGCTAGCTTTGGCCCTCAGACACAGCTTTCACACCTTTCCACTGGTAGCTTGTTGCAAAAGGAAGTGACCTTTCCTTTTAGATAAAAAAACCCCACATTTGTTTTTTGCACAGTGTCTCTGGGCAGTAGCCCAGGGAGGATCTGAGGCGCTTGACTGGGCTCATCCCAGAGGTGCCCAGCAGAGCCAGGAGCGGGGCTCGCTCCCCGTGCAGCTCTCCAGCCTCTCAGCTGCAGCCTCTCCCTTCTTTCAGCCACAAATATACACACAGTTTAGGTATTTAGCTTCAAGTGACCAGAGAATGGTGAAGAACATCCTTTGGTCGCTTTGGGCAGAGGAAGGCACGACGTGGAAGTGGGCTGGTAGCCTTGTCTACCACAGAAAACCAAAACCTCTGCTTGGTTCCCAAAGCCTTTTTCCCCGCGTATGGCAGGAATCTCAGCACCAACCCTTCTTCCCACTGCTGCCATCGCTGCCGGACGGTAAAGCCCACCTCAGCAAAGCCCACTCCCACTGAGCATCACCACAGTCTCATGGGTGCTGTAGGGAAGCTTTGCAGACGGAGAGAGCCCTCCTCCCCTCTCTGGGCCACCCCGTTCCCGAGTGCAGCACAAATAGCCTTGCACCCGGGGGGAAACAGACCGGGAAGCTGATTCTGATTCGGACTAGACTTGAACCAGGCTGAATGCAAACCCAGTTTGTTATACAGGTGCCTAAATGCTTGTGTTGAAATGTGAGATGGAGCGACACAGTCCAGCAATGAGCAGCCCTTTTAGTAGCAGGGACTGTGTGGCCTCGATACCTCACTGGCCAGGGACCTGCTGGTGTCACTTGGTGGGCTGAGGCCGAAGCCACAGCAAGGCTCTGTGGAAAGGTTCTCTGCTCCAGCCTGGAATGGGGTATTGGCCCCAGGACAGTGGATCTATGACATATGGGTAAACGTTAAGTTTTTATTCAGAGGGGCTGCTCCAGACCTTTACCTGGGTGTTATGTGCAAACTCTCGGAGCTGCTTCCTGACCTCTGCCCAGCCCTCCTCATCCAGCTGCCTAGGAGAGAAAAGCAGATTTTGATCATGCCCACACATTCAGATCCAGCCCATCTGCAGGTCACAGAGCTATGTCCAGGGGCCGGACACAACTCGTGCCCAGCCAACCATGAACCCCAGCGCTCTGAAGCTTTTCTCTCCCAATGCCCCAAACTTCCTCAGCGCATGCGGCGCCGTCCCCGTGCCCGGGCACGAGAGGCACAGCCCTTCTGCCAACCTGAGATTCCCCACTGTGACGGCTGGGTTTGTTCCAAGTTCACATCAACGCTCATACATCAGAGGACTCCGTGCAGAAAGAGTCCTTAACCTGACACTGCGGGACTGAATTTGATGGAAATAGAGAGCAATCAATGCCAAATGCCGGCGCTTTTCTTGTTTTGGAGCACAAACCCACCCGTTCTGGTCACCGAGCGCGATAGGTGAGCTGTCTGTGCAGCCCAGCCGTGGGAAAGTTCTTCCTACTCTGTCCCAGTCTGAATAAGCAAAATACAGGTCACATCTGATGCTTGGGGAATTTGGGTTGTGTGAAGGGAGGAATGCATTGTGCTCAAGAGCGGCTCCGCTGTGACCGCCAGAGTTCCCTCTGGTGGCTGCAGACTCCCAGCCCAGGCACCCGGGAAGTCATGGCTCAGATTTCATGGGAGCAGAACCCAAGGGAACAATAAACAGCGAAGCCACCCAGCTGATAAAGATGAGAAGCAGCAGGAATTATAGCCGAAGCGCTGCGGTAACACCGGGCCTCGTGTCTCTAGCTGGAGGAACAGCATGGATAAACCCATGAGCACACAGAAAACAAGTATTCAAAGCGTGTAGGGTCTCTTGGCAGCTGAAAAAACCCCACCTTAACGACAAGATGCATCACTAAAATTCACGTTCTAGTCTTTCTGTGTCTTCCTCCTGTGGTGAGTCTGCTACAATCCTATTTAAGGACTACTACTATTTTTCAGTGTGGAAAATATGGCAGAGCCTGGTTAAGGCTGAAGCTTTTCTCTGAGACACACTTCCAGAGCCCTGTGGCTCAGGCACTGACCGACTCCTCAGTCTGGCATCCAGTTAATGAAATATCCGATGTGTTTTTCTAGGCAGTACCTTTTAAAAGGCTGAAAAATCCCAGCTCAGATTTCTCCTACACTTTGTTCCACCTCTCCACAGACATAGTTGATAGAATTTCAACAGAATAACAGAGCGGGGGGGAAGAGACCCACCAAAAATGAGCAAATGAAAGGCGTGTCAGGAAGCCAGGGAGGTATCAGTACAGGGTCACCTAAGGATTCCAGCCCAGCTTCTGCACTGGGAGGGAGAAGAAACAAAACCATCCCAAACTGGTGGTGTTTCACTTGCCTTTCTCAGGTTGTGATCCACCAAAGCACTCAGGTGTATGGTTAACTTCGGCTTCTAAAGAGATCAGTGGGACTGCAAACGTGATTAAATCAAACATGTGCTTAAGACCTTTCTTGGATCGAGGCCCAAATGACCAACTCATTTCACCACAGGAAACGCTGCACTGAGATGACAGCTGGCTTTTCTTCTCAGATGAGTCCCTATCAGCTCGCTTTCTCCCTATTTATTACCGTCTCCAAGTAAAGCAGAAAAGACTTCTAAATCCACACAGCAAGAAGAATTCAGATTTAGAAATATCCCAAGAAACAAACAGCACTTACTGCTCGGGAGACAGCGGAAAGGCAGAGGTTTCTTTCAGTCTTTTCTGGAGGCAAAGGAAGAACAGTATTCCCGTAATTAAAAAATTAAACCATCGCAATCTCACCACAGACCCTGCCACTTTGAAGCGGCACAACATATCCTAGCGCTCTAACAGCCACTAGTGCCCTGGCAAGGAAGTGATGTGCAGTACAATCTTAAGGTTTAGGTCTCCCATCCTCTGAATTTTTAAATACGTGCATCTCACGCAGATCAAGAGACACGTCTCTGCCCAGGGGGGAGGACGCGGAGCTGACTGCCGTGTTTCTGACTGTAGTCTCCTGCTCAGTTAGTTCACGCTGAGGCAAAGGCATTCCAGAACAGAAAGCCCCATCCCCTCCTCCCTTACTCACCTCTTCCTTTAGCTGTGAGTGAGTGTGCTGGCCTGGCAGCTCTCCCACAACATCTGCTACTCCTCAGCCCCCCCCCCGAGCTCAGTGACCCCAATCTATGGGGCTGCCCAGCCTCCTGGATCTAACTGTAACTCACCCCTACGCAGGAGGGTTGAAGCAACGAGGGGACTGCTTGGACATCCTATTTCTTGCCAAAATGGGAAAGCGAGCAAGCACTACCCTTGCCTGTGCCATGGGCCCAACAAACCCTCGCGGAATGCCTAAGGAAGGGGCTGAGTCTGTCGCTTGTGAGACTCTCCCCACCAGTTTCGCCGCCACAGAAACCCAGTAGCCCAGCCACCACCTTCTGCAATTCGTGTAGTTGCATCTCCAGTTTTGCTTTATCCTCCCGCAGCCGGTTTAGCTCCCGGGTCGTGTTTGTCAGCAGCTCTGGGTCTGTGATGGAAAAGTGGAGCTCGGCAGGGCCACAATCCATGGCGCTGCTGCCCAAGGACCGGATCTGCTCTCGCTGGAGCCTGTAACATGCCAAGAGGGGTTACCCCCTGGTAGCTTTGGTTAGATAACAACATTGAGCATTTTTGCTGCTAATAGAAGTACCACTTGCTTGGGACCTGCTGGCTTCTGGCCCCTGAGAGCCAGTCCACCTGCAAAGGATAAGTGGGAGCAGTATGCACAATATTCCTGGGAGTGTTTCTGAGGGGAGCTTGTCCTAGAGCTATTTGTGGCTTTTATGTCACAAGAATTTCTGCTGCTTCCCACAGCCCAAGCTGCTGAGCGAGCTGTGGAGCAGAGCTGAGAGCACTGCAGGGACAGGCTGGGAAGCAGGAGTTATTTGTGGTACCTCTGCATTTCCACACCATCCAATGTGGAATCAATCGCTCATCCTAAATTTTACACAGGAGAAATGGATGCGGCAGCTCCAGGGTGTCCAGAGCACCCGGACGTGTGGCTGGAGACACCTTGCTCCTGGCTTGTCAAGAGCAGGGAGATAAACGTGCACTCCAGATCCTCTGCTCCACCTGGGAGCCCTGTTTGCCTCCCTCTCAGCCAGGGGTCTGGGTGCTACGGGGCACTTCCACTTGGTCCTTAGCAACCAGCTGAAGAGACAGAGGTAGCCCAAACCCTGGCTTAGCCCTACCCATAAGCAATCAGCAGGTTCTCATGCCTCTTGACCAAGTTCTTCATGCGTTTCTTGTAGCCACGTGCTGCCCTAGCTAGCTGCTCTTCCCGAGACTTGTAGGAAGCCCTGATGTCCTTCAGCATGCTGTCCACAAAGCGTTTCATGGGAGCACGATCGGCTGGGGCTTTGCCAGGCCCCGCTGCGTTGCTGGATTTGCCGTCCATGTAGTCCTTTAAACACAGAGAGAGAGAAATCAAGGTGATCAAGTTGTTCCCTAAGGCATGGAACCGATTTCCCAGAGAATATTTATGCTAACAGCACAGAGAATAGGGCATATCTTCCATTTTTGAAGAGCAGGAAAGACTAATTAACTACCAGCATGGCCCTTCAAGACAGAGAAGGCATCTGTACTATATCAGTGACCTGCCTAGGGAAACAAGTTGGTGTTGGGAGTTACCGTTTCTAGTACCTTATTCTTTCCACTGTGCCCCATCCTCTCTGCTAGCTAGGAGATGCTCCAACATTGCTCTGTTCAAAATTAAACTATTCTTAACAGTAAAAATTCCTTTGCTTAGTTTCCTGATCCATCACCACGCTGTGTTCTGAGGTACCAGACTTCTCCCAGCACAGAAGCTCTTGCCAAAACCTGCATAGTGCTACCTAGGTGGATAGAAAGAGATTTCTTCCCAGTCTCACTGCTCAATATAATCAGATATGATTATATTGAGTGTATTGGTATATAATCATGCCTGAACCTGCCTGAAACGCTTGCCTTGTGCCGAGTCCTCCCCATGCTCTGTGAGCCCTACTCTACTTCAGAGGTGCTTGTTCCCAGAGCAGGTCCCAGGCTGTTGTAGCCGACCAGGGAGGCTGGCAGAGCTCCATGTGGGGACAGCAGCAGAGTCACCACGGAGGCAGCGACAAAACCAGAAGTGGCATCGCCTGGCCTGCCGAGGGAAGTTGTCAGGGCAGTGGCGATTAGAAGCCAACTGGAAGGCAGCCTTACTAAATAAGAGGATCTTTCAATTCAAGTAATCTGACTTCCCTCTCCCAGCAGAAACTCCCAGACCATTTTGTGTGGCTATATAGGAAATCTGGGCAAGGAGAGGGGCTGGCATCTCCTCCCCCAGGCCAAGCTGAGGGCACAGAGCCCCGCTTCCAGCTGCAAGCATGGCTCCCCAAGCACCACCGCCTGCTCTGCTCCACAGCCCAGCAAGGAGGGGAAACAGCAGCAGCCTGCAAGAAGTCGGCAGCCAACATGGAGAGACCTCCCCCGGCCAGGAGAGCCCTGAGGGCTGGGGGTACCCACCGCCAGGTCCTTGATGTACTGCGTGAGCCGGGAGCGATATTCCTCGTTCAGCTCCTTCAGACGGAGCTGCAGCTGGGAGTTCTCCGCCTCCACCTCTTGGAGCTGGCTCTGGGAGGTGAGCAGCACCTAGGCACAGCAAACACGCTCGCTGCTGCCCTCGTCCTCCAGCCAAGCAAGGGGCACTAAGAAGCTCCATAAGAGTTGGGGGACTTAATTTCCAGATGTTCAGCTTCACTAAAGCTGGGAAGGTCCTGGGTTTTCACAGGAGCCCACTGGAAATGTTTATAGTCTCTATTCTCCTGCTACCTTCTGTCATTTGCAATCCCTCCCCTCGCTTCAGTGACTTCACCAACTCTTTCTAAATATCAGTGAACAAAATTCCTCCCACTACCTGTGGCAAGCAGCACCTTCCACCACGTGCATCGCACCCCCGGGAGAAGGAAGCTGCTCAGGGAGGAGCACCTGGGTATGACAAACTCCCTGGAGAGGGAGACGTGTCGGAATACCTCGATACAAGACATCCACCCCCTGCTAGCTCCAGGTGAAGCGCGTGGCACCCAGGAGGAGTGGATGAGCAGGGACAGTGCCAGAGCCTGGGTGCTGGGGGCTGGAAGGAAGCCTGCCCTTACTGCTGACTGCTCCGCCAGCTTGTGCTGGGTGTCCCCAGTCGCTCCCTTCGCCTCCTGCAGCTCCTTCCCCATCGCGATCCTGGGCACACAGGAAGAAGATGTGTTTATTTTAACCCCCAAAACTTCTCTGTAGGTCCAATACAGCCCAGCTTTGAGAAGGAACTCACTACAGGATGACAGAAACCTCTCAGCAGCAGCTGCCAGCCTCCGGATATCTGCCAACCAGCAGCCACAGAGCTCTCGCAACCGAAGGTGAATGTCCTCCCCAGTCAGAGGGTCTAGTTCTGCAGTGTCCCTGCTGTGGCAACCTTTGCTGGGACACTGACCCCATCCCAATCTGTCTACAGAAGAACTGCTGTGGGGGCAAGGGTGAGAGCTGGATTCATCTCTGGGCTGTCACACATTTGCTGTGTGTGTCACCAAAGGTGGATTTTGAAAGGTGCATGGGCCAGTTGGGTACCTAAACACCATCAACTTTTAAGCACACAGCTAACCCTCTTAAGAGCCTTGAAAACATCAGGTTTTGCTTCCAGGCCTCACTTTTTCCAAGGGTGAATCATCAGTTCCCACCCTGTACCCCTCCAAAGGCAGGCTGCCTCCTCGTCTGGTCCCAAGGATCGAATTCAGCTGCAGTGAGCTCCATAAATGCCCAGCCAAACAGAAGGACATGCCCTCAAGCACTCACACTCTCTCTTCCAGCTTCTGCTGCTGCGAATCATAGGTTTTCTTCAGTTTTTCAAGCTCCACTTTTATGTGGTCCTGGTTTCCAAGCAACCGAGGGACAAACAAAGAGGAAGATGAGACAGAGGGTTGAGCTCAGAGAGGGATTTGTGAATGGGCAAGAAGTGAGGAAAGCCTCCAGCTGAGTATAAGTCCAGCTGAGCAGTGACACACTGGGGAAAGGACAGGTTCAACTGGGAGTGACCAGGGCTCTGTAGCACACCAGAACTGGAGTCTGGTCTGGAGACAGAGCACACGTGTTGCTCTCCCAAGGGAAATGCTCGTGCTGAGAGTCAGATTCCCAGCAGGAGCTGATGGTGGAGCCCAAGCTGTTTTCGCACGGGATGCAGATGGGAAGGAGGCAGGGAGCATCTCCGTGCTCTCAGTTTTGGGTGCTTTATCACCTCCATCTTTCTCAGGTATTGGCAAGAAAAAAGTAAGTAAGTGTCCTCTGCACTTGTTGGCTTTTAAACTCCTGCCTCTGTTCACCCAGGGGCACTGATTGAGGGAACCACAGCTGCCCTCTCTCAGCTTTTGCCTGCACAAGATCTAGTTATTCTAGTCTCAGTTTTCAACTGCATAGCTTAAAAAAAAAAAAATAAAAAACCAACAACTAAATTCAGGCATCAGCTCATCCACAAAATTCAAGTCAGCACCAGGAGGTGCCAGCCACAGTCGGAATAAATTCCCCCTCTGCTTCCCCAAGGATCCAGCAGCAGAACCCCACACACTCACGTTTCTCTCCAGCTGCTCATGTTCAGAGGCAACTACATCTTCTGGCTGGTTTTAGTAAGAGACAGCAGAAGGTGCCTGTTAGATCCCTGTTCTCCAAGGAGCTGGTGACAGGGCAGAGAGGTCCTTACCTTCACCTTCCGAGCAGAGAGACGACGCACCACTGCTCTCGCTCTTTCCAGCTCGGCAGAGGATTCATTGGCAGGGGAGCAGTTGCTCTCTGTGTGGGGAAGGGTGCTCCTGGTCTTGGCCAGGTTGAGCAGCTCTAGGCTGAGCTCTTCATTCTTCATGACCTGCCAGGTCAAACAAGAAGGAAAGAGCTTCTGAAATCCTGCCTCTCCAGCTTCATGTGCTGTCTGTTCAGCACATATCCGCTGCTCTTGGCGTGTACACAAGGCAGGCACTCACGTCCCCTCCTGAAAGCAAGTTTTATTTTTAGTTCTCTCTCATATGTCCAAAGATGTCAGTGATTCTCAAATTCTCATGGAAATACAGGGTGTCATCGCCAGGCATCTGGATTATCCACATGTAACCTCACTCCCTCTGCCCATCTCGCTCTCACATTCAGAGATCCCAGTGCCAGCCCAGCCCCGGGCACAGCTCTGCCACCAACTCTCCATCGTGACCTCCAGCCTCCCTCCTCACTCTAACCCTGTACCCTCCATGCAGCTTCCCAACACTTCAGGCATGTCTTTCCCCACACAATGCTGGACTCCATAGGGTAAGAGAAGGGCCAAATCTCCATCCATCTAGGCTGACGCCACCCAGCTAATTCCAGTTTTGTTTGAATGCATCCCTCCAGCAGCAGGCAGCCCACAGCACCGTGTAGGCAGCAAGATTCAAAGCGATGCTGGTGTGAAGTGACACATTTCCAAAAGATAAAGAGGATCTGAATGAGAAAGGCTCTGTTACAGGTGATCTGGAAGGAACACTGGGGGAATTCATGTCTCACGGGAGGGTTTCTATGTAGATAACAAAGCTTTGATGGGGTTTATGACTGGGGACAAGCTTGAGTAATTGTTACCATGGCAGTGAATTGGGAGGATGGGAGGCAGAGGTCATCTGAGTCATCCGTGGAGAGAATAGCTTATCAAAAGATAGCACAGGGTGGGCTGAGGGAGAGAGGAGAGGAGAAAAGAGGCTGACAAAGAGGTGAGATATACAGCTGTGAAAACTGACAGCTACGCAGAGACAGTCTGCTTGTTCTCCAACCCAAAACGATCCATCTGCAGCTGTCAGCCCTGACAATTTGATCAGAGGGGGTCACACAAACGCAGAAGTACCAGTTTAGCAAAAGAAAGAGGCAGTCCCCTGTTCGATGGGCTTCCCTGCCTCCCCTGGGCTCACCAGCCTGGCCAGGCTCCAGGGAAAACCCTGGCGTGGAACGGGTTCACAGCCATTTGGGTTCCCTCCGACAGCCTCACTTTGTACCGCCGCTGCAGACGGCGTAAGCCTGCCGAACAAAAGAGGAGGAGGAAACGGAGAGTCGAGGAAAGGTCAGAGTCTTGAAAAGGAAGAATTTACAGCGAGTTAGAAAACAGGCACAAAGTGTCTGACTGGCATCTTCTGGAAGGCACTTCCCCAGGGACAGGCAAGGCCAGCTCCTTCGCCTGGGACAGACACAGGGCGATGTGTGAATCGAGCCGTACAATGGGGGCCGCGACAATTCAGAGGCTCGAACTGTTCCCGTACAAGGGATGGTGAATGAGCTCGCCGAGCTGCTTCTGCGCCAAGCAGCCATGACAACATATTGGCAAGGTCACAAGTAGCACTTGTAATTGGGAATGTGTAAAAGGTTCATTGTCTCCCCAGAAGAGCGCTGGGGAAGGGGAGGGGGCAGAACCACAGACTGCTTTTCCCATTTCCTTTGGGAAAGTCCACACTGGGAAAATAATGAGCAAGAGGCCCATGCCACGACAAGTCCCAGCCTGCCAAGTTGGAGCCTCTTTCGCTTTAGGCAGGGATATTTGGTAGTCGGAGCCAAGAAACTGGGGTAAAAACCTCAGCCTACTGATTACAACCAAGGAGTTCACCTTTGGCTTTTGGACCCTGCTCCACCACTTCTTCAGGATGCTATTCAGGCACATAACTGAATCCATGTGCTTTCACTCTCTGAAACATTCCAGGATCTACGTGAAAACAGTGTGTTACTACTGATAACCTGCTAAACTCGTCGTTTAGAGATGTCAGCCACCTGAAAATCCCATTTTTGACAAACACATTGCACCCCCTTGGGGCCAAGAAGCAACCAAGATTGCTGAACGCCGCGCTTCCCTCCGCGAGCCTGTGTCTCAGCAGCGTGCTGCCTTGCTGGCAGTCAGCTGCATGCGCTCTGCCTCGCGCTCCGGCAGGACGACAGGGTAGGTTCACACCCCTGCAAGCAGCTGAGCTTGCTTCCTCGTAAGAAATTTCCATTTCTCAGCTTACAGGAGACAAACGAGAGCTTCACAAGAGTCACTAACTCCCTTATTTGCAACGGGATGATCATGACCTTGTATCCTCCTCTACTGGAGCTCTGCAGACCATTGCTCACCATAAAGACAGATTGGGCACTGCGAAAACCAGCATGCCTGGTCCCAGCCCCACATCTTCCCATTGCGGCTCTACACAGGGCCAGCATGGTAAACCAGGTCATTTGGCTGAACCAGCTAAACTATCTGCCAGGGGGAGGGAGGCAGGAGGGTGTCAGTCATTCGATCCAATTCAAAAAAGAAGAAGAAGCGAGAGTGGGGAGAGGGAGGGAAGAGAGGCAGATCTATTGAAGTAGCTATTCTTGCCAAAGAAATACAGAAATCTGGGTCCAAAAGACTTTAGTTAATAATTGCTAAGCTAACAGTTCACCAGGAAATTTGCTATATTTTAAGGAACAATCAGGCACTTGCTTACATTCAGTGTTTTTATAAACTTGACGACCTCAAGAACTTCCAGGTCCTTTCCCGCCACTGTACAAAAATGAGAGCCGCTACAATCAGTTCACGTGCAGCCTGCACAAGCCATGCAGAAAAAAGGGAAACAAAGCGTGCTGGCAGTTAAGAGGGACCTGCGACGTGCACTCAGACCAGCCCCGCAGTGACCTCCTCGTTTCTGCTAGTGACGGGGATCTGTGATGGCGTGAAAAGAGAAAGGCTCTGACAGCGGGGTGCCCAGAAGAGCAGGCGGGTCAGCGTGGGCTCAGCACCGGCCCTGCTGAGCAGAGCAGGTTCTGCAAGCCCTGCTAGAAGGTGACCGTGTTACATGAAATCCCTGGGCCCTGAAAACAAAACCATGCCCAAGCTACGCTGTCTCACAGCTGACAAACCTTACTGGACCCGAGCTGTGATGGGGACACGCAACCCAAAGCCGCCCCAGCTGTCTGTAGATCAGGTAACTGTGAGATGGAGCCGAGAACACCAGAACGAACACTGCAGCCTGTCTCACCTCCTGGTCCAGTTCTTTGCCTAGGGCCAGGTAGTTGCTTTTCAAAATGATGTATTCATCCGCCAGCTCCTTCCGACTGGTCTCCAGAGCACGCAGGTGTTCCTGTAAGGCATCTCGCTCCCCAGTGACTTTCTCACCGCTGAGCTCCAGCTCCAGCACGCGGTTCTCCAGGGCCAGGATCTGCAAAGGGGAGGCAGCAGAATCAGACTGTGGCAGAGGCCAGCAGCAATCACATGGCACATTTATTTGGCCAGACAGGTTCCGGCACGCTATGACTTAAAGAGAGAGGCGTTTCATGTGAGTTTCGTGGTGTCTGGGGCATGAGGGGGGAAGCCATTGCTATAGCTAAAGCCAGGAGAATATGCCAAGCAAAGTAAAGATGGATGTATAACCGACTGCAGTTCTGGATGAAGGTATTGGCAGAGCTGAAACCGGTTACTTCAAACTTTTGGATACCATGTTTCTCAGTTCAAAGTTCTCTGTCTCATACTGCTCCTTCATTTTGTTTGTCTCGATCTGGAGATCAACGAGGTCTTTGGAAATCTAGGAGAGAGCAAGGACATCATAAAGGCCATGGGCTGATTCTGAGGCCGAACATACTGTTTCAACAGGTCACACCAGGGAATTAGAGCAGAACACCCCTCCCTAGAAAGAGGCCTCAACATTTCCCACTAGATTTTCCACTGCAGATTTACTGGCCTCACACGGCTTCATGGCTCAGTTCTCTTCAACTCCCAAAGTATTTGTTTTACCTTCAGTTTTTCCTCTTCACTGAAGACCATTCTGGCTGACAAATCTGTTTTGGAGCCAGCCAGCTTCCCCATCCTCTCCTGCAGGTCTCCGAGCCGGTACAACCTCTCATTCCTATCCTGCAGCTGCACCTAGAGACACACAACAGCTCTGACAGCTGGTGCAAAGCCTACAGAGCCCTCCTCTCCCACAGGGTATTCTCCCACCGTGGCGCTGGTGGAAGAGCAGAGCACATCCAGCTTTTCAGAGCTTGAACAGATTGTAGATGGGATTTTCAGCTGCCATTTTCCTCCTGTGATTAGGAGTTCATCTGCAGAGCGCTGGTTCCATGACCCAGAAAGGGGCTGCAGACCATATATTTTTGTTAGCAAGATGCTGCACGTGCTCTGTCAGAATACTTACGTTCTCATTCTCTGTAACACTTCCAGAATCCATGTGCTCAGAGGCTAGGATCTTTGCACGGTATCAGGCAGGCAGCGATTGAAGAGCAAAGGAAGGATCTAAGGATCTCTATGGGAGCAACTTTTCCCTTGAGGTCTGGCACAAGCGACGTTGCTATCAACTTTGGTTACTAGAGGGTGCGGCATCCACCTTGATTTTAAGGTGGAGCCAATTACTACAGCCACCCCAAGAGCTGTTAGAGGAAAATAAATTATACTCATCAGGAGGTTTCTGAATTCCTGAGACGGCACACAGCAGATACTGAAACAAGCAGCTTAGCAGACACTCCCAGGGAAGCAATATTGCCAGCTAGGAGGTACCATTCTGTTTATATTATGGACTCTTCCCAAAATCTGTCTGTAGGAATGACCTCCATCTCTATTGCAGGGATCTTTAGACAATCTGATTAACCCATTAATGAATCCATTAATCCAACCATCCAGTAGCAACCAACATCAACTTGCTTCCAGGCAATTTTGATCTCTACAGTCCTTGCATCTCCTGTGTCAATGAGCCATCCAAAGGATCTTTGAGCTCTGACTGAGCTACAGCTGGTGACAGCAAAGACCTTCCCCAGTTTATCACTTCACATCAGAGATGCTATGTGGAAAAATGTAAGTTTTAAAGCAAAGCATGCTCTGAAACAAACTCTGATTAGCCCAGAAAGAGCTAAAACTCAATTGTGCTGGTCTACACGCTGCCACTGACTCCAAACAGTGACCATCCAGGCCTGAACGGGACAACTCCCAAGTGTGTGCAAAGCTAAAAGTACTTGAACAGAGTCTCCAAGGTAAGATCGAGGGTAACAGGGAGCCCAAGACACGGTGGATAATGCTGGAAGACCTGGTGAATGGCAGCCATGGGGTAAAATGAATTCCAGTTCTTAATCTCCTCATCTCAGGCTTATTATCACTGCTATTTCTGTAGAGTGGGTGAGTTTAGGTAAGAATCTGTCTCTTACAGAATATAAGCTTTGACAATATAATGTTCAAAAAAAGACCATAACTCTGAATAACTCCTTAGTATCTGTCAAAGCTAAGAGGATGAAAGTGGGAGAGGGCCCATCCTGATAGAAGCACCATGCTGAGCAGTTTACCAGCTCCTCACCAGTGGCACCTGGTCCAGGCTGTTGGAAAAGATCCCGTAGAACCTCGACACGGATTGCATGACCGGGCACGGAAGGGACACCCAGGGGATGAGCTCTTTTGGGGCTCAAGGGAAGGAGGAGCTAATGAAACATACAATTATGTCATATTTTTCTGCAAAAGAACTTAACAGACCTGAAGTAATTTTATTAAGGTAATGAAAGTGCTGATGAGAATTCACAGTCTCTTCACACCCACTGTGGAGCAGAAAGCTAAATTCACACACCGCCCACAGAGCTGGGGGCTCAGAAGTCTCCGGCACACGAAGGAGCCGATCCGCAGCTCCGCTCCCCAGGCAGATGCCGGCTCCCACCGGCTCTCAGCCGTGCACGGGCCCCCCAGGGACAGGCACTCCCAGCCCAGGGACTGCCCCGGCACCAGCAGCCCAGACCCCGAGACACCCAATTCAGGAGGGCAAAGAGCCCGCCCTGTCACCCCGGCAAAGCCAGGCGCTCCCCGTTTCACCTGGCAGATGGCAATAACAAGACTAACAGACATCCACACATACACTATTATTTACAGCCCTGCGATGCCTGGGAGACCCAGGTAAAACCACCTTTGTGGCGGGTGCTGTGACCACTTTTCCTGTGGTTTGGAAATCTGACGCAAATTTTGCCCTGGCTGATAGCACAAATAGCAAAATCAGGCAGAGGAATGAGGTTTTAGGGTGTCATTGCGGCCCAAAATCTCTGTCACTGCTCCAGAGCAAAACCAAACAAAAAGTAGACGTTTTATTAACCCCACTAAGAGCTGAAACGCCAATCGTGTACTGAGTTTTTCTTTCACTCTTCTTGTCAAGGGCACTTTTAACACAGCTCGTGTGGTGGCTGGAACATCAGCGAGCTCTGAGGTACGGAACTTTCACCTGGGATGCAGCTCTCAGATGTGAAAACGCTCCCCAAATCCACAGCAGCTCAAGGAAACCGGTTGAAGATTTCGAGCAGGCAGCCTGCCAGACCCACGCCCACTGTTTATTTTCGTATTTCCAGCGCCAGCCAGGTGTGCCAGCCCTCGGTGGGGACACACACCTCACTCTGCAGGGGCACTCTGCCCCCCGGGGCCGCTTCGGCAGGGCCCGGCACAGCCTGAGCACAGCGACTGGCTCCATCTGCCCTCCGCCGCCAGCAAAGTGATTTTGAATCCTCTCCCGGGTCTCTCCAGGCCCTGAGCGGCCAGCGGAGCCGAGGCTGCCCGGTGCGGCGGGAGCATCCCCCGGCGGGCCCGCACGCCTGGAGGTGCAGAGGCCGCAGCGGGCGCGGGGAGCGGCCACGGGCCGAGGGGCTGGGCGATGCCTCCTGGGGGGAGCCCGGTCGCCGGGGGAGCGCAGGGCGGCGAGGCCTTCCGCCCGCGCCTCAGCCCCCGGCACCGAGGGGGCGGCCGGTGCCCCGGGCCCGGCTTCGCCCGGTACCGCCGCGGCCCGTTGCCAGGGCAACCGGCGCTTCCGGGGGCGGGCGGCGGGGCGGCAGCGCCGCCTGGCGGCGGGAGGTCACACCGGGGTCAGGGGGCTGCGGCGGGGCCTGGGGCGCTTCAAGGGGCACCCACAGCTCGGGCGGGCACCCACAGATCCTCCGGGCACCCACAGATCCTCCGGGAACCCACAGATCCTTGGGGGCACCCACAGCTCCTCCAGGCACCCACAGATCCTCTGGGAACCCACAGCTCTGCAGGGCACCCACAGATCCTCCGGGAACCCACAGATCCTTGGGGGCACCCACAGCTCCTCCAGGCACCCACAGATCCTCTGGGAACCCACAGCTCTGCAGGGCACCCACAGATCCTCTGGGAACCCACAGCTCTGCAGGGCACCCACAGCTCTGCAGGGCACCCACAGCTCCTCTGGGCACCCACAGATCCTCCGGGCACCCACAGCTCGGGCAGGCACCCACAGATCCTCGGGGGCACCCACAGATCCTCTGGGCACCCACAGCTCTGCAGGGCACCCACAGATCCTCGGGGGCACCTACAGATCCTCCGGGCACCCACAGCTCCTTGGGGCACCCACAGCTCCTCGGGGAACCCACAGCTTCTCGGGGCACCCACAGTTCCTCCGGTCACCCACATCTCCTCTGGGGAACCCACAGCTTCTCTGGGGCACCCACAGCTCCTCGGGGGTCCCCACTCCCACCTCACTGCAGCACGGCTCCTCCTTCCTCCCCCTCCTATACTGACAGGCTACAAGAAGGTCTTCTCCAGGCCGGACCACCCCAGTGCTCCCAGCCTTTCTGCACTGGAGAGGTTCTTCCAGCCCCCGACCATTGCCCTGGGCCCCTCCGGACCCGCTCTGACAGGTCCAGGTCTGCCTTGTGCTGGGACCCCCGAGCTGGGCACGTGCTCCAGGGGGGGTCACACAGGAGTCGAGGGAGAGAATCACCTCCCTTGACCTGCTGGCCGTGCTGCTTGTGATGCAACCCTGGAGGTGATGGGTTTTTGCTGGGCTGCGAGTGGCCGCTGCTGGCTCATGTCCCATTTGTCATCCCCCAGCCTCTCCAGGTGCTTCCCGGCGGGGCTGGGACGGGGCAAGCCTGGCTGCAGGCAGCACGGGGGGTCATGGCTGTCCGACTTCAGGCAGGGGGAAGGCGCGCAGCCCCTTTGCCACGCTCCTGCCCCATCCCACTGCCTGGGTGCCCTGAAGACCGGGGTGCTCCCTCCATCACCCATCGCTGGGACAGGCTCTCCTGCTGTCTCCTGTCCCCACGCACCTCCAACCCCCTGCTCCCAGGGATTCCCCTTTTCCCCCAAAACTCAGGCTTTGGGAAATTTCCCATCTGTGCCTCCAGCAATGGCCCTGGCCACCCTGAGTCATGGCTTGGGGACGTCCTTGCCTCCCCAGTCCAACCAGCCTGGCCAGACTGGTGGCGGTGATGCGGTTTCACGTGGTCGCATGGGCCACCAGCGTGGTAATTAGCTTGCCCAAGAGCCACCGGCACGTTGGCTTGCTTTCCCAACTCCCTGCATGAGCCTGCTGCAGCAGGGCATGATCCAACATTTGAACCTTTGCTGGAGGATGCCAAACCCTTTTGCCACCACTACTGTGTCCCCATCTCCACCAAAGTGGGACTTGTTGAGTGAAAAATGGTGCAGCGCAATAGATGGAGATCAGGATGACCAGAAATGTGGGCAGCTAGTGAACGCCAAGCAAAGCCCATCTCCACCAGGAGGGTCTCTCCAGGAGGGAGCTTGGTCCCCAAAGGTGTCCCCAGGAGAGTGGCAGAAGCTTTGGGATGTCAGTGTTACCCATCCCGGCTCGCTTAGGTGGCAGCATCGGGGCTCACACATTTTTGGTTCGGGATGAGGAGCAGCAGCGCCGGTTGCCCTGGCAACGCGAGATGCTCTCCTCCAGATGGAGACAGTATTTGGCAAGAGTTGCTAAAAATACTTTGCTCAGCTGTGACACCACCCCCTGTGTCGCATCCCCACTCCCACCAGGGCTCAAACTGGGCCGGTTCTGTCCCTGCCGGTACCCAGAGCTGGCCCTGGGCCACTCACTGTGGCGGTGGGATGGGCCAGGGAGCTCCCGGGGTCCCACCAGCCCCCCTGGCTCCAACAGACCTGGCAGAGCCAGCAGCTCCGGTCCCCTCCCAGCTCGGTCAGCCCAAGCAACTGGGGACAGAACAGGGAGCAAGGGACAGCTGGTGGCATTTACCCACGTGAAGGAATGGGGAGAGCTCCCTGGGGATGAACCTGCAGGCACAGGAGGGCTGCTGGGGAAGGTAATGATTCCTTAGAGTTTAAAGAGGTTTAAAAGTGGGGTTTTTTTATGATTTTGCTGCTTTTCTTCTAATACCATTACAGCCTTCTCCATGGCAACCAGGTGGGGTGGCTCAGACTTTGGTCCCAGCCAGGGAGATTAGCTGCTGGAGCTGAAATGATGAGGGGATCCGTTGGGGAGGACTGCGCTGACCAGGGCAGCGGTGCGAGGAGGACATCCATGGTAGGGACCCAAAACAAGGTCCCCATGGTGGCTGCTGTGCCGTGGTACTCCGGGCTTGTGTGACATCCTAGTGTGCAGGTGTGACATCCCAGTGTGCAGGACAGGCTCACAGTGATGCTGGAGGGACCCACCGAGCCATGGGGTGCAAGCATCCCCTGCCACAGGCGGTGGGACACGCCTGGAGGAGATGCCCTCGAGGAGGTTTAAAGGTGGAGACAGGTCTAGCTCCTCCCCGCACCGCAGCCACATTGTGAAGGGATTTGCTTATTTACTCTCTTTATTTTCCCTTTGCAGCCCATTTGATATTTTCCCTGACAGAGGGCTGTTGGAAGCAGGATAAACCCACTCCCAGCCACAGGTAGGGCTCGTTTAAACTTCCCAAAGAGGTTTTGTGGGTTTTGGCTGGCTGGCCCATGCTGGTTCAGCTCTTTTTAGCTTCCAGATTGATTACACCTTGTGTCAATATGTGCTTAGTGCCTATTAGTGGGTGCGTGTATCTCCATCTCTCAGTTCTCCCTTCTGATCTATAATTTCCCAGAAGAGAGGATTAAAATAGAGGGGGAGGAGAGTGCTGCTCGGGGCCAAAAAGAAAGGGAGAAAACAGTGCTTGTGGGAAAGTTGGGTTGCAAGGCTGGAGCCGGGCCGTCTCTCTCCGACGCCTCCTCCTGTAGGAACGGTCTTGCTTTGGCTGGTGAGAAGGTTGCTTAAAACTGCCTAAATGGTGAAGAGCCGAGATGGGCCCTGCAGAGCTGGAGGAGATGCCAGGCTCCCATGGGGTTAGGTGAGGTGGGAGCACGGTGGGGATGTCTGTGGCGTGGGCCTGGTGGTGGAGAGCATCCCCGCTCCATGTCCACCCCATGGACCAGCGCGGGGGGAAAGAGCAACGCAGGTGGGAGATGCCTGTTCCTGGAGGTGTGGATGTGATGGGTGCCAGCCCCGTCCTGGTGCATCTTCAAGGAGGAATGGGGCTACCAGGACATCAGGAAGTGTTAGCCATAGCTTTTCCAACTGGCAGCCACTGGCCTGCTGGAGTCCTCTCACTGGGGCAGAAGTGGCTTTTTATTTTTTTTTTTCCCTTCTTTCCTGGAAACTGGTAAAAGATTCTGCAGAAGCTGTGTTGGACACTGGTGGGCAAATGACCTGGGACACAGAAAACGAGGTCACCAGCCTCCCCAGGGTGGTTTTGATGAGCTGCCAGGTAGAGAGCGTGATGTGCCAACCCCAGAGCATCATCCGACCATACGTGGGACTGGTCAAAGAGCTGAGAGCTGGGGGACCCTCACAGTCACTGCTTCACCGGTGGGACCTAGGCTTTGCTCTCTCTCCCCCCTGTGGCACAAAAGCACCGAGCCGAGCAGCGTGCAGTGCTCCCAGCACCGTATCCACCACAGAGCAAGATATACCTGCAGGAGGGGGCTGCGGGTTCAGCCCTGAGGCTCTTACTGCTACACAGAGAAGAGCTTTTTCCCATTTTCCAACTCATTTCCCACCTGGATCACCATCAAACCTCAGCTATTTCAGCCCATCTCCCGATAAGGGTGATCCCCGCACCCCTAACCTCCTGTGCTATGTGAACGCTCCAAGCCTCAGCGTGTGTTTTTGGGGGTCCCAACGGAGTGGGAGGAGCTGCTGCCTGGGTTCACCCCAGGGCAGGGTCAGCGCTGCTGCTCAGGACCCTCCCGGAGCCCAGGGCACAGCTGTGGGGCACCCTCACTGCCCCCCCAAACCCCATCTCCAGCAGAACCACTGTCCTCCTGGGCATCTCCTTTCATCCCCCCCACCCCAAGCTGCCATAAAGGCAGTTACAGAGCAGGGGGGAGAGGCAAGGAGCCCATCCTGGGTGACACTCGCCCTGGCCACACCGGGCTCAGCCCGTGTCCTGTCCCAGCAGCGGTGGGGTTAAGCCTGGCCGGGCGGGCAGCTGGACAGGCGTCAAGGTGGTTGCTCCATCCATCCCTGCGCAGTCGGCGGGGCGGGAGAGCGGAGAGGGAGCGCTGCCCTGCCCGCCACCATGAGCGCAGGCAAAGGTAAGGCAGAGGGAACCTGCCTGCTCACCCAGCCCTGGAGGGACGGGCAGGGCAGGGGGCTGGAGGGGGAGACACTAAAATGCTGCTGGGGCTTCACACTCAAGTTGCCCTTCGCTTTTCTCCCGCTTCCGCTGCTAATAAGATATTCTGGGAGCCCCCAGGTGCCCCCTTGCTTGCAGGCAGAGCCCAAACCTTGTCAGGGGCTACAGGGATGGGCAGGGGTTGTGGCAGAGAAGACCCCCTCAGCTCTGAGAAAGAGCAAGTTAATGGGGGAGCGGCTGGGGAGGAAGGAGGAAAGGGGACTGGGGACCTTCCCCCGTGAAAGGGAGAAGCTGCTGCTGCAATAGAGATGAATTTTGGGGGTTCACACACCCAAGGGGTCTGAGCTGTGGCAGGAGCGGGGGGTGCTCCTGCACCCTCTCCTAAGGGCAGATCCAGCCTCTGAGACCTCCTGCAGCTGGCCAGTGGGTGCAACGGGCTGGGACTGACACCCCCCCCCCCCCCGGCAGGGGTGCCCCCATGGGGGTCCCCGAGAGCAGCCACGGCCCTGCGCTGACAGTGTCCCCTTTCCTCCACACCCTGCAGCAGGCATCACCCTCCTGCTCCCCCTGGCCCTGCTGCTGGCCACCGCCTCCCACCCCCCCGGGGGGGACACCCCAAAGGACCAGGGGGACACCGACCCCCCACGCTGCCCCAGCCCTTGTGCCTGCAGCTTGGATGACTACAGCGAGGAGCTCAACGTCTTCTGCAGCACTCGCAACCTGACACGCCTGCCCGAGGACGTGCCCCCCAACGCCAAAGCCCTTTGGCTGGATGGCAATAACTTCACCCTGCTGCCGGCTGCTGCCTTCAGGAACCTCTCGGCCCTGGACTTTCTGGACCTGCAGAGCAGCCAGCTGGCCGCTGTGGAGCAGCACGCTTTCCACGGACTGCGGAGCCTCTACCACCTCCACCTCGAACGCAACCGCCTCAAGCACTTGGCACCCCACACCTTCCTGCACACCCAGAACCTCGTCTCCCTCAGCCTCAACAACAATCACTTCAGTAAGGTGGAAGAAGGGCTCTTTGCTGGGCTCTCCAACCTCTGGTACCTGAACCTGGGCTGGAACTCGCTTGTGGTCCTGCCTGACAAGGTCTTCCATGACTTGCCCAACTTGAGGGAGCTGATCCTGGCTGGGAACAAGCTCCCTTACCTCCAGCACCAGCTCTTCTGCAGCCTTACCGAGCTGAAGGAGCTGGACCTGAGCGGTAATGCGCTTAAGGGCATCAAGATCAACATCTTTGTCAAGCTGCAGAAGCTACAGAAGCTGTACCTGAACCACAACCAGATCAATGCCATCGCACCCCGTGCCTTCATGGGCATGAAGTCCCTCCGGTGGCTGGATCTCTCCCACAACCGGCTCGTCTCGCTCTTCGAGGACACGTTTCTGGGCCTCCTCAGCCTGCATGTCCTACGTCTGTCCACCAACTCCATCACCAGCCTGAGGCCCAGGACTTTCAAAGACCTCCAGTTCCTGGAGGAGCTGCAGCTGGGACACAACAGGATCCGGAACCTGGCAGAAAGGACCTTTGATGGACTGGGCCAGCTGGAGGTCCTCAGCCTCAACAACAACCAGCTACAAGACATCAGGGTCGGGGCATTCCTGGGGCTGTACAACGTGGCGGTGATGCACCTGTCTGCCAACTGCATCAAGGTTCTCCCCGACTATGTCTTCAAGGGGGTCGCCAAACTGCACAGCCTCCACCTGGAGCACAGCTGCCTTGCCAGGATCCGGGTGAACACCTTCTCCAGCCTCTCGAGCCTGCGGCGGCTCTTCTTGCAGCACAACGCCATCTCCGTCATCGAAGACCGAAGCTTCAGCGAACTGCACGAGCTCCTGGAGCTCGACCTGAAGCACAACAGGCTGAGCCACCTCTCGCCCCAGGCCTTTGTGGGTCTAAGCAACCTGGAGTACCTCTTCCTCTCTTCCAACCAGCTCCTGGAGATCTCCCAGGACACCTTCAGCCCGCTCCAGAGACTCTTCTGGCTCGACCTCTCCCATAACCAGCTGGAGACACTGGACAATACCGTCATCTCCCCCCTGGCCAACCTGCGGTACCTCAGCCTGAGGAATAACTCACTGGAGACCTTCTCGGTGGGCTTCTTGTGTGCCTCCTCCACCCTGGAGCAGCTGTGGCTGGGGGGAAACAACTGGCACTGCAACTGCTCCCTGAAGGGCTTGCGGGACTTTTCCCTGCAGCACCCCGTGGTGGTCCCACGCTTCGTGCAGTCTGTGGCTGAGGGGGAGGATGCCCACATCCCCATCTACACCTACAACAACCTCACCTGCCTCCATCCCCCAGCCGTGGCAGGCCTGGACCTCCGTGACACCACCGAGGACAGCTTTGCTCACTGCTGAGGTGTGCTGGCCCCTCCCAGGGGACACACCACTTCCCAGTCGTGGACCCTCACTTGCCACCTCCCTGGCCCTGTCCCAGGCTCTCCGGGGCAGCAGCAGGACCACTGGCTCTACAGCCACCCCAGATTAGCCCACCTCTGCCACCACCTCCAGCTGCCCACCTTGGTGCTGCCGCAGCAAGGAGAGCCGTGCCCGGGCGATGCTGGATGGGCACTGGCTCCCCAGGCTTTGAACTGAAATATTTCAGTCCTTAAATACTTAAGTAGCAGCCCCTGGGTCAGCGTGGTCGCTCCTGGCTCCCGTCAGGAGCATCTCTGAGCCTCCTGGATGGGGAAAAAGATGCACCCCCAGCCTGGAGCCCTCCCCATGGTGAGGGGCATCCCTGCCAGGGCCAAGACTCATCAGCTGGACAAAGCAAAGCATCTTCCTGCCACAGAGCAGCTGAGAAATCCTAAAAGCCACCTGAGCTCCCCGGTAGGTTTAGGAAAGGGGGGGGGCAGACAACTTAATCATTCTTTGCACTAGCAGGTGTAGGCAGGGTGCAAAAAGCCGTACACGTCACTTACCTGATAAATCATAGCAGACAAATAAACCTTTGGAGCTATCGCAACACATCTTGTAAGTATGTTTTTTCCAAAAGCACGTGCTGCAACAGGCCGGGGGTTTCTTATCAGAGGCCCTCAGGGCTTTCAGCCACAGGGCAAGGAGCGCAGGCTCCCCAGGGTGCTGGAGGAGTTTGCAGCAGGTTTTCTGCAAGCCCCGGGTGGGTGGCATGTGCCCAGGGAGGGAGCGAGAGGTGCCCAGCCAGCCCACAGAAGCCAACAGCCCAGTCAGACTCCGGCACCACTGCCCAGCTTTCCAAATCCCAGATAAGTGACCAAAGGTCAAATAAAATTTTCCTGGAAAACTGCACATGGGGAAACCTGGTCAGGTGTGAGTTCTTGATGTGGGTGCAGCGACAGATGCTCCTCCTGCTCTCCTCCACATGATGGCTGTCAGCTATAATACAGTTTGGTTAGTGGAAATCAGAGACTTCCCCCCCTGCCTCCCCAAAACGGCACTGCAAGAGCAAGTCCTGAGGGTGGGAGGGGACGCAGGCAGTAGGGGCTCAGAGTCCAGAAGGGGGGGAGATAAGATGCAAGGACACCACTTTTGTTTGCCTCCCCAGCTTAACTGAAGCCCGCAAGAAGAGGGCAGATCCCATGGGAACAGCAGCTCTGGGGCCATGGAAGGAGGTCCAAGGGAACAGGACACTCGGATCAATGAGGCAAGAACCGCCCAGGGACACGGAGGAGCCCCACGTGTGGCAGGGGTGTGGAGAACAGCCATGGCAAAGCATCCTGCAAAGGACTGCCAGGGCCAGCTTTCAGCAAGACAAGGGACTGGCTGGATCTTGAAGCTGGTATGAAAGGAGGAAAGATTTAGCTGAGCCCCAGCAAGGAAACCGAGGAGAAGTAGGAAATGCCTAGATGTATGTGAAGTGCTTGTAGCACTCAGACTCACAGCTCCGGCGAGGCCTGAAGCCATGGAAAACCATACGTCACAGACTTGGATTTTCAGAAAAGTGTTTACTGCCTGGGAACCTTTAAAAGTAGTCCTGAGTCACAATAACCCCCAGCAGACCAAAAAGGCCTTGTTTCCAGCACGGCCCACGCAGACCTCAGATGGGCGGTAGATCTCCTAAAGACATTTTTTTTGTGTGAAGCACATCCCATGCCCTCATCGGCCCGCCAGGAGCCAGTGAGCTGAGATTTCAGAGCGAGGTGGCCTGGCTTGGGTTGGCATCAGAGCATCCAGCACAAACTCACCAGCCACTCAGGCGCCACCTAACCTGTTGCGCAAGGAAAGCGGTAGAAGGCGGCAGCACACGGAGCCACGATCCAGACGATGGGCGCTGCTGGGGTTCATTTGAGGGAAGAGACCAGACGACAGCGTTTGCTGCTGTAGCTGCCCGGGATGATGCCAGAAGCACCACAGCGTACGAGACGCCATGGAGAAAAGCGAGAGCTCCCCATGCAACAGCTGGCGGCGGAGGAAGGCGCGGCATGGGACAGACTGTGCCGCCTGGGCAGAGCATCGCCACGGAGAGAAGGCGAGAAACGGGCTGCCGCTGCGCGGGCAGCAGCACCCGTGCAGGGACTCTTCAGACCCAGGGGGGGATGGAGCAGTACTTCCCTTTTTGGATTGCTGTGAGCGGCGCCAATGCTGTGCTCCCCCTTCCCTCATCACCCCCCGCTGAGGCAGTCCTATAATTAAACAGCTTCTGCATCTCCCTTCCCCACCGGCACGGGCTGCTGGCGGTGCTGCCAGGCCAGGGGCTCAGCCGGCAAGAGTCCGGCTCCACACGCTCCTCAGGAACTCCCCTGCGATGGACCATCCAAGATCTGCTGGGCGATGTGAGCCAAGGCAGGGAAGGCAGAGCTCTTGGGAAACTCTTGGATGAAGTCTCTGCCTTCTTCCAAGCTCTGGCTGAGTTGGGGGTCCAGGGGAACACAGCCTGTGGGATAGGAGGAAAGGGGAGAGTGATTGCTTGCTCACTGTAAGGCAAAGGCCTGGTGACAAAGATTAAAGAAATACCCTGCCAGGTCATCTCCAGGAGAAGCGGTAGGAAGAAGCAAGCTTTACTCTCACTGAGCTTTCCAGGAGCCACTTCTGACCTGCAAGTGCTTCCTCTGGGTCCAAGACCCCACCACACCACAGTGCTCCATAAGAGACGCCCTCACCTCTGATGCCAGCCCTGTCCGGAGGGCAGGGTTCAGCCCTCAGCCCCCATTTCCCAGGGAGGCTCTGGGGCATTTCGGGGTGGTTCTTGTGCAGCTGCAGGCTTGCTTACTCTGCCACCACGATGGCAAACAGCCAGAGCAGGCTCCTGATCACCACCTCTGCCCCAGCAGGGCCAGAGGTCTGCTCTGAGCAGTCTGGATGTCAGAGAAGCAAAGGAATAACCACAGCTCACCTCTGACCAGGGGCTTGGAGTCACTGCATCTCTCCACTCAAGCGCTCCCACAGCGCCATGCAGACATCACCTCTAACCACAGAGAGCTCTGCTTAAGAGGCCACTCACCTAGGAAGGGGACCCCAGCATGCTTGGCCAGCTCCTCACCTCCCCCTTTGGAAAAGATGTTTGTGCACTCCTGAAGGAGGAAAAGCATAAGCAGTGAGTCATAAACCGCAGAGCAATCTGTGTGACAGGGCAGGCGCTGCCTGCACGTGAGTAGAGCAGCTCCCCTCCACCTCCCAGCCTCAGGGCACTGCCTCTGCCTCTGCCCTCCCCCAGCTCTCTTTAGGAAAGCAGAGCCAGCGACTTCTTCCAAAATTGACAAGCAGCAGCTTCTCGTTGTCCCAGCTCACAGCATTGCCCTCATGGCATTCACCAACTTTCCACCCGAGGCACCTCATCCTACAACACCCCATCACCAACCAGAACCCACAATAGCCCAGAGGTCACAAACTCACTGAGCAGTGCGGGCAGACAAAGCCGCTCATGTTCTCCACGATGCCGAGAACTCGTAAGCCAGTTTTCTTACAGAATGTCAGCTCTCGCCTCACATCTCCCACAGACACAGCCTGCAGGGGAGAGCAGCGGAGGTTAGGGGTGTCCATCTGTCCAGATTAACCGTGGATCTGGAGCAGGAGTGCACCAACTGAGAGGCAGGTGTGTAGATCAAGCAGGCACAGACAGGCCTGTGCAAACTGGGGTGCATATTGGCCCCCCAAACCATGCCCGGAGGCAGAAGCCTGCCCAGGAACTCCAGTTCAGCCCCAGCCAGCTGCCCTACCTGGGGTGTTGTGACCAGGATTGCTCCGAGCGGTTTGTAGGGCCGCAAGGCCTCCACCGTGGAGATGTGCTCGTCAGACGTGCCTGGCGGCGTGTCCACGATGAGGAAGTCCAGGTCCCCCCAGGCCACGTCAGCAATAAATTGTTTGATCAAAGCTATAGAAATAAAAGAGGCAGGGGAAAAAAAAAAAAAAAAAAACAACAAACACCACAACAGGTTTCAGCAGGTGCCCTGGAAGCCACAGGCCAGCGGTTGGGAGAATCCCTGGGTGACAAAGGCCCAGGGAGATGTCGGGTCTATCTGTCAGCACAACGCATGCTGCACTCTCCTCAGAGTGATGTGAACCCAACTCCTGCAAACAGGATCCGTCTTCCTCCAAGGAATGAGCTGCCCAAAAAAGCCTGGCCCCCAGCAGGAGCCAGCACCATTTCCAAGAGGGCGCAGGGAAGGTTCCTAGCACTGGAAGGTGGCCACCAACAGCAAAAACCAACCGTACCGTTTTTCTTGGGTCCTCGCCACACCACGGCGTCATCTGGCTTCTCCAGCAGGAAGCCGATGGACATGAGCGAGATGCTCTTGCCTTGGTCCACAAAGACAGGGACCCAGCCGCTGTCGCACTGGTGCACGTCGTTGTCCTGCACCCCAAACATGCGGGGTATGCTGGGGCCACAGAGGTCCACGTCCAGGATCCCCACCTGCGGGCAGCGAGGCAGAGCCCATCAGACAGAGCCCAGCACAGCGGCGGCACCGGCCACGCTCCTTCCCTAGGTGGTGGGGAGAAGGCAGCATCCAAATTTCGCCTGCTCGCAGCACTTTACAGAACAGACTCTCTAGCTCAGCAGACGGGTTTGAAATACAAAGAACCGTTTTCAAGTTTGATTGCCCTCCCGGTCTCCTTCCCTCTGAAGAGCATCTCCTGGGTATTTCCAGGCACTTTGGGGAGATCTTCATGCCAAGTGCAGCCAATCCAAGTGGCACTGGCTGCACTGAGCCCTTAAAAAATCCTCAGGGATTTCAGCCTGCCTCATGCCCCCGCAGCTCCCCTTTGTCCCCATCGCAGTGCCGTCCTTCAGCTGGCCCACTTCACAAAGGAAGTGTGTGTTACACCACAAATCAGCAAAGTAATTCTCAGTGCCTCATGTTTCAAAAACCAACCAGTCTTGGGAGATTTCAGTTTCTTGGACAAGACAGAAATGAATTGCAGTTACCTGCACTAGATCAAGCAAAGACAGGAAAAAAGAATCACTCGAACTGCTATCACAAACAGCATTTTCACACAGAGAATCGCCACACTGACTGCACTAGATGCAAGCATACATAAAGGAGGAGCAAAACCCAGCCCAGCTGGAGGTTGGGAAGGAGAAAACAGAGCTCAGCATCCATCAGCTCACCTTCTTCCCGGAGTGTCGCAGCGACAGAGCCAGCTCAGTGGAGATGGTGCTCTTCCCCACGCCACCCTTCCCGGAGAGCACCAGCAGGATGTGCCGCACCCCAGCCAGATTGCTTTTCTCTAGGAGGAAGGATAACGAGGCATCAGCATCTCTTCTGATGCAAGACAGCAGCACCTGACCGGTCAGCGCAGAGACACGGGCCTCTGCGGAGGGGGACGGTGGCTGTCGCTGCTCCAACAAGTCTGGTTGAAGCATAAGGGAGAGGGAAAGAAGTGGATGTGCCACAGGTCTTTTGCCATCAGGAAAGGGACAATAAGAGCAATGGCAGTAAACATCCCGTGGGGAGTAAAGGCTTTGTCCTGGTGACCTAAGCAACAATTGGGCATTAAAGTAATAAACACCCACAGGGCTTTGTCACGCCGTGCCTACCCCAGGTTGAGCCTAAGAGCTCGGGGAACGGCTGGGAGGCTGCTGGTGAGCTCAGACCTTTGGCGTTTCCTTCCTCCACACCGCACCAGTTGCCTCCCCACGGTCCCACGAGCCTCTCCAGCCTCCGTGACATTTCTCGCTCTCTCGTCAGCGGCGCTCGGGTCTCTGCTTCGAGCTCAGTCACCGCGTCCCGTCACCGGGAGACACCCGGGGCCGGTTTCCCCGACTCTTGTCGGGGGTCTTCACGGGTGGCAAAGGGTCGGACCGGGTGCTCAGCTGAGCAAACAACACCCACCCGGGCGCCCCGTCACCACCGGCCACTGACTCGCACCGACACCAGCACCGGCGGCATGGAGCCCGCCCGCACCATGGCAGACCTCATCCGCACCTCCACCGACGGTAACGGCCCCGACAGCGGGAAGAAGGGGGGGCCGGGGAGGGGGGAGACGGGGCCCCGCAGCGGGGTGCTCCCGGCATACCGGCCCGGGGACACCGGCAGACCCGCACCGGGCCCGGTTACTCAGGGCCCCGGCACCACGGAACTCCCCTCACCGGTAGCCATCGCCACAGCCCCAGCCGGGCCCGGTCACCCGGACCCCCCCCAGGAGCCGGGCCCGGCCACCCCAGGCGGGACGTCCCCCCGGGATCGCCGCCCGCCGCCCGCCGCCCGCCCCCCCCCGCTTACCCTCCGCCGCCACCTCCTCCATGCTGCCGCCCAGCACCACCCGCTTCCGCCTTCCGCCGGGTCTAAGCCCCGCCCCTTCGGACTGACAGGCGCTGCCCCCAATGGCGAGCCGCGCGCTCACTGGGATCCCGCCCCCCCCCAAGGCTTCGCAGCCAATCCAACCCTCCGCCGGCGAACGGGGTTTAGGGCCCGCCCTCCCCGGTGGCCGCCCCAATGACGACGTCTCCCTGATGATTGACGCGCAGTGTAGCCAGTGGTGCCGGGATCCCCGCAGGTCGTGCCCCCTCCCTTCTCCTTCGGGTGTGAGCGACGGCGCTCTCAGCCAATGGTGAAGGGGCGCGGCGCAGGCGCAACCAATGGGCGGCTGAGGGGCGGTATCGAGAGGGGATTGTTTATGTCCCGGGAGGGGAAAGTAGGTCAGAGCGCGGCGGCGGGGCCGGGCCGGGGGCCGGAGCGTGGGGCCGGGGGGTGCGGGACACGCGGGGCGAGGGGGGCCGGGCCGCGGCTGCCCCGCCGTGGGGAGCCCCTCGGGCCGCCGGTTCCCTCCCCGCGGTGCGTGGGGAAGCGCCGCCCCGGTGAGTGGGGCTGGCCGGGGCCGGGAGGAGGGGAGGGAAGGGGGGTGGGGGGGCGTGTGTGTCCCGATCCCTGTCACGGCGCGGGTCGGAGCGCGGGGGGAGCCGCAGCCGGGACGGTGGGCGCCGGGCAGCTCCCGGGCTTCCGCCGGCTGTCTCGCACCCACGTAAAGGCCTCAACAGCCCCCGGTCCCGCTCTGGGGCGCGGGGCTGGCTGTGCCCGCCGCGCTGGGGCAAACTGGGACGGACCCCGGGAGCCCCGGCCGTAGCGAGGGGCCGGGGGAGCAGAGCTGGTGCGCTTGGCTGCTGTGGATGCTCTTAAAAGCTGGAGAAGGGGGGGTTGGGTGGGCTCGGCTGTGGTTTTTAGGTGCTTTCCCGGCGTGGCTGTGCTTGGCAGAGGTGAGAGCCCGCCGATCTCAGCGGGGGGGGGGTGCCCAAAGCCCTTCAGAGCATCGGTGGGCATCCACGCAACCGGCCGGGGCTCGGCCTGTCCTGCTTTTCCAGGAGCTGCTGACCCAGCGGGGAATGAGCTGCAGGAGGAACGGATACGGGGCTTGACCCCCCATTTGGGATTCGGGGGCGCTCGGGGCTGACATCAGGGAAGCACCCGAGTGGGTGCGGGTGTGCAGGGAGGCAGCCACAGAGGCTGAGCAGAGGGAGCAGGTTCAAGGGGTAGGGGGGGGGGTGTTGCAGCCCTGCGGGTGCCTCTTCATATGGGGACTTGCATTCTGTAAAGGTAAACTTCAGGGGAAACGAAATTAGGCGTTGGGAGTTCCCCTGTCACCTCCAGTGCAACGCTCCCATGCTGTGGCTGGGAGCTGGTGTGGTCTCTCAGACTATACGCAGGGAAGGAGCCCGTGGAAATCTGCCTCTGAATAACATCCCTGCTTGAGTCAGGAGACAGGCAGCCGGTTTACTTCTATCTGTTGCCCTTGAGGCAAGTTGGGAAAGGCCCTGGAAAAGGCCAGTTTCCCTTCAGCGGGCAAGAAGGTGGTCTCTCCCCCAGCCCAACACGCTGAGAGCAAAGTCTTCCCTCGGTGGGCAGTTGCTTGGAGGTGAACAAACAACCCTCCCCACGGACAGACGCACGTGGTGCGGGGGCCGTGGTGGTGGTTGGGGTGGGGCGGGTGGCCGAGCAGCACGGCGGGAGCCCCGGCAGCTGCCGGAGGGTGCCCGGGCACCGAGGAGGCCGTGCTTCGGTGGGCGATGCTCCCCAGGCCAGCACCGAGAGGCAGATGCTGCTGCCGCCCAGTCTTGGGAACGTTTCTGGCAGCCAGCTCAACGCCTGGGCTCGGGGAGAAGTTGACCCTGTGTGAAGAGAGAGGTTGAAGTTTGCAGAGGCTCCTGATGCAGGAGGAGATTGGTTTGCTTCAGTTTATCCACTGAATGGGGTCTGTGCAGACGTGTTGATGCATTCCCGGGGGGCTGCGGTGACCCGGGGGAAGTTGCTTCAGTGCCCAGGGAGTGGTGGGTGGCAGCGGGACGTGGCTGCTGTGGGGTAACCTCCTCTCCCTCGCTCCCCCCTGCCCCAGCTTACCTCTCTCGGAACAGCATGGCGCGGCGCACGCGGAGCAGCAGGGCCTGGCACTTCATCCTGAGCGGGGTGCGGCGCGAGGCGGACACCCGGGCGGTCACCTTGGCCACTGGCACGCGTGGCTGGGGCTACGACTCCGACGGGCAGGTAGGCTGGCGCTCAGACGTGACGCGAGGGAAAGCTTTCCTCTCCCCTGGCAGCGGGCGCTTCCTCCAAGTCCGTGTAACTGAGCAGTTCAGCGAGCAGAACTGGCCAAAATCAGGAAAGTCTTAATAAAATATCCAGGCTACATAACGAGCCTCCTCCAAGCTGCTCCTAGTCTGCTCCCCGATTGTGCACCACAGCTCTGTCATTAGTTGAGCCAGGGAGCTGGTTCATAGTAATCCGAGCGTTTTTTTAAGCGTATCATATAAAGTACATACAATATTTTTTAAATGTTCTTTTTAAAGTAGTGATCCAAATATCTGTTTAAACTGGATCAGTTCTCCAGTCTGTCTTGCTGTATGGCTGTGCTAACTTCTGGTCTTTGTGCGGCTGGTGGTTGGTGGTGGAGGGAGTGGGGCTGCTTCAGTCTGTGAAGTTACAGTCTCAGATATCTTCAGACTGAAATTCTGTCACGTTTGGTGCTCTGTAACATGCACATCACTTCTGAGCCTGGCCCAGACATGCAGGTGTGCTGGAAGGTGGGAATGCAGCTGGAAGGTGGGAACGCAGCAGGAAGAGCAGTCAATAAATCAGTGTGAGGAGCGACTTGGATTTGCCTCTGCCACCCTCCACTCTTTTCCCCAGTTCTTGAGTGTGTGAGTTCCGTTCCCTGAGCAGTGGTGGGGATGGAAGGAGCTGCTCCGGGAGCTGGGAAGCTAGGCTAAAGCCTTATGAGGCCACTGCCAGAGTATGGTGTCCAAAGCCAGGCACTGGCCTCCCAGAAAATGAGCCTTTTCTCTGTGGTCAGAGTAGCTTTGTGTTTCTGCAGTAATGGGAATGGCTGGATTTCTACGTATCAGTAGTTCAAAAGGGCTAATAAAAGACAGAAATTAAGCTTTTTAATATGCAGGTTGGAGAAGGAGGGCTGGGCAGTGCATAAGTAAGGCCGAGTCATTTCACACAGCTACAAAAACATGAGTGTAAAGGATTTTTATCTTTAAATACTGCTTACAAAGTTTGCCACGGGGGTGAATAACGAGCGGGTACACCTGACCAGCATGTAAACCCAGAGCAACTCACTGCAGTCGGTGGGAAGGGACTCGATTGAGCGACACCAAAGCTCCTGTAACATAGGGAGCGAGATGGGGCTTCGACTCATGCAGCGTCCAGTGCAGGGATGCATTGGTCTCTTGGCACTGGGGAATGCTAAATCAAGTTTTTGTGTTCATGCATGGAAGTAAACAAAAGCCTTTTAATCCTTCCGTAGGTTCCCTGTGGGCCTGTCTGCAGCACTGGCGCGAGGAGCTGCAGCCGTACTGCTGAACTGGTTCCCCTTTGTTCTGTCCTCTCCCCTGCCTGGCCTCCTGTCCCTTTTCCTCCTCGTCTTGTTTGCCTCCCTCTTCTCTCTGTCAGCTCCCAGGCTCTCTAGACCAGTAATTTTCAGCTGTGTGCTCTGCTTTTCTGATGCCGTGGCTGGGCTCTCCAGCTGGCTGTAACCCGCCCGCTGAAAACCGTAGCTTTAGCACAGAGTTTGCTGAAAAATGCGTGCGTTAAAGACTTGGGCTGTCACGCCGCTTGCCTGCTGCAGCAGCTCCTTCCCCCCGGGAGGCACAAAGAACATACCCACGTCGCAGAGCGCCCCGGTGGCCCTGCAGCTCAGAGAGATGCTAGCCGGGTCGCAGAGCAGGGTCATGCGTGACGGGGCAGGCCGGGGCACGATGCAGCCGCGCCGCCACCGCCGCTGGCACGAGGCTGGGGACCTCCCCGCACCGCTCTGCGGCACCGGGGCCCCCGCGGAGCCGCCCGGCACCCCGAGCCTTGGGGGTGTTCAGTGACCGCTCCCCCCCGTTCTCCCCGGCAGCACAGCGACTCGGATTCGGAGCCGGAGTTTTCCTCCCTCTCGCCCTCCATCCCGAGCGCCATCCCCGTGACCGGAGAGTCCTACTGCAACTGCGAGAACCAGAGCGAAGCGCCCTACTGCTCCAGCCTGCACGCCCTCCACCGCGTCAAGGACTGCCAGTGCGGCGAGGAGGATGAGTGTAAGGAAGGGGCTCCCCAATGGCCCGCTGTCGTGCCTTGGGGTTTGAGGATCCTTTGCTTTCCACGGGGCCCTCTGTCCTACTCTGTGGTGCTCCTTTGATTACACCTCAAGGCCGCGTAGACGGTGGGAAGATTACGAGCGCGTGCCTCCTCTGGTGTTTCTTGTTAATGCGTCGGAGTTCACCTCTGGGGACCTGCTTGCAAACCCAGCTTAGGCCAGCGGTGAAACTGGCCCTCGTGGTTACAGCCCACGTGC